TTCAAGGGCACTCATGGCCATGAAAATCTGGTCAAACGTCAGTCAATTATGTTTGTGTGGATTTTTTAATCTAAGGGATGAGCAGTGTAAATCTGCAATCTAATGCTGTGGAATGAGCTTGATACTCATTTCTACTGTGATTGGCGATGTCTAAAGTTAACTTGCCTGTTGGTGATTTATTCCTGATCTTTGAGCTTGGAAAATAGGTTAAAAATTATTACACATGTCCTTCAGTTAAGTCTTCAGATTGTTTAAACATAGTTTCATTTAGCTTTGCTGTCTTTCATTAATGTGCAACTCTGGGGCATGGCAGTTGGCACTGCTCGCTTGGAGTTCTTGAGTCAAGGGGTCCTGGCTGGACTGTACATGCTCTCCCCAGCTTTGCATGTGTTGTTGCTCTGAGTGACTCAATTTCCATTCACCTTCCAAAGATAGGGGAAGGTGACTCCTATAAATTACAGTTCATCAATGTCTGTAATTGGCCTTGTGTGCTTACAGTACAGTCTATGAGTAAGTATGTGTTCATTTACATTTGTTCCCCTAAAATGGGAGGACTATGTACACACAGTGCTGTGATTCCTATATGGTTCACCCAGTATAGATGTAAATACCCTCGTATTAACTGACATTCTGAACTTTAACCTCATTGTTTCATTTCAAAGCCAATGTGCTGGAGTACAGAGCCAAAACAACAAAAAGTGTGTCACTGTCCAAATACTTACAGACTGCACTGTACAGTATGTGCCCTGTGATGGACTGGTAACCATCCCACTCTTAAATCTATACTTTTTGGACCCTTAGCAGAAAAAAAAGTGAGTTTGTGAAATGAACGATGGACATCATTCATGATATGTGTCCTGTGTAGGTAAACATCTTGTTTCAGACAAATTAAACTATTATTCATTTTATACTTTTGTAAGTCATACTTCCTTTTAATTTGCCTGTATAGATGTACAGTAGGAGGTGGCAATAGTGGCACCTTAATTCTGCTAATTTAATTCAGATGCTTGATTTTTTATTTGTAAGAGGGCCGAAGTTTCAGACAAAATGAACATCCTTGTCGGAATTACATTTCCCAGAAGGCTGTGAGGAATAAGATAATGGCCATAGTCTCTGGTCCAGTGGTGAGAAAAGAATTGGTCAGGTGGTCATTCGAAAGCCAGAAAGCAGAAGCTTCCAGGGTCGGTCTGTCTGCTATCTGGGGACAAAGGGCAGGCCCTCTGCAGTACAGATTCACCCAAAGAAAGAAGTCTGAAGAAGTGACTGACCAAATGACCACAAACTGAGCATAATCTCAGTAAACATCTTAGCAGCCTGGTAGTATTTTCAGAGAGGGACTTCAAAGAAATCTAAGTACAAACTTAAAGACAGGCTCATGTTTTGATTTGTATTGGTTGTTTATTTTCCCGCTGTGTAGATAAAGGACTGTTTTTGTACCTTACAGAACTTGAGTGTTTATTTTCCTGATTCTGCCTATTTTAAAGATCCTGTTATGGCACTCCAACCCCTGGGTGTGTCACAGCTTATACTGAAAATTAACAGGCCTTCAAAGACATACAGTATAGTATGATCCCACACAGCCTCAGCTCAACAAAGGCACCTGAAGAGGTTTTCTTAAATGCTCATTTCTGATCAATTACTTAGCACTTTTCTAAAGATAACATGCGATTCAGTCTTAACAAACAAAAAAACAGAGAATGTTTTTTTTTAGTTGTGTCTGAAGATCAAAAGGAATGCATTGTGAACTGCCTGCCTTTACATGAGACAGACACAGATAAGCACAGTATGTTCATTCAGGATGATCATATACCATTTCAGGTTTGTCTGTTAGTGTTTGTTTTTAATTTAAAACTCAAATAAAAGTGAACCTTCCTTTATGAGTCACTATCTGGTTAATGATTTTTCTGAAAGAGCATGTTATTTTCTTTGAACCTGGCTGCACATTTCAGTGTTGGGATGGGGAAGATGCAGAAGGTTAGTGGGATTCAGAACATTGTTTCTTAGCTGCTGTTTCAAGAGCTACCAAGTAGGCCAGGAGGGTCTTGCAGAGTTTAACCATGACCTACAAATTCAGAAGCACTCAAATTTAAGAGGAAGAAAAATAAATCCATAGAAAATCTGAAACAAAATGCCAAAGGACCAGGTAATTAAGTGCTTATGCACATAGAAGCTACTGGATTCACAGGAGACTGTGATATTGTAATGACTGAAACATGGCTAGCAGAGAGAGATGGTGATGAATACAGCTTTTGTGGATACAAAGCCTTCCAAAGAGACAGGAAAGATAGAAGAGGTGAAACACAGAATTATACCTAAAAACCTTTTACTCACTGGATTTCAACCAGGGGTCTCCAAATCTGTATGGATCAGACTTATAAAATAGTTCAAAGGGCTCTATGTAAGGAGTGTGCTACAGACCATTCAATCCACATATTAATATTACTGTAGATTTACATAGTAAAATCAGGGATGCATATGGAAAGGAAATGTTATTTTTGCTGTGTAGACAGGGAAAACCCATCAGGAATGTCAGCGGCTGAAAGTGAAATGGTAATGGCTACCATTTGCTTCCGCGCCTAATTTGTCAGTACACCTACAAGAGGGAATGATTGTATTGAATTAGTTTATGTCAAAACGTCTAGACAGAGTAACCAATACTGTGGTGAGAACCACTGGGGAATTGTGACTGTGTGTTAGTAGTCTTTGAAGTGTATTCTGAAACTGTACAGTCAGGGTCAAAAACAACAGTTACACTTGCTAGTAAGTGGCAGACTATGAAGCACTGAGTTAAAACAACAGTACAACAGAATAGGATAGTAAAAATATGGTATATTTCTATAGTAGAAAATGGATACTGATAATTTAAAGACATTCCTTGCAACAGGGAGCACATTTATCCCAGGAGTAAGCAAATCAAAGAATAGGAAGCACAGGCACAAATGGTATAATAAATCATTTAAGACAAATGTACAGAGAAAGGGAATATAATGAACTATAAGCACAAGTCAAAAGCTCAGTAGAAGGGCAGAGAGAGAGAAAAAATGTTGCATTGTGGCTAAAGTCAAAGTCAAGTTTAAAGGCTAGTTTTTTTTTTTAACAAGTACACAAGCAAATGACCAGTAAAGGATTAGGTAAAGTGTCTCAATGATGATAAAGGGAAGTGGGTTTGACAATGAGAGGGAACTGGCAGGTGGATTACATCAATATTCACTCAGGAGTCCAGCTGACTGGACAGTTGCTATTGTTCTCATCCAAAAATGAACTCTTCCAAAAATGTAATTATAAATTGATAAATGTCACTTCTGGTAAATGTAACGTTATAGAAATGATAACTAGAAATAAACTAGAGGGTCATTTGTAGGTATAGGATTCTGGTCTCTGTGGATTGCCTAACTAATTTGTTATAGTCCTTTAAACAAGCAAAAGCGGGACCTGTAATGGGATAGGAGCACATGACTTGGTATATGTAGATTTTCAGAAGGTTTTGGACAGAGTTCCTTATAAAAGATTCATTCTCAAATTGCAAATTTTAAACATCGAACTAAATGCATGTATAGTAATCAGTCTAGAGACAAGTGGCTGGGTACATTCTTAGCTCAAAGAAATCTAGAAGGCTAAAAGAGGTAAATCTTTCTAGTCTTGAACAGAGAAGAATATGAGGCAACCTGATTCATGCTTTCAGAATCCTCAAAGGCCCTGCCGAAGTCAAGCCAGTGGACTGGAGCAGCAGTTAGACACCAAACAGAGGAATCAAATGAAAAGTACAGGGCAAGCCTACTTAAAACAGAGCAAGAGGCACTTCTTTACCCAAAGGGTTGTCTGCTATGGCATGGTAAATATGAGAAATTGCAAAGGAAGATGTTTAAGTTATAACTTGACAAAATGTGTTTGTCATTTTTTCATTCCTTGTTGGACATTTTTCCATGATTCTTGGTTGTTTCTCCTTAAATTATCAGAACCCACTGTTCCAACACAAATACCACAGCAGACACATGGAAGTCCAATTGCTTTACACATAAGTACTCAGCTGTCCATGTGCTTGACCTTTATTTCTACAAAGGAACAGGTAATGGGTTTATTCCATGCTGAAAAGAAAAGAAAGGAAACATAATGTTTCAGCTATGGAGTCTTCTTCAGGTGTGAGCTAGACACACCTCACACCTCACACTTGAAGAAGGCTCCACAGCCCAAACGTTGTGTTTCTTTTCTTTTCAGCATGGAATAAACGTTTACTTGTTCCTTTGCAGCCTACACATGCTGACACAGCTCCCTTCTTGGAACTATTTATTTCTACATATTGCTACAGATTTCCGAGACCCTGTGAATCTGCAAGGCAGTTAAGAATCTAAGGAAAACATTAAAATAAGCATCAAATAAGAAGCAAAATAACCACAAGGATATGCAGTTAGACTACATGAAAACCTCTTCATTAACTTGGTCCATTGAACACATTAGCCCAGCATTTTCTCGGTGACCAGACCATGCTTGCTTGCGCTCAAGCAGAAGCAGAATATTGGTACAAATTAACTTGCTGGCAGAAGGAAGAGACAAATTTGTACCAGATCATGGTCGCATAGTGTCTTTTCCACTTGATTATCCATCTATCCATTTTCTAACCACTTCATCCAATTTGGGGTGGCAGGGGAGCCCATCCCTGCAATCAATGGGCACAAAATGGGGTACACCCTGGAAGCCACTTAACCTACCAGTATGTCTTTGGACTGTGGGAAGAAACCAGAGCACCCATGGAGGAAACCCATGCTGACATGGGAAGAATATAAACAAACTCCACACTGATAGTACAACAGGAATTGAACTCAGGGCCCAATATTGCAAGGCAGCAATGCTAACCACTGCACCACCACGCTGCACCGAAAGGATTACATTAATTTAAAAAAGAACTAACAGCAGGTGATAGTACTTGGCTTTTGGCAGATGGCATGTATTGTATAGGCCTGTATTGTTCCCCCTCTAACAGCTTTGTGTGTGTGCGTGTTCAGGTGGTGGGGAGAGTGTTGCTGCTTCATTTGATAAACCATCTCACGTCGAACTACATGACAGACCCCATCATCACCAAGCTCATTGACAGCAGCCGCATCCACATCCTGCCTTCCATGAACCCTGACGGGTTTGAGGCCTCCAGCCACGACTGTGTGTATTCTGTGGGAAGGTGAGAAACGCCATGTGCAGTGCGTAGCTTCCACTGAAAAGCTGCTTGGAAGATGCCGTGAAGTGGTCTACAGTGAAGTTCTATGGCTGTTACCAAGTGCCATTGGTTTGATTCTAAAGCCTTCCACTGGGTTCATGCCTGCTTCTGGACAGAGCACAAAAAATACTTTTACACTCACCAAACACACATCTTTTACACACTCTATAGTTATAATGAGCCATCATCTGAAGAAAGTACCTAGTAATAGTTTAAATGTCAAAATGCACCTTGGAACAATTGGTTCTGATTTGGGGATCTCACTCAAGGCAAGAGCAATAGGGGGCTGGAGGGTGAAATGGTGGTGAGCAGTGAGCTCAGACGTTTCTGAAGAGCTGGGAACTGAAGGTACCACAAAGTCTGCCGGTGTTGTGATGGACTGAAACCAATTACCATCATACCTGTTTCTTTCGTGAACGTCATGGAAAACCTTAATTGAAGGAAAAATGTGGCCATGAAAAATGAAAGCACCTTTGGCTTTGATGATATATTGGATTTAGTGGCAGGATATATCTACCCAACAGCACCCTACTCTGTGACAACAACACAAACTAGAGTTCTTTAGGTTATGAGAAAGGGCTCTTATTAAACTGAAGAGAGCTTACTGGTATAACACGGAAATAACAGAAATGAGAAGATTTAGCAAAACCAAGGCTGAAAACATAATGACATTGGATAAACAACTATTTTAAAAGTCTCTGGCTTTGTACTTTATGGTTTACGCTTTCTAGCTGTTAAAGAGCACATCAACACTATTCTGTTTTCATTGAAGTCAGCCAGCCATGACTTCAGCTCTTTGCATGAAAGCTATAGTAATAACAATGGTGACCCCAACACAAAAACGTTTTTTTATTACCTTAAACACAGTGAATGCTAAAAACTTTATGTAGGTGTGTGTCAAGGGCAGCTGCTGAGATCAACCTGTTTAGAAGCCTGATAAGAACTGACCTGATAAGAGGATGCTGTTTTTTGTCACATGCTGGTGTAAGCTGTGCAATGTTTACATCCCATTGTTTATAATAGTCCTGTACTGGAACAAAAATGTCTTGGTTGGGATGCAACCATGTCTATCAGGATATTTCATTAAGAGTTGATAAGCTTTCTTGGACACGATACACAAATGAAACAAAGAGAGCTGAAATTACATTTTTTAATAGACATATGTTCCCATTGTCCACACACACGTTTTTCAGGACGTTTCTTATCCTATTGTGGACAAAGCAGGCCAGAGTCTATCCCAGAAGGCAGGGCTGATAGCACCACAAAAGCTCTCCCACTGTTTACAACAGCAGCTGTAGCTAGCTGTTAGTTATTATTGAACACAAACCATCTTGTTCTTCCCACCTAGATCATCCATTTGGTTTTCATGCTTCTCAGTGCTTGACCATCAAGTCACAAACCTCATTTCGATTGTTTTCAGGCTGAAAACCGACAGTTAAGACTCCTTGTAAACAGAGACTAATCTGATTACAGAGTTAGTCCAAATGATTTGACATAGTCCTGCACAAGTTCATTTGTGCATTACATGAACATTATGTTCGAGGCAGACATTACAATCTATACTCATCCCTACGTTTTGTTGCAGAACAATTTTTTTTCAGCTGAATCCTAGACATTCAGGTTTTTATGTACAACTACTGATCACCTTGGAATGAAACTGGGATACAGTGTAACAGTGACTCTATAATGATTACATTTTGCTTCAGCATCAAATCTTGCACTTGAGCAGAAGCAGATTATTGAATAAGCAAAGGCTAATGCAAGTTCCAGTCTCTAGTCTTCCTAAAAAGACGTATCAAAAGTAAATAATGAGATTTGTATCCTGAAGAGCTGTTACAGTTTGAAGAAATGTCATCTTAACATCTTAAACCCGGCTTCAATCAATCACTTAATTAATCAATGACTAGTGCCAGCTTGCATCGTTCTGTTTGTCTGGTCCTGTTGACAGCTGTCATCCACAATGAAAAGGAGTGGTTACACTGAAAGGACATAGTGCACAACCCCACAGGTCAGGGCTGCTAACAGATGGGGCAACCCCAGAGGATCATGTACTGTTCTCAGTAGCAGCGCAACAAGACTGTGTCCTCACACCTGAGCTGCCCTTTGTGTTTCTGTGATGAGCCATTCAAACAGCTGCACACAGAAAAGCACATGGTCCTTTGGAAATGTTGGAATTTCTAAATGATTTTTCCTGTCACATACAGCCAAAGCCATGACAACCTAACTTAGGGAATTTAGAATGACATGAAAAGAACTGTAAAAAAGTATAGGAAAAAGACTGACTGACGAAATGCAGAATACCACTTTCAGAAAATACTTTAATTCGGCAAAACCTCTTTCATAAAGTGATCTGGGGAGTCAGGAAATATATTTTCTTCTCTTCTTCAAGTTCATTCAGTGAAATAGTCTTACCCTTCAATAAAGTCCTTTTGAATATAAGCAAGATATATAAGACATCTAAGATATGTAGAAAACAGAAAGCTGTAGGTTCTTGGTTTCTGCTATGAGGTACTTCACTTAGAATTTTGCTGAGCGGTTTTGATTTTTGATCTGAAAATGATGGTACCCTATAATTTGGAAGCACACAATAAACCTGCAACAGAACATGAAATTCACCACAGCCACAAGACGTGGGCTCACATGTGGTGGGTCAATTACAGTTTCTTGTGGAACATAAAATCTTCTAATAATCATTTAAACACACTATTTTATTTTTGTGCAATGTTGTCACTGGGGAAACAATCTCTCTCTCTAACCATGGAAAAACACATCAGGGAATAATTAGATAATAACTGTGAGTATGATATTGTCCCCTCTCTGTACGTAACTACTACACATGAGCTTCTGAACCACAAAAACACACCCAACAGCCTGCCACATAAATACAGAAATAGACATGCACACACCACACCCAGTCTCTTGAAATGGTTTAGGTTCTCCTGCTTAAAAGACACTGAACTGTCTAAGTAAAAAAGTTCTTCACCCTTTATTTCCTATTCAAGAGTTGGAGTTGATAATAATGATGATAATAACAGTGATGGTATTTAGGATAATAAGACCAATTTTCTAATCAAAACATGAAACAGAAGTTTAAAAAATATTGTATACTGACAAAATTAACATAGTTAACAGTAAAATGAAATTATATGTTAATAGCTGTAATAAAAAGATTATTAAGCAGGTTTTTAAATGTTTGCAACTGCAAAGACACACAAGAGAATGCTCTGATCATTGTGCAGAACATGTCTTAGGTAAAATAAGATGACCTGAAACAAAGAATCTCAGATTAAGTGCTGGACTATTCTGATGCATTAAGTCCTTAGGGTTACATGGAGTTAATTAAAATGAGCTTTTAAATAATGTCATATGTTTAAGATTTACAGTGTTGATGTTTTCTTAATGGCACTGTCTATATTCATTTTGACATTCACTGCAGTAAATCAGTAGAATTTTGTCACTTTCTATAAACAAGCATTACTGAGCGTGAACACTTTATCACTCATCTGACTTCATAGTGTTTAATTCATCCATCTTCACATATACAGTATGTCTTAATAGAAATCTTAGCAGAGGGGCCTATGCCACATGAGAAGGATTTTAATTGTGGGCCTGTAAGAGATTTTAGTAAAGTTCAAACCTATAACATATTAGAAAGGAAAACTACCATAAAGCTGTTTATGGCAAACAATAAGTAATTTAAAGGACTACCTGTTTTCTATTTGTTTATTTCCATCTCCTCTAAAGAAATACCTGCTTGTGTCATTAATGATAATTGATATAAATTATGTAAATTGATCTTTTGCTCCTCTACTCAGGAAAAATGATGACATTTCCAAGACAGAGTACAAAACAAACAAAAAAAACGTCAGTCATTCATTTGAACAAATCTTTTAATTAAACAGACTTACATTTGTATTCTTTCATACTTCTGGTGGCTAAAGTATATATGTCACCAAAACCTGAGCAAGTACTTTGCTCAAGCGCACAACAGCAGTGCTCTGCCTGCAACCACAACCTTCTAGTTACAAATCCAGAGCTCTAACTACTCCTTAACGCAGCAAGTGCTGAAGTGAGACATACTGTCCACTACCTCCCCAGGAATTTGGGTGCAAGCTGCTCTGGTGAAGAATGAGCTGCTTGCTGATCCTGATTAATACAGATCCCTCTATTGTGTATTAACCTTGTCAGGCAGGAGCACTGAAATGGAACTAAGTGGAATGGAAATGGGTATTTACTGCTCTCATCTTTTACTCAGCACTGTCAACCTTTAAATATAATGGAAAACGTTCTTACTGCTTTCCTATACCTTCTGCTATCAAACCCCAACAATCTGAATTAGGTGAAAATAGTAGGGCACATATTTTATGCCATATTCATATCCACTTGGATACCAGGGACAGTTTAGGATTCCATAAAGAATTTCAAAATTATATTTAAATCCTTTTAACTGCTCAGTGTCACTCTGGTATTTCCAGCTTTGAATTTTGAGGTAGAGTTGTTGATGTCAGCATACCGACATAAACAAATTTAGGTCGGTGAGACATTCTTACGTTGGTATCGGTAAATTTTCGGTATATCGCCAAGCCCTACTCACCAGGCTTTTCAGCCCCAGTGCCAGTGTTGCTTATGCTCCTCTCCTTTGGCGTGCATGCAGGTTCAATAAGAATGGCATCGACCTGAACCGAAACTTTCCCGATGCCTTCATGGAGGACAGGCGACCCCGGGAGCCCGAGGTGCAGGCAGTGATGAACTGGGTACACTCGGAGCCATTCATCCTGTCGGCAAACCTGCATGGTGGAGCAGTGGTGGCCAGCTACCCCTACGACAACAGCAACGGAGGTACTGGTTAAAGTAGATAAAGACTCACACATCTGCCTAGGGGTGCGAGCTGCTGTGGAGGTACTAGCTAACACAGATCGAGACTTGCTAGTCTGTCTAGGGTTACAAGCTGCTCTGGAGATATTGGTTAGCATAGACTGAGACTCACTAGTCTGTCTAGGGGTACGAGCTGCTTTGGAGATACTGGTTAGCACAGATCGAGACTCGCTAATCTAAGGGTATGAGCTGTCACAGATTGAGACTCGCTAGTCTGTCTAGGGGTACGAGCTGCATCAGAGGTACTGGCTAGCTCAGATCGAGATTCGCTAGTCTGTCTAGGGGTCAAGCTGCACCAGGGGTACTGGCTAACACAGATCGAGACTTGCTAGTCTGTCTAGGGGTACAAGCTGCTCTGGAGATACTGGTTAGCATAGACTGAGACTCGCTAGTCTGTCTAGGGGTACGACCTGCATCAGAGGTACTGGCTAGCTCAGATCGAGATTCGCTAGTCTGTCTAGGGGTACGAGCTGCACCAGAGGTACTGTTAGCACAGATCGAAACTCACTAGTCTGTCTAGGGATACGAGCTGCACCAAGAGATACTGTTGACACAGTTTGAGACTCGCTACTCTGTCTAGGACTACAAGCTGCACCAGAGATACTGGCTAGCTCAGATCGAGACTCGCTAGTCTGTCTAGGGATACGAGCTGCACCAGAGGTACTGGCTAGCACAGATCGAGACTCACTAGTCTGTCTAGGGTACGAGCTGCACTTGTTTTTGTTTGGATGTCTGACATTCTCTTCCACATTCAGAACACAGCTTTGTGTGGTTATGTACTTCCCCTCAACCATTGGTTCCCACCCCTGGCCCAGGGAGAGCCCTGCGGTGCCTCCGTTTCATTCCAGCTGAATCTTTGATCCGTTTTCTTGTTTAGAATTTTGTTGGAATATTCCTGCATGCAGTTCTTGCTTTCCAAAGTGTCCAACATATTGTTCTAGACTCGTACAAAACTTCATGCAGTCTCTCCTCAAAATGTTTTAGTTTTCCCCTTTAGCCCTGTCTTAACTGCTCTTAATGTGTTAAGTACAATGTACTGTATGATATAAGGGTACAGGTGGAAATGACAGTGGACTCAGACACTCCCACAGTGACCAGTTGGTTGCGTTAAAGCTAACAGAAATAAATACAGGGTTTTCTTAAACTCAGAAATTGGTCAAATAATACCAAGTATAAATCCCATTTAATGTTGTAAAACCTGAAAGCAAATCCAAAAGTATTTCTCAAATAGAAAATTAAAATCAATCAGCCTGCAATCAAGAAAACTTAAGAAACTTAAGAGAGAGGGATCCCTCAGGACTATGCTGGGACCCACTGTACTGTTCTGTGCCAAGAGGTTTTATACAGATGCATGGGAAATTTCTCAAGAGGGCTTTAGATTATATGAGTCTCAATAAATATATTGGGATCCTCATCCAGAGGTATACCTAAAACCCTGGAGGTGGGGATGAAAATATTTTTTTTTCAACAAAATTATTTTAAAACGGTGATTTATTTTGTGATTTAAAAAAAGACTTACATGTATTGATGACATGACACCATCTAGCAGCAGCTCCTGAACTCCATAGTGTTGATCACTGTACAGGACTGGAATATATACTCCCTATTTGAGTATAATTGACAAAAATATTTGTATGAAACCCAACTACTGAAGGTGTTTCATATGTCACACCTTGTAAAAGAATGTGCAAACTTCTTGAATTTGTACAATATCATCAATTATATTTTTAGGTTTCATATATAAGAAACTTTTGAGCATAAAAAAGGATGACCATAGCTTAATTTCTAGAATCAGGTTTCAGCGTTTCTGGAATTGGTATACTAGAATTGAACTATTAGACTTTGCTGACTGGTGTTGTAGACATGTTGTAATTCATGAAAAGTTCTAAACCAGTTCAAGGCTGAAGTTCTCTTTTGTTGCCGTTCAAATCAGGAGCTGAACTGCAGAAGGGGTTCAGTATATCGCCAGACAATGACATTTTTGTCCACCTTGCTAAAACCTACTCCTTTAACCACACTTTGATGCACAAGGGCAACAACTGTGATCAGACGAAGGCTTTCAAAGACGGTATTACTAATGGATACTACTGGTACGCCTTACCAGGTCAGTGGTGATTTTCACATTTCAAAATCTTCAGAGAAACCAAAACAGGGAGGTGCAGCATAAGCACCCTGATTTAGTACCCTGATCTTTGGATTTCTATGTAGTGTAAATATATATTGGTTAAATATAGATTTAGATATAGTCAATGAGAGATGGTTTCATTTGATATGCATCAGATTCTATAATGAAAGAAATAAGATAATAAAACATAGTCAAACAGTGGCTTATACTCAAAAACAAGGACAATGATCAATTCTTTTCTTGATTAATAATATCCAACTATCATAGAAGGTCCAGCCTTTAGATAAAAATTTCACTTTTTCTTTGTTGTCTCCTCTTATGCTCTTTTCTTTCTGGTATCGTCTGTTACCAGAGTGGGATAGAAGATACACATTATCTTCTTCATTTCTACTCTTTCTGAGAATTCTTGTTCCTAGCAGCTGACAAAACAGTAATTAAATGGAGACCAGGCTGCTTATTGAAAGTTGACACGCAAACTGTAATTTATCTAATTGCAGAGTCATGGGGTTGAATCCAGACTTGGTCCTCTTACATGGCACAGTTCCTATAGGTTGTCAAATAACCCATTTTGTGTAGAAACTGGTGAAGATATGTCTCAGCTTTCACCTGCTCTGCTCTCAAAGTCACCTCTATATCTCACAGGTCCTTCTATGAGATTGCAAGGAATTATTTTATTTTTTGACCTGTACTCAAACACTTCTAAATGTTAATATATAAACACAGATCTCAGGATGAAGTTAGAATGTAACGACAGTAAAGACAGACAGTTATTTTTATTTTATGTATAATATTTAACAATTGTTTTAAAACCAAATAAAACAAATAAAGTACACCAAATACAAAAATGCCAAAATGTGGAGCTCGGAAGAAAGAACGCCCTTTTATATTGTATAGAATCTGAGTCAGCCGGTCAGACCTGCTGTAGAAGACCTCCACAGGCCTTGGAGAGAGGACAGGAGGCTCTGTCACAGTGGCTGCGCATTTATCTTACAACACAGCCTTGATGTTGTTATTTAATTATATTTTTTACAGGGGGTATGCAGGATTACAACTACGTCTGGGGGCAGTGTCTGGAAATCACTCTGGAGGTATCATGTTGCAAGTATCCCCCCATAACAGAACTCCCAGGACTCTGGGCAGCGAACAAACCTGCACTGCTGGCCTACATGCAACAGGTCCACCTGGGTGAGTGTGTGTTTCCGCAACCAGGCAAAGATAGGGCACCAAAACCCCTATTAACCATGTGTTAATTCCTTGGCCTGATGTTTAGTTCCGGTTTTAAAGAGGAAACTGTCTTTTGGATGAGCAGTGACCAAGACTTTCTAAGCTGAAAGTACAACATGTAATAGTCCTGGACAGATTTCTGGCAGAAGTGGAACTTAGCATAAGAAACGAATACCTTGTAGACTCTGACATGGGGTAGCCGATTCAAATGACCCTTTCAATGTACAGACCTTCAGCAGACATTGTTAACGGCTCAGCCAGACTGGCCTCTGCATTAACTAATTAATAGTAATAACTAATGAATAGATGCTTACAAAGGCTCATGTGACGTGGTGATGAAAGAATAATATGCTAAAGATCTCTCAACAGGTGTGAAGGGGCAGGTATTTGACTCCAATGGATCTCCAATACAAAATGCTTTGGTGGAAGTGGAAGGGAGGAACAACCTCTGCCCCTTCAAAACTGACAAGAATGGGGAGTACTACAGACTCCTCTTACCTGGGAATTACAAACTGAAGGTAAGGAGACTACTACAGCAGGGAAGGATGCTGAGCTCAGATGAGAGCCATCGTTTGGGAAGAGCACAGGATGCACGAATGCAGCAGTCAGTCGTGGTGGTAGACCCCAATAAAACAAGAGGAGGAGGGTGCAGCAGTATTTGCCTCACTTATGGATAGTATATCTGGTTAAAGAGACATCCCCAATCACTCTTTAGATGAAAGACAGGGAAATGAGACTCCGAAGGAGGGCTGAAGTGTGATTGGAAGCTCAATGCAGATACAATGTCGAAGCAGTTGTGCACCCTCTTGGGCGATGTCTGTCTGCTCCACCTGCACTGACTCATTGTATGAGTTTAACCACTAGAGAATACACAATAAGCCCAAATTCAGCTGTGCGGATTTAAAAAGATTCCCAAAAACATCGCCTACAGGACCAGTAGCCAAACGAAAATACAAAAATGACAGAATACCGGTTATATACATTTATATAATTTCTCTGTAAAATCCATGAGTAAAAAAAAAACACTAACAACATCCACCACCACATAATTTCTAAAACTTTGCATCCATCATCTCAAGGCCATTTGCAAGGGAATTTTCCGTAACACATCAGTTGAACAGGAGGAAAACCACCACCATAACTCTCTCATAAGCACCTTACAGCACAATATAAACATATGTATAATCCTTTACAAATGACATACAGGCTTACACTTAATCATAATTCAGAACTAGTAATATTTTCATTTGAAATCTAGGAGCCAAACCCCAGGTAGTTAGAAGTCAGGTGAAAATGATGGAAGACACCATTAAAAACTTGAGATCTGACAAGGACTCTGACGTGCAGATATAGTAGTCCTGGTATGTTCATTTGAAATTCTATTTTGCTATGTTTTTTATATATGTTGTTTTATTGTGTTGTAAGTTTTCCTCTCCCTTGTTCAGTCAATAGATTGTAACAGGCTTTTTTTTTCATGGTGACCGTTTCAGTCCACATACCTAACTCAATCACAAAATTGTAAAAGCTAAATTTTGCCCCAGAATAAAATTTTGCAAAATGGTTTTGTGAGGAAAAATACAAACATGCGTTTCTCCACATGCATTTTATAGAAATATGAGGTTCTGTCAAGGTGACAAAATAGGAGTCAATATTACATAAAGTCCAAGAATGGTGATTTGGTGACATTACAACTGTAAACCTTCTCAGTGCAAACAGAAGACTTATAGCTGTGTGTAGTGGAATGCTCTGTCAACTGATTTTTTAAGAAAAGAAGCCCAAACCTGCCAAGCCAGTTAAATGTTTACAGTACTGACATACTCAAATCAACAGGTTTTCAGCTCGACAGTGGGGTGTCTTCCAGAGAGATTGCTGTTCTAAATGTTTCCTGCCGCCTTTTTGAGAGAAAGAGCACAGAACACAGCACAGATCATCATTTGGTTTCTTCCTTCTATATGTGGAAGAACTAGATCCTTAAAGACAGCTCATATTTACTACTATAGAAAAGTATCTATTTAAGGCCTCTTTTACAAAGTAGACAAATGTGTTACATATCGTTACGGTGGTCAGGCAGATTCAAGGCAGCAGCAGAACAAGTGGATTATTCGTCTGACCCATGTCAGAGTGTACTGCAAATTTACCACATTTTATTTTGTGAAGTACAGAGGAGTATATATTCAGCATGTTGTGATAAAAGGGTAAGAATTACCAATACCTGAAGACTGTTTATTTGCTTTGTATTATTCCACTATTATAACCACATTTAATGGATTAATATCAGCATGTACAATACATGCCACTCACATTGCTGTATAGCCTACTGCAGCCTTATTTCTCCGCACAATTAACAACATGAACTGAAAAGACAGAAAAGAGAGTTTCTTTAAATAATTCTATATAGAACAGAAGCACCATTTAAAGATTGGTGCATTTACATTTTTTAAAAACTATTTCAAACAATATGAGGACAAGTGTTATGATTAAATGACTGAAAAACAGATGGAAAAAAAGACAAATGTCTTGTCAAAAATAAAAATAAATACATCTACCAGAATTCTGTAATAGCTATGAGGTACAATATATACTGTACATATGTGCTTGTTGTATTCCTACATATGTTATGAAATCAAAGCTTAAATGGAACATGTCCAATACATAACAAAGCCAATTTCATTTAACTAAATAAATAATTGCCTTGCCTGCTCCACTTTATTTACTATTAAAATAAGCAAAGCAGAGCATAATTATAAACAGTCTTGAAGTGGTCGCCTTAGTGTGCTGAAAACATTCACAAACAGTAAGCAGAGCACTTATGTGACCTACAGTGTAAATAACAGAAACAATGCATATATTGTCTAGCTCTTCTGACCTTTTTTTCCCTACATTGAGCCTGAGTTTTTATTGGGGACTGTGAGGCCCAGCTGTTAAACAAAATATTTTGTAAATCAGGGGCAGTCAAACACTAGACATTCCAGTATTCCAAACATTCTTCTAGGCTGTAACTACAGATAATTGAACAAATATTGATGTATGGAATTAAAGAGTTGCACCAAATAGCTCCATGGAAACAGATAAGAAGTAGAACATCGTTGTAAATAAATTAACCTTTTTTCATTCATGTGCTTTGCGTTATAAGGATGTAAGCATGAAACAAAGTTCTGTTTTAGGTTGAACTGTGCTTTTACCACTGCTGAATATCAGCTACAGGTGGTCCAGTCCGGAGTGTGGAAAATGCTGTTATTTTTAGAAGACGAAATATGATTTTTAAGAAAAAAAACTTTAGATAGATGAACTCCAGATGTCAATTAGTTTGCCTGTTTAAAGGTTAGCTAATAAACAAACTTAATAGTCATGAGATGTTAGTTTATTAGTATAATCGGAGACAGAGACTGCAGCTGTAGGACAAAAACAAAGATCTGCTTGAATTAAAAGGGGTTCTGTTCTCATGTGTTGCTGCTGAGAGTTTCTAATGCCCCAGCAGTAATAAAACCTGAGACTGGCTGTACTTACCTTCAGGGTCTTCAGCAGTACCGTTTATATGTTCTTGATTAGACGTTTTCTGTGTTTTGCCACTTGCATAGTATTTGATTTCTTTATTTTTTCCTAGCAAGTTAGGATGTGTAATTGCACTATTTACACTACGCATAGTATTTTACTGAGACTAATCCTACATTTCATTTTGTAATTTATAAGTTTAACATGACTCTTTGACATGAGTATAATATAAATGGAGTTCAAGTGGAAAGCGCAGATGACTGGAACCCTGGCAGACACTTCACAAGAAGCACATTCTTGTGTTTCACATTGGGCTTTCATTCCGAACTACATCCACTGGGCCACTAACAGAGACCTGCTCAATAATCCTGACTATGCCAGACACTACTGTCTTCAGTTCTGGTTTGGATCATTTTGCTACAATATTACACAAGAGATCATCCTGAATTTGCAATATTTTTATGTTTTGAATTATTTAGTCTTTAAGACGGTTGTAGTCATCCTTATTTGTGTCATCCTAATTCATCCCCAAGTGCTGTAACTCTGAAAAAACGAAATTACGTTTTGGGGACACTGGAACTGGAATTAAGAATATATTCTCTGGATCTAAACTAGAAAGTCCGAGTGGTGTTTGAAGATTATGCCCCTGCTTAGTTCATGTTATTACTGCACAGGAGCCCTTTTGGTATTTTGTATATTGTTTCTTTGCGCTTAATTAAGTTTTATTAGAATTTTGTAATTAGTTATTCATGTATGTGGATACATTTAAGGCTTATAACTACTGCAATCCCCTAGTTTACCTCTCCAATATTACTAATATTGACTTACTTCTGCAAATAATATCAAATGAAGCACGGGTCAAATGTCATTGAAGGAAGAATAAAATAACTCTTGAGTTATTAAATCATAGGCTCTGCACAGTTGAACAATATACATATGGGCATACTTTTTCACCAGTGCTAAACAGTAGTCAGAACTTAAGAAAAAACAATTAAAAGCTTTGCAAATTAGAGAACTTCAGTATAGTCTGTTTATATTGAATTAATGTTCTACTTAACCTACAATAATACCGTTTTGCAATGTGACTGAGGGCTTTGGGGATTCACTGCTCCACACCCTCACCCTTACAGCTCCATCCCTTACAGCTCCATCACTCAGTAGTCCTCACGCAGCCATAACAAATACCAGTGCTTAAAGAAAAAAACCTCCAGGAGTTCATTTCTCCTGTGTGGAAGAGTTCCCCTTTTCAATTTCCACAGTGAAATAAGCCCAAGATAAGAGGGGTATTTGTGTCCCATAAAAGAAACTGAATGTTTCTTTTTCTTCACTATGTCATGTACTTACCCATGTGCCTTGAATTCATGAAGTATTTTTCTTTTCTGTTTTCTAAGTAAGTTTACTTTTCTGACCCCAAAGTTTCAGGTCGGGCAGTTTGAAAAATTAACAAGCACGACATCAGTTAGGTTTCTTTCATAATCCTAATTTTGGCTTGCTCATTTATTAAATCCTGTTTCACATCACAATTTCTTTGGACACTGAATTGGTCTTGCTAAATTTCAGTTACAAAAGGATGAAATCCCGACAGGATTCTAGACAAATTCTGTGGAACATTTTCAAGTAGATTTCAGTTCTGCTATTGCAGCTATCTTAATTGTGCTCGAGGGTTCAGTTAAGTCCCTAAAAAGAACAGGAAATATTTGACTAAACTCTTACTTTCTTACTTTCAGGTCACCGTCCCCGGCCAGGAGCCCATAAAGACGACGTTACACATCCCAGACGGGCCTGAGAAATTCTCGGCCCTGAGATATGATTTCATCGCTCCACGGCCTGTAGTCAGCGCTGACCCCTCTGACCCCACGAGAGCATGCACCTCCCGCATACGGAGGCTCCCTGACCGCAGCCGAGCTGCCCCGGGGCTGCACTCCGGCGGCCTCTTCTTGCTCATACTGGCGCTCTGCAGACTCCTGCTGTGAGACATGCCCTGTTACCACGGTCTTTCCTGTGCTTCACTTTATCCGAGACCCTCCCACGTACAGGAATCACCTGCAGCACTCATACCTTAATTCATGCAGGTATAGGGTGCTAAAAGACTTCACTGTGGGAGCACGTCTTTAAAGTAACAGCCTAGGATCCACAGGAGCTGGACATCAAACCCCAACAACAGCACGAGTGTTAAGAGAGTTACCGGTCAGAACAGACTGAATAAGCTGCAGTAATATTCAGCTACTGCTTCTGACAACCTGCTCTTTGGAAACGTATTTCACCCCAAATCAAGGATAGTTTTCTAACAGGGCTTAATGGCTTCAGGCTACAGCGTTCTCCATGATGCGAGTGTGTGCGGTGCTATTCTTTTTTTCCCCCTGTGATCCTGGCTGTAGAAAATGCTGTGTTCAGCTAATTATTGCCACCAGCTGAAAAGGGCACTGAGGGCACAAGAGGACTATGGAAATACACAATAAAACACAGCGCAGATCCTTTGAGAACCTTGAAAAGTACAAATCTGAAACATCCCACCAATATGCAATGAACATACATTGGAATCAAGCAGGTTGCTTTCCAGTCATATTTATTTTAGTAGACATTATTAGAGACCTTCATTCTCGGATGCCAATGTGACTCGCAACCAGATATTTTAAATTTGACTTGTGTCACTTGAATTCCTGGTAATTCAGTGCTGAATTACTCAAGAATACTGGATTGAGAGCATGTTACCCCATGGTTAAGAATTTGTTAATAAGCTTTTCCACCTACTGCTGTTAATTACAATTATTTAAAATGTACTACCTGTTTTGCTTACATTTTGTCTAAAGAAAAATGAAAAATAGCATGAGCCTCACAATAAAATATTTGAACAGTTTTTAATAAGATGATGACAATGATTTTCGTGAATAGAAATAAATCTGAAATAGAATAATATGTAGTCCAGGTCTGGTTATAACATGGAAGCCAAACTGCAAATAGTCACCCCACAGGACTAAGCGGGAAAAAAAAACAGTAGATCCTTTTTGGAAAAAAAAAAACAAATTCCTGAAGTGCTTTGAATTTTAAAATCACAAACGGGGATCTCAGATTAAAATGCAATGCATTCCCAACAATATCTACGAGGTAAAGGCTCAGTGTTGTGATAAGTATGATAAGGTTTTCATCTGCAATACCTCAAAACTAAAAATAAGGTCTGTGCTGATGTGTGGCACTTTACTAGCACTGTACGCAGTGCATTACATTTAGAAATGAAACGAGCTCCTTAACAGTAGTGTAGTGGTCAGCATTGCTGCCTTGCAGCACTGGGGCCCTGGGTTCGATTTTGGACACGAGGTGCTGTCTGTGTGGTGTTGCTGTGTTCTCCTGGTGTTCATGTGGGTTTCCTCCTACAGTCCAGAAGTGATTTGAAATTGGATGACTGTCTTAAATCAAGATTCTTTGTGAAATGAAAGCCTTTTATATACCTGTTGTTCACATATGGATACAGTAAGAATGATGTATTCCCTTACATTAAGTATTAATTCTAAAAAAGCATCTAAATGTTATTAGTCTAAAATGCTGTGTAAAGATGACCAAATAATGCATCTTAATCATATCTGCCTTCATGTATTAAATATTTTGTAACCAACAAATTTCCATACCTCAATGTCATCAAAGATTTGTTACAAACAAATAACTACCAAAAAGTGTGACTGGAGCACAGGTTCCCTCACCTCAGTTTAATTCCAGTACACACCAAATGTTGGTAAAAAATGACAGAATCTTAAATGGTCAGTTTTCTCTTTGCCAACTTTTTCTACAGGTTTAGCCAGCAATGGGTCCGTACTTGGCTTTTCTTGGCCAAGAACCATGCTGACTGACTCCTAAGGTTTCTGGATTAGTGCAGAACAGGAGCTTCAGACTGTCTGAATCCTGATCAGTTTGCACACAGAGTGCTTCCACTGGTAGTTTACCTATGTGCAGATAATTGTCCTCACTGTGGTACATGAACAGCAGTACAGTAAACTCTACTGAAAAATCCATTAGATAATCATTCAACAATTTATAGGATTATCATCAGATATTCACAAAAACAAAGGCCTGAGTAAATTATTTCAAAGTTCCTTTATTGTCAAATAATTTGCTAAAGAACAGAATGATTCTTAAAACCATAAAATATGTAATAATTTGGGAAATGACTAATTGGCAAATGAATTGATAATTCCTTGGGCATAGTGTATATTTAATTTAAACATGAAAACATTAACATATAGCGCTTTTTAACTCAAAAGATGAATCAATCTCTGAAGGGTTGCAGCCACCAGGGTGATTATATGCCAACAGCCCCACTACTCAACCAATAAAGTGACAACCTGCTTCATCAACTGAATTAAGAGGGAACTTTGGAAAAGCAAGACTGAACAAACCCAGAGTAGAACTGAGCCAGGACACCTATTTTTTCTAAAACTGCAAAGGACCAAGGAGTCACAAACTTGGTTAATGTCTAATCTGGAAGACAGCGCCACCTACAGCATAGTGCCATAGTGCCAGTGGGGGAAACTGAGAATGGTGGCCCAGAGGAAAGAGCACCACCTATTGGTCGTAACAGCACCAGCAGCAGTTCAGCTGTTGCAGTGGACTTGATTTAAGTTTTTTAAAAATTTTCATTGATTTATATGTAATATTTCATTGTGATCATTTAAAACTGAGATATATATATATAGTTTATATATGCAAAATGACTGGGAACATACCAGGTTTGCAGGCTTGATTCATTATGAACCATATCGAGGCCCTGATCAACATTACCTTGTTACAATCTCAGTATAATGAATGTAAAAAAACAAGGATGAAGAACAATTTGTTATCAGGAGCTACCTTTTAAAAAAAGAGGCAGTTAGGCCAAAATAATACTAGTAAACTCTTATTGGATGATTTGTTAGATGTCTTTTAAAGTTAGAAGATAACATTTCATTCAGGGGCTGCAGATAATAGTCTATACAAATATGGGGATATTATTTTGTTTTTGAATATTTTAAAATTAATACACACCTGTTAGCAAAACATCATAAAGACTAAAGTGTGGGCGACATTACAGCCACATAGCAAAAATGTAAATCAATTGAGGGTCAATAAAAGCAACGCATGAGAATTACTGAGAAGCACAGTTTTTTGCTTTCAAGTAATCTTTTCTGTGGAAAGCCTGCTGGAGAGCAGGATTATCCCCTGCATGTGCTGTAATGCAGTGATTATGGCAAGATAACAGTTGTATGATTTGTAAAGCATACACATGTGTTATCTTTAAACATACCCAGATCTAAATCCAAGGACTGCAATGTAGACGATAAGAACATAAGAACAGCTACCAAGGAGAGGAGGCCATTCAGCCCATCTGGGTAGAAAGTAGCTAATTGATCCATTAACCTCATCTGCCATTTACTGCAAGAAGCCAGGGAATCAGTTTCAATAACACAGCGAGTTCCATTCTCCCACAACTCTCTGGGTAAAGTAGTGCCTTTCTGTTCTCATTTTCACAGACGTGGTTTTCACTAGTTCATTTTTCACAGTTCATGCCGAAAATGATCATGAGTAATTTTTTTTTACCCATAACATATTTAGCCTATTCAATTTGGAGTTAAAAATACAAGCATTGTGAAACATGTTGGCTGGTAGTTTATGAGTTTCTGAAATAAGCTAGTCACTAAGTTTAATGCAATAAAGCAGTTGTTTTTGGCAATTTATAATTCAGTTCACAGGCGTTTTTACTTGCAATTTAAGCATATTAATCACTTTTATTTTGTAGTGTTTGTCACTGTCACTGTATCTGTCACCATTTAACATTTGTTTTTGTCACATTCACCAACGAAAAAGCAAGAGCACTCTATAAATAGCACACGGAGAAAAAACACATGCAAACAGTGCTCTACCAGCTGTATTTGTTTATGACTCTACCTCACCATGTCCTCAGATTGTAAAACTTCCCAATGTGCCTTAAGGACAGCATTAAACTGTTCAGAACAGAATAAACTCAGCTCTGGCTTCAACTTTTCTGTGTTCGACTTTTGTATTCTAAGTTTGCATCCCAGGATTGCGTTAGAAAAGATTTTTTTTCCTTTTCAGTTTCAATATTTAATTGAGATTTAAGATCACAAGATTCTGGATCACTGAACCCATCTCTGAATATTCCCCCTTTATTGTTTTCCGCCGAGACCCTCCAAATCTCTTCTTGAATTGCTTGAAACTCTTTCTGACTTACACCTTTGAGTCCAACTGTTTTCAATCCAGACTTAAATATATCAGTACCTTTCTTGCTGGTGTTTCCTGCTAATGTAATAAACTACAATTCATACAGAACGTGTACTGTAACACGATCATCCAGACATCTGCACTCTTCTCTCTGCCCTAGTTCCCCTTCAGATTTATTTTTTGGCAGTGCACAAGGACCTGAATAGTTTGGCTTGATTCTATCCAAATGGACTTGATCTAGAGTTACAGTCCTCCATGTAGTCAACAATTTGCCCTCTGAACTAGACTTCAAAAATCCCTGTCTCTCGCTTCAGGTCTTCAGAATTACTTTCTCAAAGGGCTACAGAATACTCTTATTTTAACACTGATCGCTCTATCACTTTATTAGAACAAATATCTTGCGTCCATGTGCTTCGGTTATTTCATTCTGGAGTGCAGTTCGCAACAACTGAAGTCATAAAAATACCAGAAGATGCATCTCAACTTGGTCCAAGGAAAGGGGACATGGGTTGGCACTTTCTCAGTCTCTGCTGTCACCTGTAAGTGACTTCCTATTTCCCTCATGAACCTTCCCAAAGAAGCAAGCCGCACATCTCAGCGATAACACTGCAGATGTACAGACACACAGCAATCCGTAGGGGCTGCGACTACACAGCACGCCAGGAGCAAAATATGGTTACACTGCCAGAGTCCCGTAGTGTTCAGCCCCCTAGTTGCTATCCGCTGGGGAATTAGAATAGGATTCATCAGTCTCTTTGGTATTTAGATCTTAAATCTAAATTTTAAGAATTCGTTTCAGGTTAAACTAAACATTTCCTCAGTTTTAAAACTGCCCCCCTTCATATGCTATATGTCTTGTATATAATAACCTATTACTTGTTCATATGTTCATATGTCTTGTATGCCTACTAAAGAAAACAACATTCAGAGACATTCTCCACAAGCTACTAAATGGAACGAGATTTCATCGCAGAGAATGTGTGGGAACAGTTTATAAATGTTGGTAGTGGTGAAATACAGACATGTTGCAATGTTCCAAATTGAGCCAAACAAAACACCTGTAAAACATTTGAAACTCCCTTCTGTAATATAATCAAACAATACAATCTGTGCTCTCAGTTTATAACTAAAGATCAGAAAAGGCTTTAACCTCATTTTGTTTATGGGAAAGCTGTCAAAAGACAGATGTTCAATATTAAGTATGTCATCTTAAAAACTAAGCTTATTCATCTAAAAAAATGGGAGCCATTTTTTTCCCTTCAGGTCAGTATAAGACCTTTTGTTTAAAACTCTGCTCAACATTGGGGGAGTGAAGGAACTATTGTTAAATATGCATGAATTCGTCTGATGGATCTGAAATATTGTGGTTTCTGCATTATGCTCAAACAAAGATGGCATATGGAACCATGTCTGTGTAGTTTAGGTTAACACCACAAATCTAGAGTTGTCTTGACTAGTGATTCCTAAACTGAACTACTATTGGACGTGTGAAATTAATTGCAATTTGTTTTCCTCAAGTATGTTTTTCTTGGTCGGTGCTGCTGCCTTACAGCTCCTGCGTCCTGGGTTTGATTCAGGACAGGGGTCTCGTCTATGGGGAGTTTGCATGTTTTGTATGTTCATGTGGGTTTCCCCAGGTGTTCTGCTTTCCTCTCATTTCCCTATGACTCTCAGATGAGGATTATCTGTCTCTGAGGAGTCCCCCTGTGAATGTACCCTGCGATTCTCCAGCGTCCTGATTTAGGCCTTGTGCTTTGTCCTACAGACTCGTCTTGATCCTTACTAGTAAAAAGCGTTTTGATAATGGATGGACAGATGTTTTTTGCTGTTTAAAGTTCACCTTCCTTCCTTGGTTGAAATACTTCCTGGTAACTTTCGCAATCTTTCCTCAAATGAGCTGTAGGCTAAGATACAATTCTCAATGAGACAGGGGGGTGACAATCTTATCAAGTCACTTTCAGGATGCTCATCTAGAAATCCTAAACTTTCACAAAAACAGGAAATACTAATTGCAGGGAAGTACAAAAAGCGCTTATAAAATATGTGGTATAAAAATGATTCCCCAACCTTTCCTTAATCATATTTGCTGCAGATGTGCTATCGCATCAAGTTATAACAACAGAATACTGACATCAGACCAGTACAACAACCATCTGCACTCTGGATATTTTAACAGCAGGAGCTCCAGAATAGATCCCTGAGGGACACCAGACACTTGAGAGCTGTTGTGAGATGTAAAACATAAAGCAAAGTGGGTTTTACCAGGAGGATATACAGTGCATGAACACACAGCAGCTGTACAGCACTGGGGCATTTCTGCTTACACTCACAGTCCTGTTTATCACGTATCCAGCGGGCTGCAGCAGAGATGCTGAAATCAGTCTACAATATCTCAAACTTATCGGCATACTGTATGCGTCTCACAAAAGAGGAAAGGGAAAATCAAATGAAGAAAATAATGGGTTCAAATATTTTTTTACAGTTATACTGATAAAGGTTCAGTAATAAAATTAAATACTGCAAAGTTACAAGTGACTGAGACTTTTTAAAAATGTGTTCAGTTGGAAACATGGGGATTCAACATTTTGTCTTCCTTAAGCGCTTAATATTGGTTAATATATACTAACTTGCAAAGCAGTTTGCTCCTTTTAAAATATTAAAAAACATCTTTATAAAAGAGATCCCTGGGGGAAAATGCAGTTTACTACTTCCAAGTTTATCATACACATTTTTACTATATTTAATAAACTGCAACACAGTATTATTGTCTTATTATTGCCTGTTATAAGAGAGATAATCTGAATTAGTTGTATCGTTGCCATCATATATTGCAAAATACCTTTTAATTAAACTGGAAAGTATTAAGCGTATGCAAAGTGTCCAAGTAACTGTTTTGCGTTCCGTGTGGAGAATACTTCACATTTCCACTTGGTCCAGTTATGCATCACGTGTTCATATTCACTATGAAGTTGATTTTAATTTGCATTCTACAATACTTCGGAAAAATAAACTGGACCCAGTTCTCCATTCTCGCAGTTCACAAGAATTCACACCAACTCACACCATACCAGCGGCTATCACAATAAACCATGAATTTGTCAAATCTCAGTCAGAAGTATCTCAGCAATACCGGGCCTGGCCAGTACTTGGTTGCGGAGAACCAGCTCGCTGATTGGAGTGGACACTCTGCTGTAGGAGGTTCTTCTGTTTGATACGACACAACTTAATTGTCATTTAAGACCTTGCTTCGCACTGTTTGCACAAGTCCAGGGTGACATTTATGACATGTCTGTTCTGACAATCTGGTCTCCCAAACTAAAGTTTTCCACTTAGTTCAGCTGGTGATGCGGTTTCTCACTTTTCAAGTTTTTGTACTGTATAATGGGGCTGCTAGCGTATAGCGCTCACCCAGAAGGTTGCTGTGCTTCAGCTGTGGAATGGAGTGGGTCCCCTCCCCAACGAGAGGTGTTTTGAGTTCCTATATAATAATATAGACTAGGAGAATACTAACATTTCAGTGAAGTTAAAACAAGCTCAAAAAGGCTAAACACTGAAGGATTCCACTATGAAACTATAATGTGTTTGGCAATGTTTTCTTAGCTACACAGATAAGCTAATTCACACTGAAGATGTATCCTAAGTATTACAGCCAAGGGCAACTGAGACTTTTGCTATTGCCTACTCCCTTTCTATACTTTCGTATCCCTGTTTTATTTTAGTTTGGTTTTCCTTTGATTTTTATCTCTGTTTCAGCTTCATCTTTATTTTTGGTCTTTTTTTTTAATGATTAATTGTACTTTCAATGTTGTCTTTTGCCATATTAGTCTCTGTGGTTCGCAGGGTGGGGGGAGGTGATTTTAAGGTCAGTAACTTAGAGGATTTATAGCTTGGAAGCTTTGTTCAGCTGTTTATGTGGATGTTTTGCTCCCCTTGTAAAACTTCAATAAAAAGATTTTAATTAGTACGATGCAAAATGCCACAGTCAATAAAGGCAAAGATGTTCCTGTTCTTTTCAGTAGACACTGCCACCCAGTGTTCAGATAGTAGCAGATCCTCATTCAGTTAACTTTAATGCCAAGACGGTAATAACAATCCTATAACAGTATCTAAACCCATTCATCCTCCTATTTTTTAACTGCTGTTGCGGAGGAGCCAGAGCCTATCTAGCAAGCAAAGCAATAAGAACATTGCATGGCACACTTTGGACAGGATGTCCGTCTATTGCAGGGCACACAAGAGACACAGACACAAACACAAACACACTCACTCACACCAGGGCCAGCTTGCCCAGAAGCAAATTCTCCTCGACTCACGCCTTCGGACTAAGGGAGGAAACTGAAGCACCAGGAAGAAACCCACACGAACACTAGGAGAACATACAACATACTCCGCGCAGATAGCTCAGGGTCCCAGTGTTTCACCACCGTTTCCCGTATTTACAGTATATCACTACAAATATCAACTTTGCATGGCTTAAAAACTATTCTAGGCCATGAAATGTTAAAATCTTCCATTTAATTGAAACTAATAGAATACAAATAGAGGAGAGGACTGTATAGTAAGATTTGCCATATAATTCCCCACCTAATATTTCTATTTGAAATCCAGAGCCAAAATTTACAAGGGAAGGATTCTAGCTCTTTCCCAGCTATACTAAAGTCATTGTGTTTTGGATGCCTCTTGCATGGCCAGTGGATGTGGGAAAAGACAGCAGCGCCAGCTGTTACATACCAAGAGATAGTGCAGCTTACTGGAGTTTCAGCTGAACTGCAGCTAGAGCAGGTTCCACAGCAGGTGTTTGAGCAAGCTGTAGAGAGGACATCTTTCCTGTTAACACAACGCCGTTTCAAGCAGGGGACCTTGAGGACAAAACCAACCAAACAAACATTACCAACAATAGGACACTTTGCACCACTTACCTGAGTAGACCCTACATCTTGAATTGAGAAAGTAGATTGTGGATAGTTATCTGAAAGTAGCTGGAAATCTAACAAGCCAGATGAATGTAGCAATGTTAAATACTTTTTTTACCCCTGGAAGCAGGCAACATACCATACAGAGTCAATACACAGAATATAAAGGGGTGGGAAAGGAGCTGTTTTAATGCTGTGTTTAATTTGGGCTTCAGCCTTTCAATATTGTAAAGCCTGGCATCATCCAACATCAATGCTTTCCCACCAACTGTACAATGTTTTTGCATTTCTTAAAATATAAATGTTGATCTCCAGACACTGTCGAGCATAATCTTCCAAATGGGATCCAAACATGATTTGGTTTTAACGTTAACGTAGTAGCGGGTGTTAAGTGTACTGACAGTGCTCAGTAAGGGAATACAACCTCAGGAAGATGCATAACAACACTCGATAGAAATTTAACAGCCAGAAACTTAACTGTTTTGATTACAGCCATGCTTGAAAGTTTGTGAACCCATTACATAATTTGAGATTTTTTTGTTTTTTTTTTAACCACAAAATGCATATTTAATCAGAATTTGCCATTTCCCAATTGAAATAAAGTATAATTATTCACCAATTTGACTGTTTGGAAAGAAAATGTCCATGCAGCAAAATACACACAGTATGCAGAAATTGTGCAGGTGTAAAAATAAGTTCTATGACTTGCATCAAGGTAAAACAGGATCAGGGGGGTCAATGACAGAGTGTTAACCAATTAACCAAGATAACCAATGAAACTGAAGATCTGAAATGATGTGTTAGGGAGGAGCAAACAAAAACAATTGCAAGACAACAGGTCACTCTTCCTACAAATCTAGCATCATGCCTCGAACTAAGAAAACAAACAGAACTGAGGAAAAAAAGTAATGGATGCTCATCAATCTGGACAAGGCTATAAAAACCATTTCAAAAAGATTCAGACTCCATAAATCCAGATAGGCAAAGAGTATACAAGTGGAGGGCATTTAAAACAATGGCAACCCTGCCAAGAAGTGGACATTCTCCTGCAATTTCACCCAGGGCCACAAGGAGAATAATAAGAGAGGTAAAAGGTAATCCTAAAATAACATTCAGAGATCTACAAGCCATAGTGGCGCATATATCAACAATTAAGAAGAACCCTGAACAGAAATGCCATTTATGGAAGGATCACCAGAGAGAAGCCTCTTCTGTCAAAAATGAACAAAGCTGCCCATGTGAAGTTTGCCGAAATTGAACTATTTGGGCACTATTTGGGCCCATGTTTGGCAAAGAGCCAACACAGCCTACCACCAACAAAACCTTACCCCTACTTTCAAGCGTGGTGGTGGGAGTGCCTTGTATGGGGCTGTTTTTCTTACTCTGGCCCTGGGCAACTTGACATCACTGAGGGAATCATGAATTCTGAGAAATATCAAGGAATTCTTGAGAAGAATGTCAGGCCATCAGTTCGAACACTCATGCTAGGCACCAAGTGGATGTTTAAACAAGACAACAATGGAAGAGGTTCCATGTCCTGGAATGGCCAAGCCAAAGCCCTGACATGAATCCTACTGAAATGCTGTGGCAGGACCTGCAGAGGGCTGCTCATGCAGGACATCCTTCAAACCTCACAGAGCTGGCGAAGTTTTGTAAAGAGGAGTGAGAAAAAATCCCTGCAGCAGACATATCACTCTGCAACTCACAACTGGTAACCCACTGAAGCAGATGTGAGCTTGGTCAGTATCTGGATGGGAGACCTCCTGGGAAAAACTAAGGTTGCTGCTGGAAGAAGTGTTAGTGGGGCCAGCTGGGGGCACTCACCCTGCGGTCCATGTGGGTCCTAATGAACCAGTATAGTGACGGGACACTATACTGTAAACAGGCGCCGTCCTTCGGATGAGATGTAAAACTGAGGTCCTGACTCTCTGTGGTCATTAAAAATCCTAGGGCGTTTCTCGAAAAGAGTAGGGGTGTAACCCCGGCGTACTGGCCAAAATTTCCCATTGGCCCTTACCAATCATGGCCTCCCAATAATCCCCCTCTATTAATTGGCTTCATTACTCTGCTCTCCTCCCCACTGATAGCTGATGTGTGGTGAGCGTTCTGGCGCACTATGGCTGCCGTTGTATCATCCAGGTGGGGCTGCACATTGGTGGTGGTGGAGGGGAGTCCCCATTACCTGTTAAGTGCTTTGAGTGGAGTGTCCAGAAAAGCGCTATATAAGTGTAAGCAATTATTATTATGAATTATAATTGGTTATAGGAGGCGAATGTGTGAAGTTATTGCTGGTAAAAGAGGTGCCATAAGTTATTGACCGAACATGGTTAATTTACTTTCGCACACAATATCTGGTGATTTGTTAAATATCACACCCTAATTATCTGAGTTTTTATGTGTGGGAAGTCTTTATTTTAGAACATTCATTCCATATATTCATTAAGAGTTCTGGTTCGTATAATATCCCTATATCTAAAATAATGACTGCCTTGAAGGGTTCACAAACCTTCAAGCATAACTAACTACACCGCAGGTAAAAACACCATGTAGGAAAAAAGCTTCACATATAAATCAACTATTTTATTTAAGAATACAAATTTACATAAGAACACATTTACATTAAAAACCAGTGAGGGTCATTCAATGTTTAACAGTAAACTATTTGACAATCTTTAGTTGAAAAGGACATCAGGCCTAAACAAAGCAGGACTGAAGCCATCGTTAGCATTTCACGTGCTGCTACAGCGAGTACAGAAACGTCTGGCATACACACAGCAAGGCATCATCCTTAACTACAGTGTTTAAGACCTCGCTTAGTTGCAGTGGAACAACTTGGGCACTAGAAAAAAGTGAGCATGTGTAATATTTGTATTTTTCCTGCCTCCTCACTGTCCTGACTTGGACAACGAACCACACATTTAGATTACTATTTATTATACTACATTGCAAATGTACAATATTTGTAATGACAATTAACATTCGTAAAATAAAAACTAAGCCTATATGGGAGCCTTGTAAGAAAATGCAATTTGTCTACTTTTGCTTATAAATACAAAATTTAAGTCTAATTAGCTTTTTTTGCACTTAATGTGTAAACTTACTTTGACAGACAAAGAAGGTACAAAAAGTGAACTCTAGTGGAAGATTATGTATTGTTGATACCATTTCCTCATTGGCTAATTAAGCCTCTTAATGGAACTGTCCAACACTATTAAAAATATAAATATATTTTAGATTGTTACAAAATGAAGACTGGAAATGTGATTAAACTTTGTTCTTCTGATATGCACAACTCAGTTTTGCTTCTAATCTGGAATAACCATCACATTTAAACTGAACACTAGTATCTGGACAAATATTTTCAATTTACCATTAGGTGGGAAAATGTCAGAAATACGAAGCCACAGACCACAGCCAGTTTGTACATGCTTAAAGAGTATGCTCACTTTCCAAGTGGCTTCGGGTGACTAAGTGCACGGGGAGTTACCATCACTAAAGGTAACATCCAACATCTGCCCTCAGATGACACTTCGCCACCTTCCCAGGTTTTTCCAGCATCTGTCCCATAACACAAATACACAGAAACAGTTGGACGAGGGGTTCCCTTTGGGCACAATCTTAATTATCCATTCCCTTCACACAAAGGCCAAAAAAAAATACAAACAGCTAAATAAATTAGAGGTATATCATATAATTAAATTAAATAATAGTTACCTAACTCCAACCTGATACACTGAATATACATTTATATATATATACAATACTTTCAAATTAAGTTACATATAGTACACACACAGAATCAGAAATACATCTTAAAACCGTATTGCCTTGTACTTCACAAAGAACGCCGACAGAACTAAGGAGTGCGTAAAACTGAAAACATCAGGGGAAGTTTTTTTCAACATCAACCACCTGCTACTTCTTCAAATGTGCACATTTTCCTGCTACACATACATATAGTATATCCTACCACTGTGAAATGCCCAGTTCATATCCACGCTCCCCTCACCAAAAGCTATGGCCCTTTCCTTTGCCGACAGCATACTTTAATCAAGGAATGACAAGACGCCACACACAAGGATGTGAGATTTCAAACTCTCCCAGACATTCATAAACTTGAAATGAAATAAGAACGACAGCAGAGTGCCTCTTTACTAAAGGGAACGCCACCAGCTAGGTCTTCACATGAAGGAAACTGTACACAATAATACAACAAAGAAAAACCTCCTTGGTATTTAGAGAGTAAACATGCTCATTACCCAAGTACATTTCTTTTTCAATCAAGATGGCGGGCTTAAATATTCTCAGCATCTTACTTAGACCGATCCACTCCTCACCTGTTTACATGAAGTCATCAGTTCAGTCTTCAGTTGTGCACCCTACTTCAAAGGCACAATTTGCTTAGTTTTCACACCATGTGTGAAAAAAGCATACATTTTATAAAGTGCAGAGTTAATCTGAGAACAAACGTAAGTGGCCTTCTTGGGCCACTAGGATTTTCATGCTGTTTTCTTATATGTATTTCAGTCAAGACATTTCTTGGGGGTCCATTCTGAAAACTAGCAGGAACATGCTCCTCCATGGTGTTGCCCCTCTTCACTAATTGTGCGCTTTTCTTCCTGAGTAGATATTGTAAACTTACACAACTTTTTACACAAGATAAAGGTAAATCTGTATACTAGTTATAAACAATATATAGATTTCTAAGTTAAAAAAATCTTGACAGCAATGAATTTCCCTCTTAGGGGCCATCTAGTAGTGCCAGCAGCAAAATATCGTGGAGCAATGAGAAATCCAAACCCATAGGCTCAGCCTTTTGATTATGCGAGACTGCATATTGCTCTCTAATCAACTACAACTTCTGTCTGAAGGACAGCAAGCAAACAAGTCCACAAACACCACCACCACACAGTAAAAGGTGCTTAATTTTGTTTGGAATTGCTTTTCTTCAACAACTGTTAGTGTTCTTTTGCTGTAGAAAACATTGATAAATTTGGCCGTGGGGCAACTTAAATACCCAAGTTTACTTATCTTGACTCTGATGGAAATTAAAAAGCAAATACCTTCCGTAATTTTTGCAATCTGTTGGGGAGAGTCATAAACACTTATCTGTAGCAAACTGACAACCAGCTTGAATCTTAGATGAATTAGAGTAACATGAAATTTCATTTAAATTTGCCTTTACAAATTAAAAGGTTTATTACAATATTAAGGCTAATCTGTAATATCCAGATCTTAGTTGAAAAGATCAGAAATGCAGTCGGACAGTAGATGCCACTTATTAGCAATTCTGAACCAGGCTATTTGCAAAATTTTACAACAAACAATCTATGAACTCCAATTTTACACAAATTCATTTAACAGAATATAATCAGTCAAATTTGCTTTAAGGCTCAAGTGCACAGACAGATGCCTGACTACAAAACCTTAAGGCATTTTCGCTGCACATGCTTTGTATTGTGATTTCAGAAAACAGTTTTCGCCTCTTAGTAACCCAGACTAGGAAAGTGAACAATGACGTGGACAATGAACTCTCACACAAAACGGCCCCACAGAAGACTTAACTCTGTGCTTCAGAAAATAACGCAAGTTCTTTAAGTACTCGTTTCTATTCCATACTAGTTTTGGAAGTCATAACTGGAATTTTACACCAACATAAAAATGTAGACTTCTATTCCATGTTCCTTCAACGTTGTCGACGTTTCTTCAACATCTGAAGGGAGGGGGATTCTTTGTCTCATTGATAACCTGAGTGGTCATTAGCAAGTAGCACCTACTGTATTTTAAAACTGCTGAGCTCTAACTTTGACTTCAGGGGACTGTGGCATCCTTTTAGCTGAAGTACGTCAAGACCACCGACTGGATGGGCTGCCTGCACACCGGACACTGCTTGTTGCGCTTCTTCAGTTTCTTGGCGCAGGTGTAGCAGGCCATGAGATGGCCCGTCCGGCCGTGGACGATGCAGCCGTTCTTGGGTCTGCTCTGGCAGATGACGCAGGGGTCCACGCAGCTCTGGGGGAGGCACGAATCCAGGCTGCTCTGACGCTCCAGCTCAGGAACCTCCTCCTGGCTGAGCGCAGTGCCGCTGCTCGAGGTGGAGGGCTGGGAGCACAGGGTTTCCTGGGATTCGCACATGGACGTCACGCAGCTCTTCATCACCAAGGCCTCTTTGCAAGAGTCCTGCTTAGGGTCGCAGGGAGGCTCGGAGCAGGACCTCTTACCATCGGGGACATCCACGCCCTCCTCCCGAGAGCACTTGTCCTCCGCTGCGTTAGCAGAAGATTTGGATTCCCAGGACTTGGGATCAGCGTCGGACTCTGGGAACCAGTCTTGACGGATACCCCAACACCTGTTGCAGTGGCGTGGGAGAGGAGGGTTCAGCTCATCACAGCGCGCGCACTTCCAGTAATCCTTCAACAAATAAAAAACACTAATTTGAGAAGAAAAATACCGGTGAGAAGAAAAACGTTAAGTACGACAGTCCTTGAAATGAAACGTGAGGTTATTAATGTGTCTGGTCATTAGGTTAGGAAATATTCAACATGGTTTACTCGTGCTTTTTTAAAGAAACAAACTCCAAAGTATAACATTTTTGTAATACCTTGTGAAGCAACCTAAGTCGGTTCAGAACACAAAAAAGAGTAGAGAGTTCTTGACCGATTATTAATACATTAAACCCTCAAGAACCATATTACTGTTTTGTGCCTTTGCAGCTGGTCTAGGTTTCATCACTTGCTAATTTCATTCAAAATTAAGACCGCATACTATAAATATAGCCCATTTCCAATTTTGTATGTGCAATACCTATGCAAATTTTGTCATTAATATGATTTCAAGCCACCATAACCAATATCTGCAAAGGAACAAGTAATAGGTTTATTCCATGCTGAAAAAAAGAAGAGAGAAAACAACGTTTCGGCCATAGAGCCTTCTTCAGGTCCAAGAAAGACAAGGCACTAGGCAAAGGTAATGTAGCAGGAGAACAAAGGCAGGGAGAGAGGAGGAGTGAGGCGGGAGCAGGGGACAGAGAGGCCAATCAAGAGGTGTGAAGTCAGAATGGGTATAGAGAGGTGTGAAATGGAACTTCCAATGAATGGAGAAAATTTACAAGAAGAGTAGTCTGTCGTTAAGGAAGGTGGAAGGTGTGATCCTAGCTTTCTGATGTATGAGTTCAGAAAACCGTCTTTGAGAACACAGACGGAGAGATTAGAGTGGTCGTGGCCGTCAGAGGTGAAATGAGAAACAATGGGCTTGGAGAGATCTTTAATCTTCACAGCCCTGACGTGTTCTCTGAAGCAGTCTCCGAGTCTCCTTCCTGTTTCTCCAATGTAGATGGCTGGGCATTTACTGCAAGAGATATAGTAAATAAGGTTGCTGGAGGTACAAGATGCCTTCTGGGTGATCCGGAATTGTCCTGAGGGGCCTTGAATGAGTGTGGTGGTGGATGTGTACTTGCAGGTGATACAGCGAGCTCTGTTGCAAGGGAAAGTGCCTGGTGTAGATGGTTGCTGAGGGCGGTCAAGGGAGCTGTGAACAAGAAGGTTGCGCAGATTAGGTGATCCGCTATATGAAATGATGGGGCGGTCAGAAAAGAGGGCCCCAATGGAGGGATCATCCTGTAGGATGGAAAAGTTGTTTTTAATAGTCCTGGGGATAGGAAGTGTGTTGGGGTGGTAGGGAAGCACCAAAGGAATGCGGTTGTTACGGCGGGAGTTCCTGATTGGGTTGATGGTCCGAGGGGTGTTTTTGACTCGGGCAATGGCCCTGTGAATAACACTGCTGGGGTATCCTCTGTTGATGAAACCACTCTAATCTTTCCGTCTGTGTTCTCAAAGACGGTTTTCTGAACTCATACATCAGAAAGACTACCAAAACCAAACTTATCCTGCAGCTAGGATCACACCTCCCACCTTCTCTTAACAACAGACTACTCTTCTTGTAAATTTTCTCCATTCATTGGAAGTTTCATTTCACACCTCTCTATACCCATTCTGACTTCACACCTCTTTCCGTCTCACCCCTCCTCCTTCCCAGCCTTTGTTCTCCCGCTACATTACCTTTGCCTACTGCCTTGTCTCTCTCGCACCCGAAGAAGACTCTACGGCCGAAACGTTGTGTTTTCCCTCTTCTTTTTTTCAGCATGGAATAAACCTATTACTTGTTCCTTTGCAGCCTACGATTGCTGACGCAGCTACCCACCCGAATAACTAATATCTGTATTCATATATCTGTATAAAGAAAAGGGTTTCTGTATGAATTACCACAGGCTGTACTTTTCTAAATTAAAAAAAAATTGCACAGAAATAAAAACATACAGGCCATGCCCTCTATTAGCAAACCCAGACCACTTCAAGCCAGGAATTCAGATTAACCAACGTCTACAAATAAGTCTATTTTATTGTAGGTCAACGTACTGCTTCAGATATTTCGGTGTCCTCGTCAAAGGAGTCATCGCCATTATCAGCTTCAAAAATGGTGACTTCATAAACCTAACAGAGAGACAATATGTAAATTTCCAGTCAAAATGTAGGGAATGACATCAGCATGCATCATGTCTATAAGACATCCAGACCACAGAATCACACAAAAACTTTCACTCACCCATCCACTGCATTTAAAAACCTGAATGCATATTTATTTTGCAAGTGTTTCTTGTTTCTACTCTATTCTAACCAGCCATGAACTACCAGATTTGATCCTTGCAAGTGGGTTAATTCATGTCATTAAACATATTTCCTTGTTTAAAACTGTAGAATTTGATCTTCCTCTCCCTGACCCTTGGAATTGAAGTGGTGGTATTGGTTAAATGAGGCACATCACATTTAATTTAAGCAAAGCTTCCACACTGGTATGGCTTCTTCATTAAGCAAATAAATGCCCAGCATGCTTAAGAGTAATTTATGAAACACCTAGTTGCCTATACGTCTGGCCATCACAGCTGCAAGAAGAGACTTAAGTGACTTTGAAGAGGGGTGACTGCTGGAATGAGCTTGGTATAAGCTTCAGTAGCCAAGACAGCTCAACTTGCTGATGTTTCACAAGCAGCACTGTCTAAGGCCAGGTCAGCATGGACCTCCCAGGGAATAACATCAGCAAATTGCAACAGTGTGCAGAAGGGCAGATTTGAGGAATGATATGTGCACTAATTCAAAGTGCAGAACAAGAGGTCAACTACAGCTCAACAGACCCCACATTCCATCCTGAATTTCACTGTGGGGCGCATTTCCCTGGCATGGTTTGGGTGCATTCCTCCAGAACGGTAATGATCCCATCCACAGAGCGCATGTGGTCACCCAGTGGTTTGATGAACTTGATACTGATGCTTTTGTCAGTCACGAGGTCTGAACCCAATCCAGCTCATAGGGGATATGCTGGAACAACACCCGTGACAGCGTTTTCCACACACATCAACCAGACTTTTTCATGGAAGAGTGGTGCCGCACCCCTGCTGCAGAATTCCAGATGCTGGCTGACTGTATTCCATGACACGCAAAGGGTGCATGTGGTGGCTCAACACCCTATTAAGTCAGCTGTAGATTGCCGTTTCCATTTGCCATATACACTACATGTATATGGCCCTGATTATTACTTGAGATTTCCCTTAGTACTGTCAGAGGCAGTATTACTTTATATGCTTTTTCTAAACAGTGCACTAGTTATGTGCTGGACAATCTCTCATCAGTACATCTACAGAAAAAAAAATAATTGTCCACATGTATGCCTAATTTTGGATCTCAGCAATTACAGGACATCTCTCTTTAAGAAAATAATTAAAAACCTCATCATCTGCATCCGTCAGCTCTGAAGTCTCATCATTGAGGCTGTAGGTATCAGAGTATATCGATTCCACCTCAAACTCCACACTGAAGTTGTCTGAATCAGAATCGTGACTGAATGAACTTTCAGAGTCTTCACCTGTAGAAGTGTTTAAGTCCTGTAAGAAAAACAATGATCTTAAATAACAGGAAATCGTTTCTTTAGCATAAACAGGCCTACCAAGTGGGATTCTCCCTGATTTTGTAGTCACAGTAATGTTATTTTGTCAATAAAATTAAAAAGACCTGATCATAAAATTGCTTTGGTCAAGAAAAATTGGAATATCAATGGTTAATAAATCGAATAAAATCTCCTCCTTTTTTTTAATGAAGGATGAATAACTGAAAAATTGTAGGGATGAGTACTGAAACATGGTAGTTGAACCATCTCTTACTTCATTACTTAAAATTAAGTAATGTTTTAAGCTTTGCAAATTCTACATTACAAAAACAATTTTTCAGAAACACATTCTGACATTTCCAGTTCTATTTAAGACATTAACTCTAAAATGATTATAGTGAAAATACTTTACTTACAGCATTATCTCGAGAATCTGATGATTCACTGCTTACACTATCTCTTCGCAAACCTCCAATGATGCACCAGGACAAGCTTTCATCAAATGTGAGAGAGATGCTGTCAGACTTGTGTCTTTTCCGTCGGTCACACAGCTCTTCATCAGTGGATGTTTCTTGTTAACAGAAAAAAAAAATCACAACTTAAAGGCATACCTCCCAAAACAAAACAATTCCCGCTGCAAGCTTCAGAGATCGACTTTGATGTTTTGGACTTTCCAGCGAATTCCATTTGGGTTTTAAAACACTTTTGACTTATTTTTCCTTCACATCTGTTATTTGTTGAAATAAAGTGAGATTTTATACAAGCATTTTATCACTTCCTCCCAACTTTGATGACATCTCAAAGTGAAATAAACATTTGAAAAATTAACACTCAGCCTCATACAATACATTATATAAAAGCTAGCGTGTAATTTGAACTTTTAAGACAGGATTTCTTCAGAACCGAAAGCAGAAAGCTTTTCATGGTTTCAGTAAATTACTGGACTGTATAGGAAGATAACCGTAACTCATTATATAAGCCCTCAAAGGGGAACTGTAACACTTTTTACATTTTGGGGTTAAAAAGAACAGGCATTGGCGAAGGCATTTTAAACCACAGTGAAAGTAAAACGTACACAATAACATTTTAAATCTCCTATTCACATCACAAAATAGAGCAAATATCCAGGTATGTGCAAAACCATATTCTGCGATTCAGAACGAGGTAACAAAACCTCCAGAGACGGGAAGAGGGTCTTATTGCATTGTAAGCAAGCAGGCCTGTGACGAGTTAGCAGGAAAAGCCACTCCACTTCATAATCTGTGAATACTCTCGTTCCCACCTGAGGCGAGTACAACAAATTGAGGAAAATTCAGCATTTTCACAAAGTTAATGATTTTGTGCTTAATTCAGAATTAAAATTTGGCAAAACAGTCAATGTATTTTGTTACCGAGATCTAAAAACTAAATTGGAGAAATTGGTATTGCAGTTCCCTTTTAAAAGTGAGAAGGAGCTAATGTGGATTTCAGAGTAAAATCTGCATGAAGCCAGTTCAATGAAGCTAAAACAGGAGTAAAATCCTCATGCACTTTAGCTTTAGTTCAGATCTGAGCATCTAAGTTCTGAATATACTGCAGCTTGAACATGTTTGGATACATCAGGAAGCACTGCAATAATCAAGTCAAGAAAAGGCAAAACAAACACTAGCTTCTCTGCATATGACTGGCTTCAAACACAAGGCTCACATGAATGCCAACACCAAGATATCAGTGAAATCACCTGTATGAGAAACAGTTTCCACACACAGCGGATCACACAGAGAGTTGAAAAATCATTTCAACTCTTAAGGACAAAACTCAACATAGGCTGAACTATGCATGGTCAAAAATGGAACTTAACCACAGCATTCTGGTTAACTCCCCTGTTCTACAGAAAACTATATTAGGATATTTAACAATCAAGTAGGACGGTCCTTCTGTTACTGTCTCCTTACCTTCCAAAACATTTTAGCCCTCGTCACCAGCCCAAAACATCTCCCAACTGGTCTATGAACACCACTTAAGATGCTGCCTGATTTTCCTTACCAGCCTCCCCCATCCCAGTAACGAGCAGACAACCTTGACCAGCTTCTGAGAGAACTGTCAAGGGTGGGCTACAAGGTGGTAATGCTGCCTTCATTACAAGTGATCACAGCACTCCGGGGAATATCAGCAATGTAATTATTTGTGATAGGTACTAGTTTGATTACTGAACAACTTTATATGCTGGGACTAAAATCCAGTCCCTGCTAATATGTTTAGAAAGCCCCTACTTCACAAGCCCAGGATCACCCTGTGGGCATAGTATTAAGTTAACCAAGCAGAAAACTCCTCAATGCTAGTTTAAATAAGACGTAAAAAAAGAAAAAAAAACTGTCTGAGGTACCCACCAGGGTCACTACTTCTCCGCCTTCTTCGTCCAGCGGTATATGAACAGGAAGCATCGGCTGACGCTCTGTTACTTTCTCCTTTTGTGATTTCTGAATCAAATTCCTACAAAAGATACAAAATAGAACTGCTAAGAAAAATAATCAAAGTAGGCTACCCTACCTTACAATACATAAGATCTCCATCTGCAATGCTTTTAACCTCCTACAGTCTGAAAAAAAAAGGACTGCTGCAGATTATCACTGTAAAATGTACTGCAACAAAGGTTTCTGAATATGTTAAACATGCATACAATTTCACACAAACTAAAATTATACAAACCTTATTTAGAACATGACTAACAAAATCCATTTCAGCAGTCTGAGGAATCAACCGAGGAATAGTGTACTATCATACTGCGCTACAGGTAACTGCCCAAATAAAGAAACAAAGTATCTTAAAAGGGCACTGGACCACCAAAAGTCATCAGAAGAGCTTCAATGCACCTTGGCATATATTCTACAAGTGTCTGGAACTCTACAGGAGCGAAGCGACACTGTTCTTCCTTCAGACATTCCTTCACTTGGCGTTCTGTTGACTTTTATCCTGTGGATGGGCTTACCGTCATCCTGGAAGGTTCCAGTACCATCAGGATAGAAATGCTTCACCATAGGATGAACACAATCAGAATGCATCCATTTGCATTTGCCTTGCCATCTAATGGGTCGAGTGGACCTAAACCACACCTTGAAAATACACCCCACACCATAACACAGAGGCCAGAACTCTTCATCTTGAAAAACTAGCACTCAAGCCTGTAGGCTTCTTCTGGTGTGCACCACGTACTCATCTGCATTTTGAGAACATGGTGGAGGATGACTCATCTGACCATGACTTTTTCCCCACTGCCCATATTCTCTTCACCACTTCACTCACAAAAGTGCATTTTTAGTTGTAACAAGGGGTTTATACGCTGCAACTCAACTCAACCTCTTTTTCCGAGTGCTTTTTATGAAAATTCAATACTACAAAGGATGTGAATTGTTACCCACTTTAACAGAGTGGTGATAAGTTGAATAAAAAAAGCAACTTTGAAATTACTAAGTGAGATGAATAAAAATTGTGAAGCCTCCGCCAAATGTGGAGTGGAAAGGAAGGCGTCATCCAACTTGTTTTACATGCTGTGTACACATCACGCTTCATGACCCATGTTGTCGTTCAGTTTTCGTCCTGTACGTGTACGATTATGTAATGAGAGTGCAAAATCGGACGTCAATTTCAGTGTCCTTACTCACGTTTGTGCAGGAGCATTCCCTCAAAAGGCTCCCTTATTTTGTTTCTCGTTTTCCTAACCTCAAACACAATGCCGAAGTGAAAGTCTAAATTCACAGCAGAACTAAAAAATAAATTTCTGTTTTCTAAGCTAAATGGTTGGTGTGTAAGCCTGGCACTTTTGTCTTCATGGCAAATAAAGGTGTACTTGACTTGCAAGCTCATGTTGACTTAGACAAACACAAAAAGGCCCTCCGAGGAGAGAGTTCATCAATCAAGTTAACAGATTATTTTGTAAAATCTGGCAGCAAAACAGAAGATACTGTATTGCAGCAGAGGGGACTTATGCATTTCACAGTTAAACATTACAGTTACTTTACTAATGAACATAAAACATGGGATATTTTGAAAGCCCTCTCCATCCCGACCCCCTTCCCAGATAAGACAATAGGAAAGTTCCTCAGGGTGTACTCTTTTTTTGATGTTCAAATATGATAAAATCCTAGTGGAAAATATATAATCCTCCTCGTTCTCAATGGGTGACCGTGATCCACCGGTTCATAATACTTGATTTTCGAGGTATTCATTTTCGATCATTTTCGAATTTGGCCCCAAGGTGTCTTTCTCAATGGACGAGAGGAGTATGAACACTCAAGTATTAGACCGCGCTGTATCAACGTAGCTAAGTATGTAGGCTGCGTATTTTACACAAACTAATTTGATTAAAATAGAAAACATGAAATCCTGTCTCAAGCTTTTTGAAACTGATTAAGTAAATTTCATGTGAAAAATCTACATAATTTTTAATTATTCGATTTTTAATTCCCAATACTTCAGTGCCCACAACAAATTTCCAGGGTCATTTGGCGTACCGCAGTTTGAGAACCACTGGCTTAAGTAACTCGGGATCCACTGTAGAAGCACCTGTGTTCAATATCCCTCATTTACTTAAGTGTTTCCTTTATTTTGGCAGTTACCTGTACATACCAGCTATGAATTACTTTTGTTTTTGTGTCAGTAGGGCATAACTATATGACTACTGGCACCAATAATACTGTTCTTTGTATATTACTAAAAAGTCAATATTTGGAGTACTCTGAAGTTAATTACCTGAGGTCCTCTGTCAGGTTCGCTTTGACTTCTGAGTTCCGTGAATGCAGTCTGTGAATCTTCATAAAATAAACTGATATTAGGCATTTAATAACAGTATCAGAAAAGATCAGCTGGTGTTGCTTCATAAATATTCGGTCATTTCATTAATACAAGCCTTCCCTAGATAATGGCAAAGCAAGAATTTAGGACAGTATGTTGAGAATTATTGGTTACCATTAAAACAAAACACATTAGTTTGTCAGTTATCTCTTCATATACCTATATGTTGTTAATCTTTCTATATGCATCATCTATAGAAAAGGCAAGCTTTTTCCCTCACATTTATAGAATCAGAGTATAGGGGATACAAAAACTCTATTGTTTTCAGATGACCATAATAGCACAGCACTACTGCATCTGCTAGTCCTTCGACACTTGCTGAGCCCATATTTCACACAGCACACCCACTGCATACTTCAAGAGCCAGCAGAAAAAAAGTTGAAGGATGTTGAAAAACACACAAATATACCTTCATTTTTGACTGCAATCAGGTTCTTGGAAATCAAAGCGTAGAGATTCCTAAAAGAAAAAGAAAGTTACAGTCTATAGTATTGCGGAAGATTGGCCTAAGGTTTTGGGACATTCTGAAAAATGACTGGCACTTAAGGGGCAAACAGCAACAAATTCCTGACAAAGTCACAAATTTTCTACTCTGGACATTTATCCCAAATAAGACCATTTAAACATATTGTAATAGTTAACATCCCTGTGAGATTTGTTACTGCCCAAGGTGTCGCTGTAGCTTGCCTGAGACAGCTGCTAACTCTCATTGAAGGCCAGCAGCACTCCAGGAGAGTTATTTACTTACACTGAGGCAAAGTTACACGTACCGAGGCTCTTTAACTGAGAAGCTGTTCACTCCCAGAACGTCCCCCAGAAGGTCATTTGTACAATGGACTATGTGTTGCTGCTTCTTGTCATAAAGCTGCTTATCCATTATATACTGCCCGAGGTAAAACATGATCTAAAATGCAAAAATATTCATCAAAACATTGAGAAAACACTGTTTCTGAGCAACTGCAATATTATGTTAACATTAATTTGGAAAATATTTACAAAAGTTCTGTAGGCTATTCCAAACTGATGGGCTGCTAAACTTACCTGTAACAATACCTAACTGGTACTTTAAGTAGAACAGCTCACACGTCTCTGCATCAAGTCATGAAGATGAGGAAAGAAACATGCCCCAGCATTGTCACCACAACACTATTGACTTACTGCTTACAAAATCAGCTGCTTTCATAAGCAAACCCCTGAAGTATTATTAAAGTACACCCTCCCTCTCTCAGCTGACACTACAGTCAAAACAAAACCAGAAATATTCATGTTAATGACCTTTAAATTTGCTTTGAAGAAGAATTGGGTTTCAGGTGACCTGCAGTATCTACAGTATATCATGTGTCATTTGTAAGGTCTCTTTTCACATAGCGCTTAGAAACAAGTCTCTGTTGTGCATTACTATTATCATCACCACAGTCTGTGATCCAACTTCACCCAACAATGGAAGTTGTAAGGTTCCACTTAGTCTTAATCCTTTTTATTTTTTGACCCGTCATTTAAATGACATCAAGACCTGTTGTAGCTGACAAACCCCTGAACAAGATTTTTATTAAGATAAAGAGGCACTTTTACATCAAGGACAAGAGGCTCTAATTTTAACAAATTTACAAAGTAGTTTTACGGACAATGTGATATTTCATAAACTGAAACAAATACTGATTTTTCAAATGACAGTATAATATTTTCTTTTTTTAAGGTTAAATAAAACTTCAGATCACATGACCTCCACATTTTGTTTCCATGAGTAACCTGTAAGCAGACATTTTTAAAAAGTCTCAGGCCATATCCATTTGGTACTTCCCACCAGCAGTACATGAACTATAGAGCCAATATCCCTCTCTTTTCACTTCATTTGTAGAACTGTGATTTAAAAATGTAATGTCTTGCATTACAAATAAAGGTTCAGATTGATCACATCTGAAGAGGTTTATCTACATTAGAAAAAAAGTCAGCTGTAAACAGGGTCAAGTCCCTGGTAAAAAGAATAATTTCATTCCGGGGAAAGGTAACACGCCAATTTAAATTGTACACTTTGATTAGGAAGCAGTTGTTTTAATGCAATGCAAGAGTCGATGGTAATGTGTTGAAAGCTCAACCCAGCCCAGGGAAGTGCAGCACATTTAACCAGTGGCTTCCCTGTGGCCACTCCCTTGTTACAGCAGAAATACAGCACAGGACTTCATAAAAAACTGTCAATAACCACCTGGACTCTCTGGGTATTTCTGAGACTCAAAGAAGGCAAAACGCCACTCCCGTGTCTCCCTTGAAGAGATTCAGATGGAGAATGTTATCAAACTACATACCAGTAGACAAGTACTTACCTCCTTCATTGTGAAAATATCTTTATCGGCTCCAGCATGCTGTAGCAAAGCGTGCAGTTTTGTTTTTGGTTTAACCTGCATATAGAGCAAATCAATTTAGTTATTCCCCAGGGCTGGAACATTATTTCAAACTGTGTGACAAAAGGCCAAGGAAATGACTTACGAGCTTTTCATTATCTGTCCCATTTATCTGTGAACTGCTTAAGCAGTTAGCAGTTGCCATTCCGTCAGTCATCTGCAACGGAGAAGAAGAAGAAAACAGTAAAAACGATGGGAACAAGCTTTGGAAAGAGACGCAGCCCCGTCCACTTCAGCAAGGGTCGCCAATGCTGGCCTCGGTGTGCAGGCGTGGAAAGCCAGTCTCAGAACCAGCAGCAGCGGCACCTGGAGAGCTGGGAGAAGCGGTCTGACCCAGTTAAACCAGTAGCCGGCTAGTTAAGAGCCCAGATGGAATGAACATCGCAGACACACCGGCTCTGCAGGTCCTGGATTTGACAAGTCGGGCTTAGTATTTTCAAAGGTAACAACCGGACATATCAGGAATAATCGAACCAGCAACACGACAGAGCCGCGACATACGCTTCACCTATTGCAGCACACAAACTGAAATCAAACAGACACTAAAGTAACTTATTTTATATCAAACCATCCACAGTACCCCCATCTCAAAGAGCCGTACAACAACCAGTGACGGTTTCCAACAACTGCTAAAAGCTAAAACAGGCCGGGCACAAATAACCGTACCTTTCCGGTGCACGAAAAATAAATACGAATTTCATAGGAGTTATTCACTGTACATAAAGTGCTCAGTGGCTGGTCTCTCGGCGACGCGGAGGCGCTTCCCCGGTGGCGAGCGCATTTAAAAAGCCTGGCCGGGACATGTCGGGGCTAGACCCGCCGGCCTCGCTGATGCGGCTCCGAGAGCAGCCTATGGGCGCCGAGGGCCGGACATGTCGCAGCATGACTGGCGCGCAAGTGCTGACTCACTCACTCACTCACTCGCGGCCGCCGCGCAGCGGCCAGATGTGCCCCGACATGCCCCGAGCGCACGACCCTGGGGGCTAATCGCTCTTCCCAGCGTCTCGCTTCGCCTACGAGATTAAAAGGGCTTGAGACGCCACGGCGGTGTTCGTTAGATAAAGAACGGTGTTCGTTAGATTTATTATTTTATTATTTTTATTTGCTTTGGCAACACTGATTGTACCTATCGGTCATGCTAATAAAGCACCTTGAATTGAATTGAATTAAAGAGCAAAAAAGAATAAAGGGGGGCCCTGACTTTTATAAGTCAGGTATAAGTACCTGACGTATAAAAAATGTTACAAGGCATTACCAAGTAAACGCTAAGTGTCGTTGTTTCCCCCCGCTTTGGTGCAGCTTTTCCGACATCATTAAAGTTCCAAGTCGCCGAAACGTGAAATGTCGCTGTTCCGCGCTTGGTCACGTGGTCCTCCGCCACACGTGACGGGTTTCATAACCGCAACGTCATGTAATTAACGTTTAAAAACGAGTATGTATATTATTAAAGCGTGAGGCGAGCAAAATCAGCGCACAAGACGAGAAGAAGAAGGAGAAGCGGACTCGGTGGTGCAAACGAGGCAAAACTTCTGTACACAGCTTTTCAGCAGAACACACGCGTTTTTTTAAATGCACGGAGAGCAAGAATTGTTACACGGTCCTCGACAGGAAATAAAACCAGTGCGGAAAATTATACTGCACTTCACATTCGCTATGAAATCTCTCCTTATTACCTGCTCTTGCACTTCGTCGGTGTCAACTTCTGTCCCGGACATTGCCTTGCAGGAAACCCCCAGGCTTCGTAGGCCGAGGCTGCAGCACGTATAATACAACCGCCTCTTGTCAGAATGAAAGAGCTCACTTCACTCGAGTAGGTTATTTCCACCAGAAAGAGAAAAACGATTAAATAACAATATCTGTAAACAACGTCCGGTACCACTACAACATCAGACTTTACTCTAGTGGTGGCGAAAAGCGCCACTATCAACGCTCACAACTCAGAAGACCACAAAGACACCGTCAGGGTTTGCAGCATGAGCATCATGCTGAAATTGACGGCCGTTACTGTCGTCATTAAAAATGAGCGCTAAATTTAGTTTTATATCGGAACCCCAAACCACTTTTTTGCACAACGCGTTTTTTTTAAAAAACATCAGTTCCGCATGCGCACGCACGTCACAAAGCCGCGCTTCTCAGGGCAGTGACGTCACAAGCAGGCCAAGTCCAAGCGCAAATTGTGCGCGTGCGCTTCGTGCTTTGCGGTTCACGGGAAGAGGGATGGTCTCTTCCTGAATATGCGACTTTTCGACTTGTTTAATTTAGTCTTAGTCTCTTCTTCCCTTCTTCACACCTTCGACTTTTGGTGTCCTGCCTGTTTTTTCCCCAATATTCCTATTTTAATTCGCTTAAGTGTCTGAAACTGGAACAAGAGCAAAGCTAAAGACCATGGGGACCAAATATTAGGCTTGTAATCTTTCTTGTGTAAATGGAAAGCACAAGATTAATAACTTTTAAGAATGCTATTACATGAAAAACTAAAGTCCGGGGACCACAACTGAGGTTTCCTCCTACTAGTTGATTTTACAACAGAGTTCAGCCACTGAATTCACAGCAATCATGTCATGTTCACACTGCAGGACACCTGCATATATCTATGTAATACTGTAGGGGTTTGGAATCTGTAACCTCAGTTTAGCATGAACAGCATAATGGAAAAGCAAGCCTGACTTGTAATTTTTCCTCCTTGAGAATAAAGCACATCACTGCTCAGCCCTCAAGTGAACACATGCCACTCTGTATATAGTTCCTTACTTCCAAAGAACAGTTCCAGTGCCTTTGAAAAAAAAAAAGCATGCTTCAGTTACAGCTGTGAGAGTCTTAATCTTAGGACATCGCTTTGATTAGTCTTACATTTTTTCCACTGTATATAAAAATGAATCTCATCTCTAGCATATTGGCAAAGACCAGAACTGGTGATATGGTACCACCTCACAATAAATTCATCTTAACAGATTTAGTGCAGAACGTTTGACAATATGCCATTCTTAAAAGCGATAAATCTACATTCTACATCTAAAACTCATTACATTTGTCCCTCTGAAACACAATAGCAGACTTGATTTCAATCAATAAAACTTTGCTGGATCTTCTAATCCTAACCCTTGCTGCAGCATTTTTTCACATCCACTATTATATGTGCTGTTAACATAGAGTTTCACAAGAGGCCATTTTCAAACTCCAGTTACCAAAGTTTTCCATTCTGCATTTGCAAAGTTGTCTAAAGAGCAGTGATTTTCAATTTTAACACTGCAGTCAACAAAACGCTTCTCAATCCCATGCAGTCATATGGACTATTGCTGATTCTCCACTCGTTTCTCAGTATTAAAATGTATGGAGCTAGGGTTAGGGATGGAGGATAAGACAAAATGGACCTTTCTAAACATTATGAATGTGAGTCATTTACTCCTAGAACTAAACAATTGATTATATTTTTCTGTTTTTTTATATTTTAGTGTTTTTTTAGGGGCAGTGCGGTGGTAAAGGATCTGCGTCTATGGCTGGAAGCTTGCCGGTACATATCCCGAGGCCAGCAGAGGAATCCTACTCTGTCGGGCCCCTGAGCAAGGCCCTTAACCCATGCTGCTCCAGGGGCGCCGTATAAATGGCTGACCCTGCGCTCTGACCCCAAGCGTCTCTCCCTGTCTGTGTGTCTCATGGAGAGCAAGTTGGGGTATGGGAAAAGACAAATTCCTAATACAAGAAATTGTATATGGCTAAGAAAGTGATCTTATTACACTACAGTAGGTGTTTGATGATGTGCCCATCTAAAAAGTGATAAATCAAAACTAAGAAGCTGAGCCCATTCTACTTGTTTTACTGCATGTCTGAAGGCAAGGACACTTGTTGGCTCAGTAACAAAGAAGTTTTTATTTAGACTGACCAGGGAAGATAAGGCCAGTTCATCTCACTAAACCTAGGAAAAAGTAGGGACAACTGGACGTCACATGGTTTGTATTTCTGAGAATGAGAAGTATTATTACCACGCTGCTGTTTAAATATATATGTCGTTCCATATATATCCTTGTTTGAACAGTGTTTTATTTTTTTATAGGGACACACAGGATGCTGTTCATGACTGTGTCTAACATATTAAAAGCACTCAGAAAAGGCCTGCACTGAGATTTCATGCCTTCCTACAGTTCTGGATCCTTCATAACTTCGAACACAAGAGACAGAAGGGCGTTGTAATAAGGGTAAAAGCAAAAGAGACCCCTTTTGATACCTGACATTTTAAACAAGGCAGTTTCGGGGACTGAACCTACTGTATCCGAGCCATGGTTTCTCTGCTAACAATTCTGGCTGCTGGGGTTTGTTTGTTTTTGGGAAGGGGTGGGAAAGCAAATCATCTGCCCTCCTTGGTTTTCTCCTGAAACTCGCCTGTTTGTTTTGTTTTACCAGGAAGCTGCTGGTAAAATAAAGCTAGCGCCGAAAATAGCTGCTAACAGAATTCTGACAGTTTTGCAGCAGGCAATGAGTATTTTCCTTGACAGCTGCAGTCTGAGGCAGGAACTGTAGGATGTCACAGAGCATGTGTTGGTCAGTCGTCAAGTGTCGTGGTAAAAAAAAAAACATAGGGAAGCTAAGTCATGTTTTCGAGGTCTGGTATTCAGCTCACACTTAATCACAGTTCACCTGATCACAAATAAACATTTACAGTACATCTCTCCCTCTGTATGTTCTGGAGTATTTTTTTCGAACCCCTTTCAGAACTGTTCCAGGAAAGGAACTTCAGCAGGCGAGTCATGGGTCATGAGTCAGTTTATTCCGGAAAACATAGTGCTTCATTTATGATTCTCAATGCTGAACATGTTTAGACATGTTCCATGGAGACAGCATCTCTGGTCAAGTCATGTGTTTTGGATAAAATTTACCTTCCTTAAGTTAAACACAGTCCTGACAGCCATGTGCATGCATTTGTACATCACTAGAACTATACAGAATTCCATATAAAGGTTATAATACTGTATATAGAAAAAAATGGTACTTTTAGTTTGGATTATTTTATTTAGGGCTACCATTTTGAACATTCAGACCAGAGGACGCCCTGTCGACAGGTGTGTGTTGGGGGTGTCCTGGTGGTATTTGTATCAGTGGGTATTAAAGTGGGTATTATCAGTTGAGGTGGAAAATGAATAGGGCAGTGAACTAGACACGTCTACGACTATCATCAACACATAGTCTCTGGGCAACGCTCTCTTAATCCCTAGAACTATTTTGAAAAATCCTGAACATGTCAAGTTTTGAGATGGATGGAGATTCAAGAACTAAAGAGGACATGTCCGGAAATTACTGGATGCGTGGTAACCCTGATTAGAAAAGTCTGACTGGTCAAATGGATTTTGTAATTTCTACAGTTTTTAGGGCTTATCTGTCAGAGAAAGCAGAAATAATTGTGAGCTACACTGATTGTGAGGTTTTTCAATGACACAACAGATTTTCTCCAAGGAATGCAGAAATATCTCAGAAGACATGCACACAGTCTGGAATTTGAGTCAGTCTGGAATTTAGGTAAAAACCACTCTAAGGTGGGTGTTAAAGATGCTTTTCTCAATGAAATATGCCCCATTAGAAATCCAGTTAAGAAACATAAAATCCCCGGCCACAGATCTAATATTGTCCACCCTTGTCTCTGGGCAACGGACACATTTTCACTGAAATAGCATGCAAAAGCACAAATATGACATTACGAGGCATTTCAAATGTTCAAAATTGTTAAAAAGAACAAAAGAAAAACTAAAACCGTAACAGAAAAAAAAAACTTTTTTTTTTAAATGTTAGTTCCATTTGTTTATAATTGCTGAAATTATTAAAGAAATTAGTTCATGCCTTATTTTTAAAAAGACAAGTAACAGAACAACAGTACAGAATGGACTTCATTGTTGAGCTCGTCTCAGTCTGGCATAGTGTGAATGAATTCATGTGAGAGAAACACTGGCCCAGTGTGAACAGACTCAGATCACAACAGCAACACTCTTCGTCTTTACCTGTGCCCCAAACCACAGCATTTTTCAAACCTCAGGGGAGAGTCAGCTACTCAAGAGCTAGGAACCAAGCAGGCCGAAGAAACAGCTACCCGACATAACAGTGCAGCCTCTATCTACTTGAACTAGTTCTTTTTTTTCCCCTCAAGCCTCTACATTTCATGGGAAGTTCCAAATTCTTAGCTGAAATTTCACTTTTCTAAAAAGCTTTGAGAGATTTACAAAATGGCTTAGAACATACTACAAAATACACCTCTCCCTTCAGGTACTATTCAAATTATACTCAATATTGTTTCTTCCATCCTTTTCAACTGCTTTTTCCAATACAGGACGCAACACACAGAAAGGCAAGTCATTTATGGATCTTGAGTACATTCTACTTTGTGGAAATACTGTATTTTGGCCTATACTTCAAGACTGATACTTGACAATATTCTTTTATCTTTAAATTTATGGAGTATAGCACGATAGTTGTATAGCACGATAATTTGAAAAAAAAAACCCACATAACTTAAGATGCCATCTGGTTTAAATTGGACCTCAAAACCCACATCAAAACTTTTTTGTTCATTTTTTTATGCTGGGGCTTTGTGACTGAAAACAACAGCAGTTTCTTTTTGGGACTTGTTTTCAAAGTAGTGAATTCAGCAACCCCTAAAATTCCAGCCCTACAGATAGATTGCGTAAGGTCCTACTTTGACGTGACTCGATTTCGCCCCAGTTTACACAAAGACTACTTCAGACCAGTGGAGATCTGCTGGCATTTTTGACCATAGCAGCTAGGAGCGTTTCTCCAATTAAGAGGAATCAAAATCATATGACTCTGTGGCTCTGCTCCTCTTTGTGCGCAACTGGAGTTGGATTCTTGATAAATGGGCAAAAGTAAAGAAGACATTACATATTCAATGTACTGTAAATAGGAATGGAAAGGATATAACAGGCATTCAATCAGTTGAAAAATGGCTTAAACATTATACCGATAATAAATCAGAAGGGTTTAAACAAAATTTCAGAAACTGGAACTTCTGACCATGGGGATGTTGACTCTAAAAATGTGGATGGTTTATCAAGCCATCCAGAAACTGCCTAGATCAGGCTTCCTCTCCAAACGTAGCAGCTGGGCGAGGAGGAATGTAAGTTTAAGAATGCCACAGCAGCGACTTTAAGAACTACAGGCTGAGATGAGAGTCAAAAATATCCTGGTTACTCCACAAAGCTGGCATGTCTAGCAGAGTGCAAAACGCACCACAGATCCTGTGTTTAGTCTTCAATGATGTATTGAAACAATAGTGCAGATATATGCCACAAATGTTTTAGGGTCTGAGAAATCTTAAAGAACTTTTTGGTTCTAAACACAAAAGTGTTGCTTAGCACAAAGCTAAGTTTTCAGTTTTATCGAGAAGATGGATGGAGCAGGGCAGCGGTGTGGCACAGTGGTTAGCATTGCTACCTCACAGTGCTGGGGCCCTGGCCCAATTCCTGGGGTGTTCTCTGTGGGAAGTGTGTGTTATTTCCCCTTGTTTCCCTGTTTTTCCTCCCATTGTCCAAAGACATAGACTCATGGGTTAATTGGCCCTGGGGTGAATGGTGTGAGTGTGTTTGTGTCTGTCTGGCCTGTGATATGATTGCGTCGTGCCCTTTGCTTACTGGAATAGGCCCCATCTCACCCACACCCTGTATTGGGTAAAGCTGCTAGAAAAATTGATGGATGGAGCAAAAGTACATGCAATTTTGCAGGGAAATCCTCCTTCAGCTTACTAAAAACATAAATGAAATGGGATGAAAATTCACCTTTTAGGAAGATGATCCAGAGCTGTAGGTATGGCATTACAAGAAGACTGGTCAAAACCCTACAAGAAGAGAGCGAATATCCACTCAGTCAGGAAGGACATTTACTTTCTTCTTGTAGGATTTCGACAATGTCCTTCAAAATTGTGACTTGAAATTCGAGAACATCTGTGGCAAGATCTGAAAACTGCTGTCTCATCCAAACCACCCTGTTAGCGCTTGAGCAAGTTCAATGTGATGCATGGGTGGAAACAGCACCATTCCGGTAAGCAAATTTTGTAGTCTTCCCCCAAAAGCAACTACAGCTGTAAATTGCTGCCAAAGGTGCCTTCACTGGATATTGACTTAGGTGCTTATTGGCATAAGTAATTAAAATTACGTTTAACACTAAGTTTTTCATTTTTTTCAGGCTTTTGCGGACATTCAACTTCTTCATCCATAAAAATGTTCAGTTTCACCATTCATATTTTGTGCTCTTTAACAACTGTGTAGATCATCTGTAAATCAGAACAGGACATCTTTGGTAACAGGATAAATGCTTGTGAAAGCCACTGTACATCTACTGTTTTCGAGCAATCCTAGAATATCTGAATCCCCAAAAATGATATATTGAAAAACCTTTTATTGTAGAATACACCATATGAAAAAGGCTTGCAAACATTAAATAATAAAAACAAATGTACATCTTGCTTTTATCTATTGTAATTATTCTGTTCAGATGCCTCTTTGTACTTGTACCATGTCTGCAAACAACAGATTTTCAGTGAAGAATATTCTTTGATCATTAGAAATTCTACCACAAATTACATCCCTTCCACAGCTTCCTTTGGGCTGTAAAAATAAAGAATTGTGCTCATTTCCTTTATCATCATTGGACTGCTGCTCAGTTTCAGATCAGCATATGAATCTATCGTTTCAGACTGTGTCACAGTTTCGCATTTCGGTTCCAGGAGTTGGTCAGTCTAGGCAGCTTCGCTTGCAGCATTTATACCCCCGACTGCTGGGCATGCAGAAAGGTCAGGGTCGCTGGACCAGCTTGCTCTTGCTCTCTTCCTGCTCCGTGATTTTAAAGTGTGTGTAGGACAGGATCCCCAGCAGGGTGCACATGATCCCAAAGCCCTGATTTAGGGACAAGGGATCCTGAAACAAAACGTAGCCTCCCAGCAAGGTAATGCAAAACTTAAAGTGGCCGAACATGTTGTAGCTGCAAAGATACGTCAAGGCTTAAAACCAGAGGATATGTGATCTGTGTTACATCCTGAGAATCAGACAGTTCTTATTTCTGTTTTAGATTGGTCTTCTATGGTGACTGTAGGTAATACAATTGTGTAGTCTTTTATATTGACAGACACATGTTTTTGCCCTTTGCACTGTAAAAACACTGACGTCTTGTGCTCCAAGCAACTGAAGATCTCTGAATAAACAAGAGATTCTAGTCATGGTCAATATGATCTCCTTTTTCTTGTGTCACGTTGCACTTAGCCATTATTAGGGTGATGTTCACCAGAACAAACGTCTTTTAATCAAAAGATGTAACATTCTGGAATTCTATTCCAGATGACAAGGGCACACATGATCTTCATTTTAGACCTTGTTTAAAATCTAACTAGGTCTCTGATCATAACTTGATAGCTTAAAAAAAGCAATGTCATGCCTTAAGCAATAGATTAGACAGTAACACATGACCAAATTTTAAAGATGACAGCTAAACTGATTATGCTTCAGGTATAGCAGAGTATTACGGCACATCAAGCTTACATTAAAATTATTTACATTAATATATACCTTTGGAATTAAGTAATATGACCAAACAAATACAGAGTTAACTTATTGAATTTCTGTATTTAACCTTTCCAGGTCTTTGCTGGCACAATGTTGGATATAACACTTTATGTAAAGTTTTACTTGTACACTCTCTCATCAGTAGTTAAAAATATTTCTTTGGAGGTCATTATATTTAGAATTAAGGACTCTATTATAAGCACAATTTCCGAATGCAACTGTGCACTGTTATTTTAACTGATTTTCATATTCTACACTTGTACCAGCATGTGCAGAAACAAAGTTTCAACACAGGTAAACTCAAAGGATCTTTTAAAAAAGGCACAGTTCTGAAGATAAATAACTAAAGGTTTTAAACGTGACAAAAAGAGGCCCGAAAGCTTATTGACTTTGTCCTGACACTTAACTGTTCACCCATTTGCTGCAGTGCTGTGCACGTCCGATTTCATTTTCAGAGCAGTGAAAACAGACAAAAGGTGTCAGTATGATGAAGCAGTTGCAAGACAAACATCGGATTTATTTCGCTTTCCCTGACATGAACGAGAGAAGGATACGTAACAGGTGAGGTGTTCCCAATGATCCAGTAAATGGACAAATTCACCAGAAAGGCAATGATTCCAGACAGCAGCACCATTCCCTGGAAAAAAAGCAAAAAGGCGCACAACACATCACTCCAACTAAAAAAAAAAAGAAATTGGACAGTTTCATTCATTGTTCAGGTTAAAACTCCGATCCCGCCAATAAGATGAAATGTCAGGCACAAAACAGCCGGAAAGATTGTGAGCTGATAGTGTTGAACATGTTCAGCCTGGACTCATGAAACAGGCAGCACATCCTGCTGAAGAGACACTTCAATACAGGGCTGTGACACTACAGGGGTGGCAGGAGTTCACAAACACAATGAGCAACAAGCAAGGTTTTTAACTGTCCCACAGCCTTGTACACACAAACCTCGACAAGTGTCTAGACTTCTACACACTATAGGCTTCCTGACAGCAGAGTAATCTTTCAAAGAGGACCATGAGATTTACCTGTGATTGGAAGAGAGTGAGTTTCAAAATCTCCTAAAAGAGGAAATCGGACACAAAACAAAAAACAGACTACATCTTCAAGGAGTATTGTGTCGCAGTATCACATCTGCGTATTACAAGTCGCTGCCTTCCACGATAAAAAACACTGCTTATCTCAAAGACCAGTCATCTCAGTGTAGCCTTCTGGGCCTCAACGTGTTCCTTTCTCTTGTGCATGGAAGACGGGTACGTGTGTTGACGCATCACAAGCATGGCAGTGTCCATTAACAAGAAACAAGGCAGGGGCAGTGTCTCGAAATAGGATTCCTGACAAGAACTGCAGATCCGTTAGGGTGCTCAGCTTTTCACGTGAAAGGACCTCGGACTCTGCCAGCAGCTCTGATCTCCCATCCCTCTAAACCTTCTAGGCTTCTACAGCGACAAGCTTGTGAACTTTCAACATAATGCAGGGCATTTAAATTACCATTAGCCAAAATGGCTCTTATTTTAAATAACCAAAAGGATTTGTGACCAATTCAATGTTTTTGATAGATAACGGTTTTTGAATAATTAAGAAGCAGTATGTCATATACTAAGTAAACCCCTATTTTATACAATAAAGGGGGTAATTTACACCCGGTGATTACACTTTTGGGTAACCAATAAACTAGCACTGAGGTGGGGCAGCCTTGTCCCATATAACGGTCCGAAATGTTGTGAGTTTGGTGATCACCTCACAGGTTGGTGGAAACACGTCACGCCATGACCCAGAAAAGATGATGATGGGTAGCTGATGCTCATCAGTCTAGAGAGGGTTTCCATTTCTAAACATCCGGGGCTCCATCTGTCCCCTGTCATATAGTCTACAAAACGTATTCAAGACCACAGTTACTTTACCTTGGACCAGCATTTCTGTCATAATCTCCCAGGGAGTCATCCAGAACGGCACAAAGAACCTGAGAGTTAAATCTAAGGATCTGAAGGCCTCTCATTTAAAAAGAACTCCCACCTCCCACCTTAGGTTTACGAAATAGCATATAGGCAATCCACAGGACTACTGGAAGAATATTCTCTGGACAGACAGATCAAAACTGGACTTTTGGCCATAATAAGAACTGTTTTGTGTGGTGAAAACCAGACACTACTTTCCAGAAGTCAATCCCTACAGTCAAGCACGGTGCTGGGAGTGTCGCGCCTTGGCTCTGCTTTGCTGCCTCAGGATTCGGATGTCTTGCCAACCTTGATGCAATTATGAATTCAACATTGTATCAGCAAATTCTGGAGGAGAATGTCAGGCTATCTATCCTTCAGCTGCAGCTGTGCCAAAAGTGGGTCATGCAGCAAGACAATGATCCTAATCATATATGCAGATCTGTGACGGAATCGCTGAAGAAGACATTTTGTACTGGCCAAGTCCTTAACCCAAACCGCAATGTCATGACATGTCCTGAAGCAAGCTGTTCATGCAGAGGAACCCTCACGTGTCAAATGTCGATTTGAAGCAATTCAATAAGGAAGAAGGGGTCGATGTGCGAGGCTGAGAAACAGTTACAGGAAACATTCAGCTCAAATCACCGCTGTTCAGGAAGGAGCCAGCCGCCAGTCACTGAACCTACGAGTTCACATTGGTATTCACACGAGGATATTTACTGTTGCATCAACATTTGTTAATTAACACGTCTTTGTGTTATATGTTTAATCGGATCATCACCGAAACAGATATTACATTATAGGCTAAAATATATCAGAATATGTAACAAAACAGGGGATACACAAACTTGTTCTAAGAACTGTATCTGGCTGCTCAGAGCCAGTAACTCTTCTTAGCCCAGTCTTATGCAAGTATTTTTCTTCTTTGTGATTTCAGTATACTTGTGGATTCTACTAACTGCTTGGCTGCTGCTGATTCCTAAGGTACCATGGACTACTGCGTTTCAGTGTGACTTGCCATGGCAACTTTTCAAAACATAACTGTGGCCATGCACTGGACTCAGTTCATTCTTGGGCTTCTCCGACCTACAGTGACATGAAGTGTTCATTTCTGAACACTAACAGTTCCTAACAGTAAACACACTGTGGTCCTCTGTCGACTGATTTGTTCCGTTCAACCAGATAAAAACACTTAATGCAACACAGCCTGTTTTGCTTCAGGATCCTGCTGCTCTTTACAGTCAGACCTAAACACGAGTTATTGATAGTCCAGCTTCCATGAAAACTCATCTCGTTTCTTTTGCTCATTTTCCCCCTCAGTACTCAAATGATACAAAAGGTCTCTGTGAAGGCAGCAGGATGAAGTCTTGGGAGTTTGCCGAGAAAGTTGGGGCTGACTATTCACCTGCGGGCTTATGGGCAACATCAGCAGCCTGCATTTCTGCTGTGAATGCTTCATTATTAGCAGCGGCAGGATTTCTAAGAGCTATAGCCTTCAATGTGATTTTCGGAATCAACTGGGGATATTCCACAGAGAGGCATTTGTTAGAAAAAAAAGTTCCAAACCCCCCCCCGTCTACAATATGAACGGGGGGGGGGTCGAGGAGAGGACCTACCAGTGCAGTGAAGGACCACGGGCCGTATATACCCCCCGTCCCGGTCAGGGGTTCGAAGAAGGGCACCAGGGTGAGCAGGAAGAGCGACGACATGGGAGCCTGGTAATAGAGCAGCTGCATGGAGTTCACCTGCAGCTCCTGCTGCTTGGCGCCCACCCACTGCGAGAGACACAGGGAGAGACAGCCAGTGCCGAGGGGTGAGCGAGGGGTGAGTGAGGGGCGGCGCGGCGCGGCGTGGCGGGGCGGGGACGGGCACGGGCAACAGGCCACCGCCCCCGTCTCCAAGTCACGCTGCCAGTACCGAGGGAGGGCGGCGCGCTCACCACTTGATACAGGGAGGTAACCAGGACTCCCAGCGTAGCGAAGGCCATTCCCGGGACGTTGAACCTCACATCGTAATAGGAGTTCAGGATCACGCCTAGAGTGATGGGGATCTGCAACACCGAGAAGAAAGCAGTCGCCATGGCGTCCACCCCCCCCGCACGGATCTGTACGGGTGGAGCAATTGGACTTCGAAGACCAGACACTCTCACAGCCCTCACTACCACTTCGCGAGCTGAGCACGGCTGGCTTTAGGCCTAATTAAAAACCAGACTAGGACAGCAGAGACCACATTGGTTAAGTCACATTACTTCTGTGCTTCAGCTTTAAGTGAAACTGGAAAAAACACAAACCCTCAAAACAGCTATTTTAAGTCCAGTGCTGCAGATGCTGGCTTTTAAGGCGATCTAGGTCAGGGGGTTAGCGAGGTTCCTATTTGGACCCTCAATTAAAAAAAATCCTAAACGATTTGCTAAATTAGGCATATACTGTATAGGATTTTACATTTAATTACTCAATACATTGGCCAGCAAAGGAACATTTACCTATAAAACAATACTTAGAAGTCTGGATGCAAGTATTACAATCGTGCAGTTAATTAGACCACCTATGGAACTGAGAGTTCAGGTGCACAAACACTAGAAGACACCAGCCTCTCCAGTAAGTGAATGTGAAACCCCTGATCTAGCTCCTGTTGTTGGTTTGAAACTGCAGGTCATATTTCTTGGGTAATTCTCAATGTCCTGTCGTAGGAAGGTAAGGCTTTGGAGACTAAACACTTTCTTGCAGTCAAGGTGCTCTTATGTACAGTATACAGGACTGGATGGGGCACTGGATTTAGTATATCTAACTCACGTTTGTCAGGTGGTCTTTAAGTCGTTTATTAATCTCCTGGCAGTAAAAGCTATTTTACAGTATTTTAAAAGTGACAATCTTAATCACTCAGAACTAGTGTAATAATTAAAATATATTATTTTCTTATTAAAACGAACTGTCAAATTGATTCGAAATCAGATGTAAATCTAACAATATTGCCAATTTGAGTACTTGGACGCGGGCGAGGGTGTAACAACAAATTAAACGTTTAGAACATCACCCAAAATTAAGGCATGGTGCGACAAAAAGTACAATTATGTAACGGAGTGGTGTCAATGACTCACACTTTAAATATAGTGACTCGGTGTGTATGATGGCCGGCTCTGAGAGCGCCTGTCCCGAAACCGAATTAAACTTCCTGCCGCAGAGGCTGGGACCTGCCATTCGAGTTCAGGCAACCTGCTACTATCACAGGAATACAGTTAAAAAAATAAACCTCCTCGTTCAGTTAAAAACGAGATTTAACCTACTTCCTTATTTTGACAGCCGCTCTTATTTGCTTAACAAAGATAAAAGTCTTTAGCGAGTCATACGTCCGGGGAAATTGAATGCATATAACCAGACATGAGACTCGTAAGTTTTACAGTCCGACTAAATACTTTAAGATAAAAATAAAACGCTAATGGCACTCCTACAGGTAGAGACCTCTTCGAGGCAGTTGGCTGCCGTCTGTTTGTGAATTTGTGGTACTTACCAAAGTCAACTTTATCTTAGTGGAAAATGTTTTCTTGTAATACACCGTTTGAATGACGATTATAACGGGTGTCGTCATGGCTTTGGCAAGCTGGTAAGTGCCTATGGTGTTGTTCTGAAGGGAAAGATTAGTGAAAACGACGAATCCACAAAAACTTAATGCCAGCAAGAGGATTTTGGTGGGCTGGAGACTTTTTGGAGCGAATATGTCCATTTTCTGGCACACGTAAAGCCCTAGCCATGTCACAACGAAATGAATTAACGTTAGAGTCATGTTTGGGAAACCATAATGCACATAAATCCATTTGTTGATGAATACGATGCAGATGGACGACAGCAGGTTGACCAGCAGTCCAGTCACGATCCGACCGTTTCCTAAAAGGCTTGAGAAACGAGTAGCCATCGTTGGGTCCTGTGCCTGGATACCACTAAATCAACACGTACAAATTTACTGAACATCCATGGTAGCGCAGAACATTTTTAAAAACGAAGCCGCTGGCACTTTCATTGGGGGAAAAGGCGATTCTTCCCTTCACACCCCTACGTGCTCCAGTCCAAAGTTATCCCTTACACACCCGTACCGCAGCCCGGTCTGCATCGCCTCAGCCCCGCTACCTAAGCGAGCGCCGCGTTCAGAGACTCGGCTCTCCCCCAGCAAATGAGGCTCCCACACTCGGAGGTGACATCACACAAAGCGACGCTCGCTAGCAGCGACTGCGCCGCTCACAAGATCGCCACGTCAGTGCTCTCTGGCGCCCGCTAGCGCCCCGAGATTGGCAGTCAGAGAGTAAGAGCTCGGTATGGCAACTCCCGGTCTGCACAAACTCCGTATAACGTACCGAAACCATCATCAGCAGAGACGCACTGACATTGTTTTAATTTAAATGTTTCCTACGAACAAAATGCAAGAAAGCAAAACAAAAAAAAAATGACACTGTCTCCACTACACACAAACTCCCCTCACCTGTAGCCTTTATCCTTCAATGGTACAAGTTTCCTCGACAAGCTCCAACCTGAAGACCCTACAATGGAAGCCCCATGCAGCAAGACTTTGACTGCATCAACAGCAGCACTCAAAGCCACCAACATCTCTCCAACGGCACCACGAACCCTGAAGTTATTCCTCTCAGTCGGGACTCCAGGACCACCACTCAAGAGATTCTAACACAGAGACTTTTGTATTTCATGACACAAATGAATTATATATTCAGGTAAAGAGGAATGTAATGAAATAATAAGGGCCAAATATTACATAGTTTGTAATTCAACTATGACTACTACAATGTAATAGTAATATGTTATAATATGTAATGATGTAATTCGTAATTGAACAGTTGGGACAAATTTAAAGAGGTGAAGATAAGTGGCCTGGTGCATCTTTCCCATGTACTGTATGTTGTGTAAATCTAGTAATTTACCATTTATTTCAAATTCATTTTTTAACATGGATTCAAACAAGTACTCTTACAATAACTTTAAACCAGCTTGTAGGCTAACTTATCCTACTTAAAGGATAAGTTCGTTCCCAGCCCTTCCTTGGACGTTCAGCATTGACCAGGAGGGAAAAGCAAGCCGACTGCGAGGCTCGGTCACCGAGGTAGAGCTCAGGATGACTACTGAGACAGGGTGTTCTAGGGAAGGCCTCTGCTGTGCTGACTGGAGAAATACAGCCCTGAAGAGCCTGCTTGACTCCAGCACCCAGTCCGCTGAGAAAAGCCCACCGACAACCAATAAAAATCCAAAATCAATACCAAGGATCAGTCATACGACGGCTGCCTCGCTGTCTTACGGTGAACTCGAAGGATAGCACCAGGGTCATCCACCACTGTTCATGGAAAAGTTCTTAAAAACATTTTATCTCCCTTAATTAAAACAAATGGATCTTCTATGTAAATGAAAAAGAAGAAAAAAGCACAAAACCTAAAACTTAAAATACGTTACAAGGTAACATTCAAATGCCATGAATAGTAAAGTATACATCTAAACATTACCTGGTTAATAACCATCACACAAAGGCCTGTACAGGTTACACAGGGAAAAATTACCTTGATAGTTCAGCCTTTCGGAGTAGCAGAGCTGGGCTTATGTAATCTGGGGCTTTGTTTACAGAAAATACAGAAAACTAGATTCATGGTACCAAAACACATGAAGCTGAAAATTAAAACATTGTGTGAGCATCTTAAACAATGGTTGTTTCAATCTCAGTAAATTACAGCCTTTTTACATTGGTTAACACCTTTATTCAATAGAAAATGAAGACATGGCTTGATGACTGGTTTTCATATAGTTCAAAAACATTAGCAAAGAAAAAAAAAACTAAATGCAAACAATTTAAGACTGGATCTCGTATCCCAGCGGATCTAGGCCTTGGTCCAGCAGGAGCAGGGAAGATTCCCGCAACTTCTGTAAGAGCTTCTGCAGTTCTTCCTTGGAAAAGACCTGGCAGGGGGAAACAGAGACACGCAGCATGGCTCAGCGTCCCAGCACATCCAAGATAGAGAGGACACGAGGTCAATTAGCTTTCCACTACCACCTGTAGGGACCCCAATGCACCCACCTGCAAGGCAATGAGCTTTGCCTTCCAAAACACCACACACAGAAGCCTCTGCATTCTAATCACTTGATGAATTACTGAAAGACTGTAATAGTGGCACACAGCACTGGAGCCTTGGTTTAATTTCCATTTGTGATGAGGTACTGATTTGTTTTTTTTTTTTATGAGAAGCCTCTAGAGCTTTTAACACAAACATTCAGAAACAACATCTTCCACTTCTCTTATCTGTGCTCTCTGCATGGAGTTTGTACATTTTCCCTGTGTTCCTGTGGGTTTCCTCCCACGGTCCAAAGACATTCTGGTAGGTTAACTGGCTTCTGGAAAACCAGCCCTGTAATGCACTGGCGTCCCGTCTAGGGTGTCCCCTGCCTGCTTGCCGCAATAGGACATCCCCCACCCCTGATTGGAAAAAGCGATTCGAATAATGGATGGTATCTTAGAATCAATTTGTAGATCGATGATGGTTTTGAGAGGACATCTTAGATCAAGTGAGAACGTTTTTTCTTGCCATCAACATGCAACGCCTTGAAAACCATCCTACAAATCGCACACACTTGTGTCAGCACTGCAGTTGCACCTGGCTGAGGTTGATGACTGGATGCACACACTGTTACTGACAGTGCTGCCTGTTTAAACTGACGAGCAAGCTTGGGGCAACATTATGTGCAACACTGTGTTGCAAGAGGATGCTGTACGTTATCGGTTCAGTTTCTTGTACAAAGTACTGTACAGCCAATGCCTTTACTTAGATGACAGCGTGTAAGATTCAGCAAGGGTCTTTTATTTTTTTGCAAAGCAAGCCAAGACACTGTTCTGAGGTTTGCACTGCTGAAAGCAAGTCAGCTCACGTCCATGCTGTACAGTGGAAGCCAGATTAATAACATCATTTGACCTATGCTCCACTGAGCACCTCCTGCAGTTTACGGATTAACAAACCTAAGTGAATAAATGAACCTGATGCTTACTGGGGCGAACTAGTGCAGTGGTTGCTATACCCCTTGGGATTGAACTTCAGTATTTCAAGAGAAAGAGGTGAGCTTGCAAATGCATTAAGGATGTCTGCCGGGTCTTAGTGGTGTTAAAGGGAGGTGGTTTACTCAGTACTGTCTCGTGTGCTCTTTGCAGTCAATGAAATAGTATTCATTCAGCTAAGTACAGGTAAAGGTCCTTAGCACAAGCTCATGAATGATCTGTTTTAAGGAGCAGAGGCTGAGCATACTAATTGCCTTAAATGCAGGAAACTGCATATCTAATAGCTTTATGAGTGTCTGGTTTATCCCCCGCAGCCCGAGGGCGACGGGTCGGCTCACCTGGTACAGCCTGTGCTGCTCGGAGGCGATGATGTCGGCCAGGCGCAGGCTCTCCTGGTGCAGCTTGGTGCTGTGCAGGACGGTCTGCAGCAGGAAGCACATCATGGGCAGGCACAGCCGCCGCAGCAGAGTCATCTGGTGCGAGCGCTCGGGGTCCTCCTCGGCATCCTGCACACGCAAGAAGCCATCTCAAGCTCTCCCCCCGACAGGCGGCGCATCCCCGGGGTTACAGGCTGCCTCTACTACCACGTCTCCCATCTGTGGTGAGGCGCGGGCTGCTTTTTTTTTTTAAATTAGAAGCTGCTGCGACCTTTCACACAAACATCCCAAAACAACACCTGTCCGTGTGTCGGATGTTTAAGCAGGGCTGGGCGTCGCGACGCAGGGCCCCTCTAGAGAGAAGGATAGTCAATCCTCCTTTTTTTCCTAACACGGCTGCAGAGAGTGCGACGTCTGCTCGGGAATGGCTTTAAAAGTACCCCACGGTTAACCGCATTAGAAGAGAAAAGGTGTCCGGCCTGCCCCGGAAACGGAAAAGGAGTTACCCACCTCCCGGACATCCACCATCCAGCCCCCGTCGACGAACAGCAGCACGTTGTAGATTCGTTCTTTCACATCTTCTGTCAGCGCTTCCAGACACTCCTTCCAGTTCTTGTAATCCATCTGAAGTGAAGAAGACTTCATCAGTGCCTAAGGCTTTATGTCCTGCCCTGTACCACTCTGATGCTTTTCCATCCATCACAAAGCAGCAAGCACTAGCTTTGTAACAATGAAAGATGAGCAGTATGAGAACAGGCATTTCTGTCTTCTTTAAAACTAGAGCTCACTATTTGTTTTCTTTTTACTGTCCCTTAAAACGTGATAGAATTGAATTTGTACTTCTTAGCATACCTGTTTTGAATCCCCCCCCCCTCCAGTTTCCATGTAAGAGCTCCAGGCATCAGAAATAAGATGGATGGTGCTCTGACCAACAACTCTGTGAACTCAAGGATGGCCGGCAAGCCAAAGTGTTTACTGTTGATCCACCCCTATGGCCGACTGCTGGGGTTGGAAACTCACTCGGCTAATAATCAGAACCAGTGATGGGAGCTCTGCAGCCCAGCCTGAAGTCTGAACGGCCAACTGTGTGACTGAGCCACCCAAGCAAATACTCTACATGCATCAGTCTGTAGACTGATTTTTCTGTTAAGTTCGTCTTGGCTTTATTCATACTAATTCTGTCATGTTTGCCTCTGCTGGAGCGCTGTAAAATGAGTTAGCATTGCCACAGCGACTTGTGGAGTCTGTACTCAGCCGTATCTCGTGGTTGTGTGATCATACAGGAAGCCTGCTCCACCTCCACTACATTTACGACCACAACCGTCTCAGGTGGAACAGGTTATTTATGATCTGCCTTAGCTTTACTTGGAGCTCTTTGTTTTGACTGCTTCAGATTTTCTGCAGTGTCTTGGATTTGAATCTTGCTTGGCTGGATGATGACGACTCTGGATCGTGTCTGCCTACTTGTATTTACCATGTTGCCTGGTCCCCTTGACTGTGTTTCCCTAGCTTGCCATTGGGTTCACAAACACAGACCACTGCTCTCTCCAGCATGTCCAGCAAGTGTCATTACAAATTATGTTTAACATAACTGGAAAAATCACTTAGCTGTCAAAATAAGAAAAAAAAATCACCTTGTATTCCGCCTCCTTCATCTCATGAGCCACGGTCTCCGTGTATTTGGCCTGTGAGGAGAGGGTGGGTTTCTGAGGTGGCGCGTTCATGTGTTTGAACCACTCATTGAATGCCTCGTGAGCTTCCTGAGGGAACAACACACAGCTTATATGAAACACCAAGAAAACTGAAGGCACAGCAGAGGGCGTTAAAATCACATGTTGCAGCCTTCAGTCATGATAGGATGCACTGATACCTTTGTGACTCAAGCAGGGAATGTAATTAAGAATAATAATTCCATTAATAATTTGGCCAGGACGCCAGGGTAACTCCCCTACTCATTTCGAGAAACGCACTGGGATTTTAACGATCACAGATGGTCAGGACCTTGGCTTTACAACTCATCCGAAGGACGGTGCTTTTGTACAGTATAGTGTCCGTGTCACTATACTGGGACATTAGGACCCACTCAGACCACATGTTGAACACCCACTACTGGCCCCACTAACACCTCTTCCAACAGCAACCTTAGCTTTCCCAGGAGGTCTTCCATCCAGGTTCTGACCAAACTCACACTTCAGTGGGTAGCCAGTTGTGAGTCGCGGGGCAATATCACTGCTGGCTAATTAAAGGTTCTTTGATTTTCTTCCCACAGATTTAAGACCACAGGCCAAAGGACTGCACAAAAGGGTCAGCCAGTCAAATGTGCCCATGGAAATGTCTCCTAAAAGGTCCCATTTGTAAGTCGACCAAGTTCTCATTTGAAACAGTTGTCTGACTAGACTCCGTATCTTAGATCAACAAAAAGTCAAGCTGTTGCCTTCTGATTTTGCATGCTGGCTGCTCATCCGATCAAGCAACTGTCAATTAGTTGCTGCAGCCTTAACAGACCACTGTGGATCTGAACATCTGCTATTTAACAATTCAGGCTGTCCAAAACGAGACCCTGAAATCAGACCAAGCTATACTGGACTGGGAGGCAGAAGCCCATGTGAGAATTTAAAAAAGGTCATCAAGCCACTAAAGAGAAAAGTCTCTGAGTGTCTCCAGAATGGACTCTTCAGAGTGATGAGGGGCCGGGCCTCTCACCAGGTAAGCACGTATGCACAGGTGCTCCCGAATGGCGTTCTCGTCCTCGGCAGGGAGGGGCATGTCCAGGCCTTGCTCTTCCCACTGCCTGTGGATTTCTCTGATGGAGTCCTCGGGGATCTTGGCAAATACCTCTTTGGCAGCGTCGTGCTTCTTTGAGCCTGTTAGGGAGAAAGGGGCATTAATGGGGAAAGACTTTCATCCTCTTCCTCAGTTTTCACACTTCCTTCTTTTACTTGGCTCCACAATCGTTAGCCTAGACTGATCCTGGAATATGTAGTTACAGGTAGAAAACCCGGCTCTGCCACAATTTCAGAGAAAAGCAATTATACAAACTCTTTACAGGAATAAATAGAAATTAAATATGTATTTTCACTTATAATTATGAAAGACCAATTAACTTAAAGAGTATATTGCACGATATTAAGAGTTATTTCCTAAAGCAAAAAGTACATATGATGCTAAACAGGTACTGTACATGTACGTTTTCATACAAACTTGAGGTTCACTCATTTTAATACTACTCCAGCAACGCTCCTACTCAGTGACAAAGAAAGAGCACTCTGGGAATGCAGCTGGCAGGAACTAACATGACTTTGCCAGAGAATTCAGCATCAACCCATCCAACGTCATTAGAAAGACTAATTGAAAAGTTGTTGCAGCACGACAAAAACTATCTCTGTAAACAATCTGGTGCCATGAAAAACCCATGACGTTACAGCTATCAGGCGAGTCAGAGAAAAGTAACACTGTCGTGGAGTTCTACCAGTTCCACAACAGCAAAAGAACCATTGTGGATGAAGTGAAATATCCTAAGTGAGCATTTCACTTTGGTGTTAAATAAGGAAGAAGTCAACAGTGTGTCAGAGGCAGTGGCAGGACAAAATTCTTCAAAGTTAAACAAGGAATACCATGTTTATCTTTAACAAAAAAATCTATCGTAATAAAAGGAACAAAAACTCTTGTGGGGATCGCCTTTAAAAGGAAAGAAGCGCGCAGAGTGATAAGGGGAAGCAGGTTCTCTTCGGAACGGCACTTTCCTTTCCCCTTGTCTCTGGTACCTCTGTCTACCCCTGTGCCGCACTCCGGACTCACCCAGGAACTTCCTCATGATGGCGTTGCTCTGCTTGAGCGCCTCGGCCCTCTGCGAGGAGTCAAACACCAGCCAGTCGATAACGTCAATCTTCCGCATGTCCTCCTGAACGACATGAGAGAGAGACACCCGGCTCAGCCCCTGCCTCGCCATGGCCTCGACTGCCCACTCCGAGCCCCCGCAGAGAAAACGACAGCGGGAAACGCGCTAGATCCAGCTGATACCAGAAAACCCTAAAACGCCACAGGAGAAATGACCTGTATGTGACAATCTTTTTGCATCGGACTCTATCGCTAAAAATCTCTTTAAAAAAAATAAAAAGGTTTGAATGAATAAGAGGGTTAGACATGGATTATGTGCGGACTGAATTCTTCCTTGAAAGAATCACCTCTGGTCTGTTGCTTTTCTATGCAAGGGGGTTTCCTGTTATGTCACCAGAAAAACCAGGTACCAGCTATGGTACTGTAACCTAGAAACAAAAACCCACACCCTCCGGGCAGTGAGCCAGCCGTCCTTACACACCTCAGAGGTGCCCGTGAACAGGGCGAGCGTCAGGTCGTGGTGAGCGAAGTCCTCCGTGTCTCTTTCACGAATGTTCTCCACCACAGTTTTGGTTACAGCTGCCACTTCGAGGCCTGTTAGCAGTAAAGACATCAAACAGTCATACGGTGCAATCAGTGATTTTTGTATATGTGTATGTCAGAGTATATTTCATAATTTGCTGGCTTAGGCCAGAAAAAAACCTTAGTCTTTCTTTTTTTCCTCCAAATTTCTGGTGATTTGAGATCAATAGAATTATACTGGATTCATTACTGAATCGACGTGGCACAAGAAGGCACATTAGAACAGGTGGGATGGCATTAATGCACCGAGGAACGGGCAAAGTAGTTTTCCTTCACTGTACAAAAGCATTTGCTGAAGTAAAGAAAACCAGTACAGGACACTAAATAGAAAAATGGGCACCTCAATATGAAAAGAATGAAGAACATCTCAATGACAAAACTCCAGGAGAGCAGAAATTAAGAAGTAATATATTGGTAAAGACATGACTATGGACAACAGAGAGCTTTATGTCCCGACCGATATCAGTGTCTAAATCCCAAACTACAGCAGCTACAGCGCTAATCCCTGATGAGCACATACGTCAAGTGTACTTGGCGAGAATTAGCTGGAGACTGAATTTTCTTTTATCACTTTCAAAAACCTTCAGATTTATTTTAATCCATATGTCTAATTACCTAATTGTTGGTCTTGTTATCTGTGTAGTGAGGCCAACACAATCAAAGCTGATTTGTCTTTAGACTGCATTGATGCGAACATATAAAGAAGTAACTTCCAACAAAACGTCACAGTCAGAATGTTTTCCAGTTGGAATAAACATTGTGGTTGTATGCTGAAACTGGCAGATACCACCATTATTTAAAAGAAGAAAAGAAAGACAACCAGAAATACAACTCGCAATGGCAGAAGAGAGCTTTTAACTTGGTTAAAAACTCTACCAAGTCAGTGAGCTACACCTGGTGAAGTGTGTGAGTGTACACACAAAAAGAAAACCCCAGATGACAGAAAGCATGTCTTCCACCCTGCTCACAGGCAGAAGAGCCTCCCCTCTCCTTACCTGCTTCCCTGGCCAGGTCCAAGCAGTGTTTACGCTGCTCCGTCTCGGTAACGGACTCCAGGAACTGAGCGTACTGAGCCACCGCCATATCCTGAGGCAAGTGACTGACATAGAAGGCAATCAGGTCTGTGTGTTTCTCTTTGATTAAAAGCTGGAGAGAGAAAGAGAACAAACAGTTTAGCACTCAACACAAAGAACCCACACAGCTGAATAGGAGTTGTGTCCTGTATGCTTCCCTTATAAGTCTATAGCTGGATTATTAATTTGACCTACCTGGATATAAGCCTTCAGGACCTCTATAGCAACCTCCTCCTACAAAACAAGGAGATTAAAATGTTTACTTCTGGAACTCAAGAACCAGATGTAACACTTTGGTAAATTCCTCGAGAGCTCAACCACACGAAGGCGTGAAAAAGTAAGACCTTCCATGAAACACTGGGGGAGATTTACCCTCAGTTCACCACGCACTGTGAAAGCAGGTTTAGACAAAAATGTGTTTTCCGACCCCAGAGAAGGAAGGAGAGGAGAACAGGGACAGGAGGAGGCAACGTTTCCTATGCCGAGACGCATCGTTCCCTGGGTCTCGGCCTACCTTGAGCTGCATGCCCAGGCTGCGGTAGAAGAGGACCAGGTGACTCATGAAGCGCAGCAGATGTGAGGGCAGGGCTGGGCTCTCCCGACCGAGCCACTCACTCAACTCCTCGAGCAAACCTGCGCACAGCACACACGTCACATCCCGTTACTGCACACTCGCGGAGCACAACGCGCTGTGGACTGAAAACCCCATTTTCGCACCAGTTAACGATCTGACCTACACTGGTTTCCTTTCAGGCTGCATCAATAAAGATAGGGTCTTGAATAGTGAAGCTTAAGATCACTTTACAAATGAACAGACATAAGACGTTTAAACAAATCATCTATTTGGAGAGACAACATTTTAATCTATCAACCTAGGGTGATGTGCAACTCAAATATTCCAGCAAAGCAAAGTAAAAAAAATTGTTCTCTAAATGAGAGGTCGGTTTTCAATTATTTCTTCTGCTGACATCCTCTCTCTTCTGCTCAAGAGTTTGATGTAATGTAACCCCTCATTTCTGACTCTGATGGATGTGAATAACCACTGGTTATATCATTTAAAAGTAAAGCAAAAAAGTCAAATATTGTCCCAATGTGTGTTTGCTTCTCTGCGCCCTCTGTGCATTCAGAAACGGGGCAGTTTCTTCTACACAACAAGGCTGAGAATTTAACCTTGAACGTACCGTCCAGATCTCCCAGGATGATGAACTTCTGAATGATGTGGTAGTGTTCTTTCGTTTCGTCCAGTACTCTCTGCAGATAACAACACCATTCACATTTGTACAGGAAGTACATCCTACATCTTAAGAATGTAAGAAGTGCATCTTAATAAAGAGTTAGATTAGACCAGTGGTTCTCAAACTGTTTGGACCAAGTACCACCCCTGATCAAACCAAAGCATCCAAGTACCACCTACTTTACAAGTCATCTTCTCATAGGAACCCCAGAAATTCTCATTGACCAATATGAGCATGCATGCGCGCACACACTCACATAGACATCTAATAATTATTATAAGAAACTTTAATTGATATAGTGTGATTATAGGTGGCTTCTCAAAGCACTTTACAGAAAAAAACAATAAAAAAGCACTATTTTGAGTGGGGTGAGCCTGTTTAGTCAAGCAAAGCAGATGTGAATTCATTTTTCGAGCCTTGATACAATTCAAACAGTCTAGCAGATTTTAAATCGTCAGGCATTTTCTTGACGACAAAGGTCTCGCGGTGGATGTTGCAATGCGTCCATTCATTTCTGGAGCAACCTCTCTAATTCATGCAACTACACCGCTATGTCGGCTTGTCATCTCAGCACCGTCTGTAAATGAGCAAATTGGGCAAATCGACAACATCTACAGACTTCTCTAATTGCAGTGAACAGCACCTGCCCATCTTAACGCACTCTATCTGCGTACTTTTGACATCATCTGCCATATCAATAATTCTACAAGTGACTGTGTCTTTTGGAGGGGGCAGCAGGTCGAGCTGTTTAGCAGCCTTTTCTCCACACATAATACGTGTCAGCTCTTTTGCCAGCAGTAAATAAGGTTCTTCAAATTAGTGTGGGGCTTACCTGCTTTAGCAATTCACAAGCTTGCATTTTTCCCTGTTTCCATTTCAGAACTTAAAAGAAGTTTTAATTTCATGCGCATGGGAGCGAAACACAGAAACGCTCGGTGTACTTTTCACAAATTAACCTAGAACAGTCCTTAAATATTTTTTCTGTTATCTATCACGCTTTTCTGTGGTCACAAGATTGCCAGTGTTCGTAGTATGCATTTCTATGCTTTCCTGTGCTTACAACATTGACATTGTTCCAAAATCATGCACATTCTCCTACCTCCATATTTGCTGGAGATAACTTTTTTTAAATACAATTGGTCACTTACATTCTTAGCACACATTCCTATGCAATGGTATAGAATTACATAGTAGCTCTTGTGTCCACTCAAGTATTAGTGCGCGCTGTATCGTAGTATGTAGGCTGCATATTCAACATGTATTAAAATAGAACATATGAAAACCCATCCTGATTTTTCAGTGCACAACACAAAGTTCCAGGGTCATATGGCGGACCACCTGGGAGCGCTCCACATAGTTTGAGAACCACCGGATTAGACAAACATTAAGCACACAAGGGTAACATATATACATGGAAGTTGATAGCACCAAGTCTAACGTCTGAAGACCTACTTTTTCTAAAATACAAGGGACATAACACTGGTCCTGAGGGTTGTCTTATGTCGATGAAATCCACAACTACACACTCCATTCCTACTATGCTTTTCTTAAGCACTTACAAATTATCCTTGTGTTTCTATTCTGACATTAGTGTCAGTGACACATTGATTTGCTCTTCGTTATAGACCTGCTATTATCAGACAACATGCTAAAAGGTAGCCCTGTCGAGACTTTCCCCACAGTGCAGCAGATAAGCAATGGAAAACATAACAGCACATTCACTTGGCTCAACAACTCCAAATGAACTGATACAGTATACTTCCAGCCAAAACATCAGGAAGGATCTTCAATTCAGGCTTTATTTCATTAATTCATTAATAAGAACAAGAGGACTCACCTTTGACTCTGTTGCCTGTAGCTCCTCAAACACCTTCTCCATGGTCCAACTACAAAATAAGATGTACCTTTACGATCAGTCTCTGGATGGAAAGGGAGAAATGTCTGACAGGTGGGCTTATTTCAGTTCCTTTTTGTTTGATTTGCCAGCATGTGGCGCGAGAAGCTACCCTGTCTACACAACGGTTCACACTCAGACATGGTTACCAAGCTATCATCCGACTCCACACAGACTAACAGTCCTTGCACAGGAGGGGACTGTCAAGCAGAGAGAAGTGAAACCCACATTCCCAATTGCTCAGATGAAGAAGGTTAGAGAAGGGAAATGCTTGACGGCCATAACCGCCAAAGACAAGGAAAGGAGTTTAACCATCAGCCATGAGGCAGGGAGTTGAAATGGAAAAGGATTTCCACTGACGGTAAGACATCAAAGAATGACTGCCAGACCACACTTTCTTATATCTTTGCAGAACAGCCCCTGGACTGTGATCACTGTGCGCCCCAGGGCTGATGTCCTCCAGCAGGTGCAGGTGGTCTTACTTAGCCTCCAGGTACTCTCTGGGCAGCTCCTCCAGTTCGTCGCTGGACGTGCCCAAGGAGCGGATCTCCTGCTCCACCAGCGTGTCCACCATCACTCTGAAGTAGGCCCACACCATGTCCTCCCACGTCTCGCAGACGGGGAGCAGCTGCACAGCAGAGGGGGAGAGGCGGTCAAGTCAGCGGCACGCTTCCAGCAGCTTCGCGAAGACCAGCTCGGTGGATAAAATTACCGTCTTCTGTGAAAACCCCCCGAGTTTCCAGTAAAACACTTATTATAAAATGTGTCTTGAAAATTAAGTAGGACTCGGTGCTCTTGCTGGGCTGTATTCAAATAATTAACACCTTTTCTTAATTACAAAACAATGAACAATGAGGTTGTAAAGCATCGCATACATAATGTTTCAAGTTGCCAATTTAAGTCTCACGAGAGGCTGTTTTTTTACATTTTGGAACATAAGGACTTTTCACTTTGAACAGAAAGGACAGTAGAACAGCCCTGGCAGAAGGCTCTTTCTGAATTTGGCCCTGCTTCTTTACTGCCTACATCCTTTTAATCCTAAACCGCACGTCCAAGAATTTTTATTGTAACGTGTAACACGTGGAAGATGGTAGAAGCATTCTGTTGGGATTTGTATAGCAAGGTCTAAATGAAGAAATGCAAACTCCCACACACTCTACTTTAAAAGATTCATTTTACTGTTTAAAAGAAATTTCAACCAACAGAGCTTCATCAGATAAAGGACTGTTGCTCCCTCAGTTGCTAAGACCACATATTATTTGTTCTTATAGGAAACATTCCCCTATATATATTGTTTCTCCATAAAACTGACAACTACCGGGGGAGAACATGTATAAATGTTTCAGTTAAGAGTACTCTTGGATTTCTTATGAAGGAACGAGGAATTTCACAGTCAGGAAAGTATAACAAGTCATTTTTTAATTGAGCTGGAATTCACTTTAAGAGCATGACCCCATTCTTAGAAACAAACAGAAATGGCAACAAATAGCAACATACGCGATGCATTTCAGTGGTTTAACAGCTATAAACAAAAATTTGTATAACTTGTTCCTGGGCTGAAAAAAAAGAAAGTACCTGTTTAAGATTTCCACTCAGAGCAGCGTAGATCGCTCGTTCATATCTGTTGAATCTCTCCTGTGACAGATAACAGGGTGCAGACGACAAATTAAAAAATGCTAATGTGCCAAGTAAAAGATTACATGCAATTACACATTTACTGACTCAATACCGGACTCCTGGAAAGAGTCCCTCCAGGAGAGTCATTACAAGGAAGAAATTAAGCAAAGTCTGTTATGCGGTGACACTCTAGGGAAAGATTGCAGTTAAAAATCAGATTAAGAAAAAATGTAAAATGTACAAAATACAGAATAACCTTTTACATTATCCATATAAAAGTAATTAAAGGGTATGGAAAAGGTGTTATTTAGAGAGAACGCTGAGAAAGTCAGTCTGACCTGGTGGTCCATCCCACAGGAGCAGAAGTTCCAGGGAGGCACAGAACATGTTATTATACACCGTTTACTCCACGCTGAAGTTCAAGTGTTTCTGAATATCTTAGCTATTAAATCGGCACTGCACCTCCTACTCCAACTGTGGAGATTCACCTGCAGGCAGTCCAGTCCAGAGGGGAGAGGTCAGTTCTGGGAGGAATACGGACAACATACTGCCTCCCAGACTCCTTTAACTGGGGGCAGGGCTAAGACTCTACGCTATGGTCCCTTCAGTTTCCAGTGCAAAAAACAAACGAACAAAAAAAAAAAATCGACGCTTCTCTAAAAATTAAACTTCATGTCATCCCAATGCACAAAATACTGCGCACTGACTTGAGCGAAACGATAATGGCACCCTTCTTGCAGGGACCCATCCAGAACGAAATGTTTTGCCAACTTTTTACTCTTTACTCTTTCCCCTTTCTCACATGTCTGTTACTCTTTCACATATTGAGTCGGGTGGTGGTGGTGGTGGGGGGAGACAAGCGTCTGAGACTGGGGACCCGGGGACACCCGTCCTCAAGCTCTGTGGCCGGTGGGACGGGGAGTGGACAGCGCGAGCAGGCCCTACCTCTTCGGCCATCCTCCAGCAGCAGGCCTTCCACACACAGCGCTGCGGGTTCCCCTCCACCGGCTGCAGCTCCAGCCCTGCGACACACACGCACACACGCCCGCACCCCGCGGGGCACGACGGATCAGGGATCGCACGGCCGCGGCCCACACCCGAATGTGACAGGGTGGGCTGCCGCCTCTAGAGTTCGCTTCATTTTCACATTCCCCCGAGAAACAACCTTATAAGTCTTCCTGCCCAACATCACCACTAAAATGTTAGCAACTGCTGCCATTTGAAATCGAGAGGCGTTAAAAACCCAGCAAAGGAGGTTTGAATCCAGCAGGATTACTAGCGTTGTAAATACTTCTTAGTACATTATACAAAATGTTTGATAGTCATGGAGTGGCTATGTACTAAAATGTCAAACTACAGGTGGACGAGCCTTCAGTTCTCATCTTAAATGTGTATCTGTTCTGCATAAAGCTTGAAAGTCCCGAGAAATGACAAGGTCTTTGAGCTTTTAAAGGCTGGTCTGGTCAATGAAAGACCTCCCAGCAGGGATACTGAAGTTAAATTAAAGAAACACGGATGTAATCCACATTTGGCGCAGGGAACATCGAGATCCGGTTATACCTCCACCGATGTTGGGATCATGGTAGAGTTTCCAGCCCTCCAGCGTGGCCGCTCTCCAGGCCTGACCGCAGCGCTTACACAGACGCTGTGCCTTCAAGCAAACCACACCACAGGGAACGTCAATACACAACCTCCTTTGTCCAGGGGTCACCCTGCCCTTTCCAAATGCCACCCACAGCAAGGAGAAGCGCAGCTTCACAGTCAAATGTCTCAGATCGTTTGGGAAGATGGCTTAGGTTAGAGCAGTTTCCCCTGTAAATATATATTATACCTGACGGATTTTGCTTTTGAGGAGTAACGTTATCTTGTTGAGGTCCCCCTAGAATCAATCCTGAAAATAAATAAGGATGGTTTTACACCTGAATATGTTCCGCAAACACACCAAATAATATGGAGGTGGTGAAAAATAAAGAGAACAGCATGTGGCTCATCCAGCAAAGGCACACGCCTGAGCGCAGGTTGAGCTCTGTGACCCTGGTGTTGCGGGTTCAAGCCTGGGTGATGTCACTAGCCAACTGTGACTGGGATTGCCCACACAGCAGTGTACAACCAATCACAGCTGAGGTTACAGAGGGACCTGGCCAGTAACACTGCGACTGCCTGTGGCGTCCCAGGCACTTGTAGACACGAGGCGCTGCCGGTGAGGAACGCACCCCTCCTCCGATCAGCGCTGAACCTCCAACACCGGTCCGTGGTGCCCATGCGTGTTAAAGACAAGCAGCACGAAGGTGGGTGGGCCGGAGGAGTCTTCCTACACTTATTCTCCCTTGCGTGTGGTTGTGGGGTTTGTACAGTAACTGAGAACCGAGATGTGCGAGATGTGTAAAACACACAGTTGGCTATTGCGAAACATTGTAAAGTAAAAATAAGTGGCGTTTCTGAAATTATTTTTAAAAACCTGTGAAAAGACCGTGCCAAGTTTTTTTACATCAAAGTAAAGCTTTGTGTAATCATGCAGAACAACACACTAATAAAAACTATTAAAAAGCTATTTTCTTACAGCTGCACAACAGTGTAAAGCGGAGCGGTGTGAACTGAGGTGGCGGCGGTGTGAACTCACCTCGTCGGTCATGCCAGCCCGCACCAGAGTGAAGAGGTACTTCAGCAGCCTGGCGTCGTCTTCGCGGTCAAGGTCCGCCAGGGGCCTCTTCTGTCTCAGTGGGGCATCTGGGTCCTTGAGACACACAGCAGTAAGAAAAACTACCGGCGTCCTCTTCCAGCCCACGCCCCTCTGTCGTAAGATCAGTGCTGGGCTACTGAGTAATGGCACACTCAGGCAACGACTCCGCCAAGCAGGTCGGAGAAACCAGGCCAACTCAAACGCCAAAATGAGCAAAGAGGCTATATTAAAGCGAACTTAACTTTACTCAGGTAAATAGTATGTAAAAACAACGTTTATAAATTGTCATGTTTCATTTGCGCAGCTTAGCAAAAAAGAAGTGTGCAATTTAACATTTACGGTAGAGAAATGTGCCAACATTTGAAAATATTCAGGTGGACTGAAATTTTATGAGAAGTCAAAAAACTGATCTTGATAGCTCTTCATAAAAAAACAAAACTAAGCCGAAACATCAATCGATTCCTCTCTCACACATGGCGCAATGATGTTAAATCAGCATACAACAGAGAGGATTGGCATGTTCCAGGGTTCGCTCGGTGCTCAATGCTAGCCACCAGAGCCCTTTCCGGTCTTGTGCGGGCTTAGTCAGCGCTCTTTCGGGGGGGGGAGTTCTCTGATCTTCCTCCTCCCGGACAGCCTGAAGGCTCACAGAGACCCCTCTCTGTCCACAACAAGCCTCACCAGCTCGGTAACCAGGGGTCGGCTGAACCCAGTGTTGGCTGTTGTCCTCCTCAGCTTCAGCGTGTGCAAGGTATTCTCCCTGGGAGACAGGGACACAAATACCACTTGTGTGTTTCACGATGTCCACTGTTACCAAAATAAATCAAATCATTCAAGGCCCTTTCCACGGTCAACACATCGTGAGCTGAATACTAGCACTGCCACTCACTCAAGGGCTCAAGGGAGGAATCAGAGAACCAAAAACTGCAGATTCCAGTCCGCTGACAGTGCAGATGCATAGACTGGGCTACGAGTTCAAAAAAGAACAAACCTTCTAATCTTTGAACAATCATTCCTTTCATTCCTAAAAAAACAACATTTTCCAGTGTCCTGGAAATATCCTGTTTAGGAACACAAAAATGTTCTTTATACACATTTTAAAATACACTCAGTGGTATGGGAAAATTTCAATTCATCCCTCAACAAGAACGTCACTAAACACACGAATTGAGAAAATCAATAGGATTCGGCTCTTAGGCAGTGTGAGACACCGCGTGATGAAAATGAACGCAAGCATCGCTTACCAATATACTGATTTTGCGTAGAACTCTATGTTATCGGAAAAATCCCCTATTTCATCTTTGGCGATACTCTCCAGCCAGTCCACGACAAGCTAGAAATAAAAACGTACAAAAATCATAAATTTCCCCAGGATATGACAGACAGGCTTCATCCATGACTGTATAAATGACCAATGCCAGAATTTCCACATAATAGTGAAGAACACATCAAGCTACAAAACAACCAGCTATCACAAACTCTCAAACTCTATCACACACAGTTTCTCACACATTGGAACTGTGCACAAACATCTGGGACAGAAGCCAATATTATGACCCGGTTGATGAGAGGTTCCATGTGTCCTCTCCCATGACCTCAAGCACAGAGACAAAAAATATCTTATTCTGGGGACAAGGACAGGAGCACAGGCAGAACTGTTTGTGCTGTTGGGTGGAATCAGGAATAATGCTGTCCTATTTCTGCCCCATGCTGTACGCTTTACAGAGCTGAACTTTTAGAAGGATCTTGCTCACATTCCGTAATCATCAGCGGTTCTTTTACCAATGCACTGATGAATCAAAAGCACCGCTCATTTCAGTGAGAGCTGTGTCAACCCAGGGACACAGGAGGACCAGTACCTGGCTCTGGCGCACCATAGAATCCCTCTGAAACAGATGTTCCATGAGCAGCTTCTCACTCTCGTTCGGAGCCTGGAACAAAACACATGCGCACAGATGGGGGGCGAGAGACCCCACTCTTTAATAAGGTGACAACAGGGATCGGAACACACAAAAGCGATACTAGACAGTGCAGGAGGCTTTATTTTAGATATCTTGCAGGTTGTACCATAAACACTTTTCTTAGGCAGGTTCCCAAAACTGCTACCAAACACCCAGCCACCACCCGGCACTGTGAGGCCCTTTGCAAACACACTCATCACACCCATGTGTGTGCATTTTGAGAGTAAGCATTTTTTAACACATCACCAATAAACTAATTATCATCCTGTGGCTCCATTTAAAATGACAGGTTGGCTGTTATTACAGTATCCACAAAGACCAGCCTGTTACTTTCATCTCACGTCACACTGAAAGAAGGCAGGAGAAACTGAAGGTATTATGCTGGTAACAGCTCTTTAAGGAGCAGCATCAGGTAGTGTGTTAACAGTTGAAAAGGAGGGAAATCACTAAACACAGATTCCCGTCAACTCCTCTCATTAGTTGACTTTAAGAAGTCTTTTTCATATCTTCAGGATCGAGACAAAATGACTGGACAGATGACTTCACAGACCTAAGCAAGGGTTATCATAACAGATTGTCTGCGCATCTTAAAAGGGATTTAGTCTGTGAGATTTTGCTTGGCCACAACACACCAAGTCGAAGCTTTGCTCATGAGAAAGGATCTTTTTAAAGTTAAAACATTAGCTAAAAATCTAGACAATTAAACTTAACACAAATTTCCAATAAGCAGGAAACAGTAATTTTGAGCGCTGGCGACGTGGCTTTGGAAACTCCATCCTCTCCTAGTTGCAGAAGTCACACAAAAGTACAAATTCACTTGAGCTCCACTTACAGAAACATCAATCATGATATCATCCTCCAGAGCCGACTGGATTCTGTCCCTGAAGAAGGAGGCAAAAGACAGTACATTGGAGGCAGCTGCTGAGTCAAACACTGTTGGCCTTCAGAGGTACTCAATCTGAGGGCAAACAGCAAAGGCCAAGGACGTAGCCTTCAGCTAATCGCACCCTGACCAGCTTCAGCTCCTTGACATAAACAAGCTGAGGCAGTATCACATGACTAAATGTATCATAGTAGTGCAGGGAGTGGAGAAAAAATGGAAACAGCAATGTCAAATTAATTAAGACGTCATTTAGCCACCATGTGCCGTCAGTGAGGCTTGTATGCACTGGGGTGTAAAGTTTGCCCGAGTCTAGGATATGTGTACTGCCAGCCAACGATGGCATCCCACTCTATGAAGTTCTCAGTGGACAGCTTTGGATGAAACGGGATGCTCGCGTCCCAGCTTGACATTTGCAGTCTGTGACTCTGCAGATGCTCAACTTGTGTTTTACTTTGAATTAACATACAGATATCAGGATCCTAGAGTGTGCCCTTTCCCTGGGAGTTCCTTAGACGCCGCTGCTCTTGAATCATCAGCAAGCTGAGCTGCTTCGGTCACTAAAGTTCTCTCAAACGCCAATAGTCCCCCTCTTTCTAAGTCACTGAAGTGTCTCCTGCTCCTAACTTTGCACAGGTAATTCTGTGCACTTAAAGTATCGTCAGATGGATGTGTAAGCATGTGATGAATCGATGGCACAGGAGTCAGGAATAAGGCCCATGTTCAGGCGAGCTGTGAGATCCTGCAGCTTGCAGTGCTCCTGACCTGTGAGTACTTCTGGAAACCTTCCCACGATTTTTTCTAATTTCTGAAGTAAGACCAGTAAACCTGAAATAATAGGACTTTTAAATGCCTATAGTTTTATGTTTAGCAGTGTCACTGTCTCATTTTTAAAGGTTTAAGTGTTTATTTTTGTTTCAACTATGTAAAAGGTGTATTAAGGGGCTGTGCGGTGTCAGAGACAAACACTGAACTGTTAGCTAGATGTGCTAACCTGATAGGTTAAAGGTGTATGTTTGCTGTGACTTAAGTACATTGTAATTGTGATGTAAAAAAATAAGTTTTGCTGTGCTTAGAGGTGTTGTAGTACATGTAAATGTTTTAAATGCTGGGAATGTACAAGGTGAGTGGTGGGACCCTTGCTAGCATCTTGGAGTACTCCCAACTTGTAAATACATCTGGAAACTCTCCCATGTTTCTTTCTCATTTTTTAGACTTTTACAAAGAGACACCATGCGAGTTCCTCCTGCATCTGCCACCGACTACCTATGAAGCTGCCAGAACTGGAGGGACCAGCTAGACGTCACCACAGCCAGGAAGCATAGGGACTGTGACATAGACGCTGTCAGGAAGTTGCCCAGTGTGTTTTATGGGAATTGTAGATCTTAAAGCCAAACGCTGCTGCTGTGAGTGACCATAACCAGTTTTTACACCCAGCTCCCCAGTGATTAATGTTAACCCTTGGCAGGCAGTGTTAAACATTAGCTACTGCCTGGCACGGATAAATATAGAGACAGGACAAAAAAAAAATCACTGAGGACTTGTCACTAACAGATCTAAAGAAACTACTAACGGTACCCATAGCTTATGGAAAAAACAGCCAAAAAGTGCATCAATTACATAAACATCGTCTAGGACAGTCTTCTGCTTTGGATAATGATTAAATTGAGTGCCAGTGTATGCGCAAACATTACCAGCCCAAAAAAACCTCTGAAGCCGTTGCTGGCTTTCTTCTCCAAACAGGCCTACCTGTAGAGTGAGGTTAACAGGCGCCAGGTCACCATCTCCTGCTGCAGCAGCCACAGCATGCTGGCCGTCTTGGAAAACTTGTTCTGCCCCGGTGCGGCTCTCAGGACGATCTTCTGCAGCATGCGCACCTGGAGAGAGCCCCCAGCTGTTAGCACCTCCCCCCCCGGCCACACTGGGCTCAACACAGCAGCCGGGCACTGTCCTCTCTCAGACTTCACAGCTCGTCCCCGGACTCTCCAACACTCTCAGCGTTACTCACCCAGGAGTCTCCAGCCCTGCTCCTGGAGAGCTCCTGTCCCGCAGGTTTGAGAGTTTAACACTAAACCAACCCAGAACAGCTTATGTACGATCAACTTAAATTGTTAAATTAAGCCAAGGAGATACTTGAGCCCCTCGAGGAGCAGAGCTGCAAGAAATTGCAAGTGTATATAATTCACAAATAACACTCAGGCGGTTTTAGGGTGACCCATCACGCTAACAGAGCGCAAGTCCCAGCGGAGATGGGGAACGCTGCTGTTACTGATCTTGGTCAGTTGCTGCACTTGACATTTTCCTTCAAAGAAACAACTATAAGATGCGTTATCTACAGTCACTAAGTCAATAAATAATAGAAAAGGGAACAGAAATATTAGTTTGTATTAACAGTAGTTAAATTACTTAATAGGGTAAATCATTGCCAGAGCTTAGTTATTTGGCAGTTTTTTAAAACAAGAAAAGTAGATCTCAACATTTTAGGTCCTCATATATTGTGCACAGCGAGAATGTTACACAGCACCTAATGGGGACGTCACCCAAGACTGCAGCACACAGCCTGCAATGAATTCTGAAGCAGGACGTCTGAAGAAGGACTAACCAGATGGGCAGGATGTTGTGTAGTTTTAAAGGGCACCAATGGACTCCGACTAGTGACACTGATGACTTTACCAGAACACTTGAGTCTGGGGGTTGTGTTGAAATCAAACTGAGTCGTTTGTTTTGCTTTCCATGCTGCTACAAGTATATTCACTGAGCTTTGGCATCGTTTGGGAATCTTCTGCATGGAGGTATGTCAGCCTCAAAATGTCTCGAGTTCAGGGTTCAAGCCCAGATTGCAGTGCAACTATGTGGCATCTCCCTGCCTGACCCAAGTCAACCAAGGGTTTTCACCCAGGTGCGCCGGTTCCCTCCCACCCCCCAGAAACAGCAGCTGGCTATGTTCACCGACATCCCTAAATTGCGCCGGCGTGTGTGTGAGCCCAGAGGTGGACTGGCGCACTGTCAAGGCTGGGCTGGGTCTTCCTACTTCCCCTTCTAGGAATAAAAGACTCCCTGATCCTAGACGGATGGACGTACCTGCTCTCCGCAGATGGCCTCATACTCCTCCAGCAGGTCGAAGATGGCACTGGATGAGTGCCTCAGATACGACTGCAGGAAGTCAGGGAACAGGCTCATAGACGCTGTGTGAGACAGAGATAAAAAAAAGACAATACTTCCAAAGGTGGCAATAGGAGGAATTGTAGAAAAAATGGCGTAATACCCTGCTTTATTACCAATCACAATGTCAGCATTTGAATAAAACCAGGAGGCAGTTTTCAAAGATAAGACATTAATTGCTGAGAAAGATTTTCAGATTTCAGAACAAAAGAATACGCTGACCCGCTGACTAATAATTGAAAGAGAAAAACTGTGACAGGTTAACTGCTCTACACAAATCTAAGAGTGACTTTTTATAAGCAAGTGCCTTATTCCAATACAAAGAAAAAGCACTGATCGCAATACAATTTTGTCATTGATAGCACTTTAGCAGCAATTTAAAAAATAACTTTTGCACATGGCAAAATTGTACTTCAGTGTTGAACCCTTCCCATTACTTACTATTGCATGCCTCCCTCACTGCTCAGTGCAGAGAGACACTGTTCAGCACTAAGGAGAACACAAGGCTATGTTTATAAAAGAGTGTCAGTCCAACTTTAGACCAGCATCACACCATAAAGTCTAGCTTTAAAGATATAGCACTAGTGGGTAAACAGCACTCTGTAGATACAGCAACTGTATCTATGAGCATGGAAATGTTTAGGAGGTGCAGGATAAAAAGATTCATTCCATCCAACAAACCACAACTACAGGTAAGAGCTTGGATGGTGTTAAAACTAACAGGAACCTGCGACTTTCCGAGATCAAAGCTGCACACACCTGCCACAGGGGTGGCAGGGAGACAGTTTGACAGCTCACAGTTGATTCTTCCTTGTCTCAGGGGTGTAGGGTGTCTTCAATCCAGTACACCCTGTAATCCCACGTTCGCAGAGAGGTTCTAAAGATGGCTGGGCTCATCTCAACACATCTGTGCCACGGAGCAGTAGAAACCTGCCACACTTACAGCTGAGATCATGGCTGACCTGCTCCCTGGAGAACACTAGACACCTTCATGCAGGGGTGGACCATGTCCTCATATGCTAACCATCAGGGACATAAACAGTGGATGGACATGGAGTTTTCAAAACACAGCTGAGTAAACAGTCCTCCTAATGTTCTAATCATCCTGGATAATCCCTGCTGTCCTCACCTGCCTCTCCAGGGTCTTCTTCCTTCAGCAGGACAGCACTCATGGTGACGTCCTCTGTGAAGCTCACCTCTCCTGTGGCGGTCTGCTGGGGGGACACGTACAGCGTGTTGGTCCAGTCGCTGTCGTCCAGGTTCTGCGTTTTAAAAGAGAGAGAGGTATGAGGACACCTTTTCACAGCTTCTGCTTCCAGGTCAGTAACTGCGAGCGTGCACCTTTTCAACCGAGTCATTACTTGTTTATGGACAAGAAAAAAACAATAACTAGCATGTGGGGGAAACATTTTTAAAAAAGCAGAAAAGTTTTCCTTTAACTGCTTTCAAAGGTACCCTGGGTCTGTTTGGCAAAAGCAACAGAAGCTAAATTACTAAGAACTAAGACCCTTTGTCCAAAACGAAAAGAAACGGCGTCTCCTTACTGCCGCGATGCTGCTGAGGCGACTCGGCGTCTGGATGTAACGGGGGGATCTCCCCCCGGTTCCCAAGATGGCGGACACGTCTGGATTCCTCAAAGCACTCCTGGGAGTGACTGCACAAACAGGGCTGGTGTTATTGTCGTTGAATGGCGGGGCCGTTTCAGACTAACAATGCTTAAAACGGTAGAAGTTCCATCCTAGCAGCCCCGTTACTCTTCAGAATAAGAAGACACACACAGGCTGGAGACACGGAGAAGAGGCAGAACACTGTCCCAGACATCTGGGGCTTGAGTGTGGGACGTATCTGCTACTGACGACCCAGAGTCCCTTTCAACTTCGAGAAGAAAAGTGCAAATATTTGAGGATGATGCCCTTTTAAATTTGATCATGCTTCAGAATTTAAATGGAACAGGTCTCTGTGACGGGCAGGTCAAATTTAGATGTAAAGAAGGGCCTGAAACAGACACTAGAGTTTCCTTATGTTTCCTATGCCTCTCCTGCTTGGTATTTAGTTTAGCTTTCAACGTCAAATAAAACCTTATATGATTTTTTTTTTTTTAAATGAACTTGGGCAAGAAGGCAGCGAGCAGAGCATCGTCTCCCCACTCCAGACGCACGCGATCGATGTCACCATTCTGGACGGACAAGAGTGTGGAGGCTCGAGGGACTTACAGGACCTCTTGAGGAGGGAGCCCGGCGTGCGCAGGAGGGACCTGGCAGGGGTGGTGGTGGCCATGGCGGCAGCGCTGGGGCTCTCGCTGCTGGGAGAGGGAACTGGAATCCTGAGTCAAGGAAAACCCAGTCTGGGCTGAGGGCCGGCCCTGCACAGCCGTGGAACCCTGCGGCGTCGTCCCTGCAGGACGTCCCACAGCTTGCAGGAGCGCGGACCCTGCCACTCCAGTCCCACTGGCCGTCAGTGCCGCACAGAGCTGCGAGACCCTTGAGCTCCATTCCCGACCACTGTGGGCGTCTTCCAACCCAGTGCAGAGCCTTCCAATGTAGTACAAAAGGTCTTTAAGAGTTATTGACCAATATACGGCAAATCCTTAGGATTTCCCTCAAAGTCTACACACTTCCACATAAGCGATTTCTACTGCTCCCTCATTAATACCTAAATAATTTTCACTACCTCTCACCCTGCACTGAAAATGTATAATCCTGCCATCACCACCTAGCACTCCGAAACCACTTACCTTAAGTTCCAAGTCAGGCATCTGTCTAAGTCAGGGGTGCCCCAACCAGTCGATCGATCGCAAGAATATCTGGCAAATAATAAATGGGCTATTTGACTATTTACTTTTTTCGATAGCCTACAAATTTATTCAGATCTGCGCACGTAATGTCATTCATTTGACTGCCCTTGTGTCTGTTTAACCCTTGTCGAATGGGTTGTAAAAGTCTCTTCCCTGAGTGCTGGCTGCCACTGGGAGAAAAAGGCTATAGGAGCTCTGACTTGACTGAACTGCTGAATGAGCTGAACGTCGAGCTGCAGGGACAAAATAAAAAAGTCATCGACATGATCAGCAGTGTCAACACGTTCCAAAAAAAAAGTACAAGGGTTCTCAAGAAAGCTTCTCAGCGCCAATGCTCTCATTAAGTTTGGAGATTTTTTTTCCCCAAAAAATGGGGAACATTACTTGTTCACTGTAGCGTGAGTGACTTGCTTTTGTTGGCTGTCATTTTAGCGATGGGTATCGTTATTGTACTGATGTGCCCACAGTCTGTTTTTCCTATATCAGAGCTTCAAATTCACACCGGTAGATCGCGCTGGACTGGCAAACGAAAAAGTAGATCTTACATTAAAAGAGGTTGGGCACCCCTGGTCTAAGTCCTTTGGTACCCCCTTACTGATTTGACATCATTCCCTGCCGCTCCTATTTTGGCGTCCCAGACAAACAAATCTGACAAGTCGACGCAGGACGCTTGTGCAGAATGAACACACGGGTCCGAACTATGCTTCCTCTCCCTTCGTGACCCTGTTTTCCGCTCACTAACAAGTTCTCCCATCATGCAGACCATGGACTATCTTGGATTCACACAGCTATCTATTGCTTTTTTTATTCTCACGCAGAACGTCACAAAACAAGCTGGAGACAGCACACTGCTGACTCTGCCTGTATCCTCCACTCTAGGGTCCAGCAGGAAAAGGCAGCATCAGGGTGTTTATTGGCTGTCTCCCCGGGCCCACGCCACGCGTTTCCCGCCAGCTGCGGGACAGGGGGCCGGGGGACACAGGGAAAGGATACAGGCCACCTTCTTCTTCAGGCTCCTCCGGCGGGCCGCGCGCGTCACCTCCAACTCCCGGACCACCGGCGACATCAGGTCATTGCTGCCCCTGAGACAGAAATGTCAGCCCCCCCATAAAAACCAAAAACAAAAACACAAAGGCGTCTTTAAAAATGGACATGAAATATTGCATAACCAGGACTGAGTGCTCTTCCTGACCCCTGGCGGCAGATCCCCTTAGGCAACATGTCCATTTCCAACCGCATGGTGACAGGTGTCTTTTTAAAGAAAAAGAGCTATGGTGTTTTATCTTGCTGTGGGTAACTGTAGACACGAACAGAACTGCATCTCCCGCCATTAAGAGCAAGTTATTGCTAGTTTTCTGCTGACACCGCAGCTCGAGGAGGAGGGTCTTCGCTGGGGACAAGGAAAGGGTGTGATAAATGACATAAGGACCTTAAGCCGGCCAACAAGGGAAGGTCATTGAGTCCATCCAGCCCATCTGGTAGCTAGTAACTAACTGATCAGAGGATCATCCTGCTGTCTGGGCAGAAGCCACAGCAGGGATCAGCTTTGCAGTATGTTCCAGGCTCCCACAACCCTCGGCGTACAGAAGTGTCTCCTGTTCTCCCCTTACGTTGTGCCCATTGATTCATTTCAGGACTTATTCTGAAGAAGCCCACAAGGCTGACTGTGGCTGTACCTCTGGGGATTCGGAATATCTCAATCAGGTCCCGTCGTAATCTTTTCTGTTCAAGACTAAAAAGATTTCGTTTGTTTAGCATGTCAGAAGAGGACATTAATACCAGGACTGTACTCCCAGAATATAGCTATTTTCTGAACAAAAACTGAGTGCTGTTCTAAAATGAGCTCTTATTTGTGCTCTGTAAAATTAAGATCCCTGATTTAAATTCTGCACTTAACTATATAACCTCTTTGATTTTTTTATTGTTTTCACACATTATAAAGAAATAAAAAGATGCTACCATAAGCACCCAATTATTTCTAAATTTGTGTTTCCCATTTTGTACTTCGTGCTAGTTTCTACAATCCGCACGTAACGCTCTGTCTAGATTAAATGTCATCTGGCAGGTGAGGTGTTTGCCCAGTCTGGAATTCTAAATCTTGAATTTACTTGGCTGCTTTCATAGTGTTTGTTCATCCTCATAAACTGGTAGCATCATATGAACTCGATTGTTCTCCACGCCAGAATCTAGATCACTGACAGAAATCCGGTAGAGCACAGGTCCCATGTCCCTATGGCACACCACTAATAACATCACCCCAGCTAGAGCATTCATCCCTTACCCATGTTTTCTATTCACTACCCTTTAAATTTCAACTCCTAATAATAAAACAAACATTTATTTGAATACTTATCACCAACAATGTTAGAATTAACCTTTTAGAATTAACTTTATCGCGTTAATCTGCCGCTGGTGCTCTTGCGTGTTTGGAGAACTCTAGCAAGTGTGTTTGTTAAGCGAGAACTACCCTTTTCCAATCCATGCCGACTATTCCCTAACCTTTTTCTGCCATATGGAGGATCCTCTGCTTCCAACTGTCGTTTCCATAACCCCACATACTGTACATTGATAGCAGTAACCCTGAGCTCCCTAAACATATTTTGTCCAGGCGTTCTCGGTATGCTACTTTCCAACAGCAAAGTACAAAGCTGATGTGCCGTTAAACGCATTATATAGTGGAATTGCTAAATACCTTTAAATAATGTTCATTCTTTGAATTAACTCTGCCTACATCCTTAAATAAAGAGTCCAATATATCGATCTCAAAATGAAAAAATAACCGTTCAGTTCAATGTGTTCATATTACGGGCGCCTGGAGGGTCGAGTATCGAATCCATTTCCACCCATGTACATCACAAATGTTCACAAATCAACGTCGGGTACCCGTCCCACAGCTCACTGTAACAGGTCAGATGTGTTTCACTAGTGTTGTACCCCGCGGCCTACCCTCCAAAACTGGCATGCCACATGTCTCCACACTGCTACGGTACAGTGCAGAACACGGGTATAATAACCATTAAAAACGTGCCACAACTAGGTCGGGAAGAAGAGAATATGCAACATCTTACCACTCCATCGCTGCAGCATTTATATCGGAATAGTCAGTAGTGGACAGAGCGACTTCCCACTCCTTCTTCCCGCTCGGCCAGGGGGCTTCTGTCGAGTCCAGAAGTAGTCGATTTCTAACTCAAGAACGGTTTACCCACAAGACCAGGTCTTCCTTCTGAACTTAAGAAAGGATGGATTTATAGAACCATCTTTACTTTTCGTCCTCTATGGTCACAACAACACGGAATATCTCGAAAAAAGCTGCTGTCTGAATATTTTACCGGTGGGCTGGCCGATCGGTGAAATCGGAGAGCGTGTAGGATGCCTCGTCAGTTGTGGTAAAGAGGGTACACCGAGGAGTCCGCTAGGCCTGCAGACATCAGAGCGCCACCTAGTAGTTGAAACACGAACTACTACCCATCCATTTTCACTCCTCTAGTGTCGTTGAGGGGCTCAGTAAAAAAAAGTAATTTCTTACATTATACTTACAAAATGAGTAATAGTGACAGTAATAATAAAGACCCAGAAAACTTATCCCAAAATTAAATTATTTAAGTCCTTAGTGATAAGTTTTAAGATTAATTAACTAATAAAAGTATTTAATGAGAAAGTATAATGAGTTTTTTGGACCAGTAGGACTCGTTCCCCGATAGTGATGAACTGTTTAAAACATATGAATAAAAAATAATTCACAATACAAATACGGTTTATTATTTTTTTCCAGCTCAAATTGCTTAACTTCTTTTCGAGAGTTCGCACCAAATGGCGATAAATTCAAGAAACCATATTCTGCACCTTTCATATCAAGCAATAACCGACTTAGGGAATGTCCCAGGAAGCTTTTTACAATTTGTACGGCATGTAGACTACATCCAGACTTCATGGTCAAAATCTAAATTACTTCGTCTTATAATTAGGTTACTATTCGGTGATCAACAAATGTTAAAAAAGATCCAGAAGCGCTGGGAGAAAGAAGAAAATCCTGTTCTTGGTTTAAGGACAGAGGTGGGTGTCTGATTCAGAATACAGTAGACATTGGGTCCTACTGTAGAGATTCACAGCGGCCTTCTGTTACAATTTGCTAGACCCCTTTCAGGACAGCTGTAGCCTTCAAATCATTGCTCGTGGCAAGTCAGCACGCACACAAGTTACACGATTGCCCCTGAAGTGCTGTCTTTTGACCACAGTGCTTTAATGTGTAATAAATAATAATAATAAAATAATAATAATAATAATAATAATAATAATAATTGCTTACACCTATATAGCACTTTTCAGGACACTCCACTCAAAGAGCTTTACAGGTAATGGGGACTCCCCTCCACCACCACCAATGTGCAGCATCCACCTGGATGATATGACGGCAGCCATAGTGCGCCAGAACGCTCACCACACATCAGCTATCAGTGGGGAGGAGAGCAGAGTAATGAAGCCAATTCATAGATGTTATTAGGAGGCCATGATTGGTAAGGGCCAATGGGAAATGTGGCCAGGATGCCGGGGTACACCCCTAGTCTTTTCGAGGAACGCCCTGGGATTTTTAATGACCACAGAGAGTCAGGACATTGGTTTTATGTCTCATCCGAAGGTGTAGTTTTCTGTTTACTTCAGTGCTGAAAAGCATGAGATTCAAGTGTTCCTATTGTCACAATAGGCACGAACGGTATGCAGAGTTATTTCTAAGAAACACATTTGCGCTGGCAAACTGCATGAAGCCCATGCACCACGCTGTCATGTTGTCCTCTGACACACACATGGGGTTTAGTCATTGTATGAAAAGGGTGGGTAGAAAGAAGTAATGTGAAACTTCTGTAGACGAAGCCAGCTCTACAACTAGGCAGGCACAACGTTGCATGTAGAGGCTAACGAAGACAATCTAATAAATAACACACACACACACACAAATACAAACAGGATTCATTAAAGCTCTGTAAAGTGAAAATAGAGAAGAAAAACACAATGTTCCAGGTGTGGAGTCTTCCTGTGACGCTTCGTGAGTTCTGTGCTTTTTTTTTTTACGTTTTCAGCACGGACTCGTTCCTTCGCAGCTCCTAAGCCTATAGCTGCACACACATTAACACTACGGTTAACACTAACATGTCCAAAATTGTCTTGTTGTGCACTTGTCATTCCCCCTTTAGGAAAGTACCAATCCATTTTGACATTTCCATCTGGCTTATAATGGATGGGGGGAGGGGGGAGAGGGAATCTTTTTAAACTTCTGTAATGGCAGTTTTGAGAACATTTCTTCAGAAAATAAATATTTAGGCTACACTGAAATGCTGCTTTTCAACTTTTCCTCCACAAAATATTTATTCTGTAAACTTGCATAAGTTTATCTTGAAATGTGATGGTGAACGCGATGGTAAACGATACACTGAATGGCTGCATGAATGTAATAATGTTTATAAGCGTGTACCACTGTTTAGTAGAAAAGGTTAATACAGTATGTCACTCTTTGTGGGCACTTTACTGAACAAGGCTATTGTCCTAGCTTAAAAACAAAACAAAATAACCCAGACGCAACCCTTTATTCTTCCAACTCAAAATAGAACACGACTCCTACGAGCAAAACCTATTTCAGGATGTCACATTGCGCAAGAAGTGTCCAGACATGCTTTAGCGGCCTTTTTGCTCTCTGTTTAGAGGAGGAGTAACACCCAACCCAGCTCAGCTCGTCTTTGGGACCGATACACAGCAACAGGATCTCCATATCGTCTGAAGAGACACATCTGCTGTCTGCCAGCTATGCAGGCTCCAGCACACAGTTGCAGACTGTTTAATGAATTGATTTGTCAGCTCCGTGTTCTTAAGAGGATTCAGACTGATTAAGATTTTTTTCAATTAGATTCATTTGGCGACTCCAGCATTGCCAGAGGAATGAGATCGGGAAGGGTAATACCTAAGAATAAGCTACACGAAGTATCGAGTAAAGCAGAAATGGACATATGCATAGTTCGCAGTCCCTTATTACCAAACATCCTAGCCACACGCCACAGCAGTGCTGGGTGTATTTGATTTTCGGCTGTGTTTCACATATTTTTATCGTAGCAGCCTTCGGTAAAGGGATTACTAGACAAATCAAAGAGGGGAAAAGTGCCGAGTGTGTTTTGCATTTTTGCAGTCCAATTTTGTTTACCTTACGCATTTCGAGATGCAAAGAAAGATTAAAGAGCGTTAAGAAAAGTAATTCTGTAGGTGCAGAATAAGATACCAATCAACAGAGGGGTGGTTTGTGATTAAAATAATTGAATAGAACTAAAAATAGACCCCCCCCATCGAGAAAATAATGAGGAAAAAAGTAAGACACCTATTTACGTAAATCATTCGGTGTAAATCCAGATGGTGTAATTGACTGCAATAGCATCGAACTACATTTCACGGCTGTTATTTTTACATATAAATAAACTTTAATTTCATTTCAGCATAAATTAAATCAATCTAAAACATTATGTATTAGGGAATTCGTGCTTTCTAAAGTAATTCTTGGTGGAAATACTCTACTCACTGGAAATGTTCCAAATGATATAAATTGAAAGGAACGTGTTTCCATACCAATACACAACTTTCAGGACTAGAGTCGGAATATTTGGCGAGGGGTTGAAGTAGGCTTCATGTATAATTAATATCTTCGATATTTTTCCCAAGTGCGGCTTATCCGTTACCACGGTGGTGGTGGGAGTAGATGGGTGGGGTATATGTGCAGTAAAATGAATTTTCCCAAATGGGACGATAAAGCTAGCATTGAAAACAGGCGACTGGCTCCTCCCAAAGGCTGAATGACAGAACTGCCAGTTGGGGGCGCTACAACACCCGGAGACACTAAAGAAAGCCACCCGCTGAGTCGTCGAGGAGCGCTTGCTCAGCACGGGAAGAGCAGATCCCCATTGGAACCGAGTTTCAGACACGTCTGAGCTCACACAAGTCATGCGATCGGATTCCTTTCGAATCACACATCTCAATACAAATATAACCAAGAGGAGGTTCATAAATTAAAACGGTCATTCACTGTATTTTAACAGCACAAGAACAGTCAAGGAAAAAGGAAAGTTCCTCACAAGGTGAAATGGACACCAATTAGACACTGAAGGGAAATGACTCATCGAATTAAACAAATGTCTCACTCAGGTATTCAGTGAGGAAGAATTTGACCTCATGCCTCAGGCTGAGCAAAGGAAGTTGCATGTTATTCACAAGAAGAGAGTGTAAGCAGTACTTAAAATCTCTGGGGCCTGAATGTATTCGATAAATTGTACTTCTGAAATGAGAGATGTGACTCACGGGCTGGTAACTCTTCCAACAGCCACAGAGGAAAGGGGCAATACCCACTGACTGGAAAATTGCTCACAAAACCCATCCTGTCATCCCTAACAAGGTGACTAAACTGAGCTGAATAATTATAGACCAATAAGTCATACTTCTGTTATATGTATGGGTATGGAAACTAAAACTGAACTAGGTGATCTATACAGCAATAGGAGTCTAGCTATTAAGCAGTGTAGATTAAGAAAAGATGGGTCATCACACAAGCCCTTTTCATATACTGTATAGCATATTTCAAACATAGGAGGGGTCCCTAAATCCAGCACCAAAGTGCATCTCCCACCTACTTGACAGACGGCAGTTCCACCACACAGATCATTTGAAGAAGAGAGAAAGTGATTCACCATTTGAGTTACAGGGGAACTTTAGGGAGGCTGTCTGTGCAAGTTCAGGGTGCCAAGACAGAAGGGTTTACACTCCTTTTCTGACAAGCTCTGCCACGGATTCTTCAATGACTAGTCAAGACATCAGTTTAATGTCCACAGTACCTTACAGCATTGCGTAGTGTCCCCATACTGGTCTAGAGGAAAGTGTGCCACCTACTGACCCCCACCCCCTGAAGCAGCAATCAGATGTCCCTTGAAGATATTCCATCCCAATATTAAATATGTTCAGAAGAGTTCTGATACAGATTCTGAAATTATAAGTAACAGGCATTCAAGAAAATGTGTGTATTTGGAATAAGAACTAGGCTGTGGATAGAAGAACTGTATCCAGACTTCCCACAACACTTTGTGAAACTAAGGTTGCTGCTGGAAGAGGTGTTAGTGGTGCCAGCAGGGGGTGCTCACCCTGCGGTCCATGTGGGTCCTAATGCCCCAGTATAGTGATGGGGACACTATACTGTAAACAGGCACTGTCCTTTGGAAGAGACATAAAACCGAGGTCCTGACTCTCTGTGGTCATTAAAAATCCCAGGCCGGTTCTCGAAAAGAGTAGGGGTGTAACCCGGCGTCCTGGCCAAATTTCCCATTGGCCCTTACCAATCATGGCCTCCTAATAATCCCCCTCTATGAATTGGCTACATTACTCTGCTCTCCTCCCCACTGATAGCTGATGTGTGGTGAGCATTCTGGTGCACTATGGCTGCTGTCGCATCATCCAGGTGGGGCTGCACATTGGTGGTGGTGGAGTGGAGTCCCCATTACCTGTCAAGCGCTTTGAGTGGAGTGTCCAGAAAAGTGCTATATAAGTGTAAGCAATTATTATTATTAAATAAGGATGCTCCATCATTAGTAAAAGGTGGATGAGATCTTTGGATCAATTAGCTACTAGCAACCAGATTGTCTAGATGGGCTGAATGGTCTTATTTCAATTCTATCTTTTGTTTCTTAAAATCTAAATCTGTTGCCTGTTTTTACATGGATGACATTGGATGAGTCAGTGCCAGTTTAGTCAATCTTGGAAACAAAATGTAACATGTTTGTGTGACTATAAAGTTAAATTACCTCTGAAATAAATGTAAATTAAAAGGAATTATTTTGTTCTTCTGTTGTTAACAGAAAGATATTAAACCAGTTGTTATTCCATACTTCATTTTAATATTTTTACAAAGAATAACTGAGTCAAAGGAAAGAATGTAGTTGGAGTGAGAAAGGACAGAGGCATCAAAAACATACTCACAGACAAACCCAGAAGTTTCGTTTTTAGCAGATTGATGCTAAGATCAGTGATGGTAAGTCACATTCTTCTAGGTTTTAAAACTACTAAAAATAGGAACTTATAATGACTTGCAATCATGACTTTAAAACCAAACATGAATGATAATTAAGTGATGACTTAAGTCAACCAACATCAAAATGAAAAAACATTTACATAATACTGGTTTTGGGCCTTATGTTCAAAGTCCTCATACCTCTAGTTCAAAATTATAAAACAAAAGACTTGGCTAGAACTGCCATAAAATATACACAACCACATCAAAAGGATTTGATACAGAACTAAGGCAAGGCAAGATAAAGCTTACCATAATACATTTTGTACATGACATATGTCTTTGCATTCTGACCTAAAAACACCATGTTCAAGATGAGATGGCAAACATAAAATACTTATAAGGAACAAGTCATAGGTTTAGTCCATGCTGAAAAGAGAAGAAAGGAAACACTCCACACGTGCTCCACAGCCGAAACATTGCGTTTCTTTTCTTTTCAGTATGGAATAAACCTGTTACTTGTTCCTCATAAGCTGCATCAGCTACCCACCATAAAATACTTATGGAACACTGTGGTGACATACTAGATTCATACATTAGTTCTATAATGCAAAATGGAACATTTAAGATCTTAACATTACTATTTATATTATTTTTGTGCGTAACTGGAAATTGTTCAGGACATGATAAATGAACCATGGAAAGGTTAAATCTGAAGAGGTTTTCAAACTTTTATTTACAGGATGACTCACTCTTACCTGTTCATGAGCAGCAAGATCTTGACTTATACTGAAGTGCCTGTTGGTCATTCCAGAATGCACACAAGCATTACATTTAAAAAAGTTAAACCAATATTTATTTACTAGCACTGTTAAAACAATACACAAAACATTCAAGTGGCAGATCATCTTTACTGCAAGCCCTTGCATGGCAATCCAATTTATTGAACTACAGATGCTAGGTTATACAAAATTGCACCACTTTAATTAAGGCTTTTTAGTTTACATTTGGCCACCCCAAAGCAGATGTTGCATTACAAATACTGTGGCTCTTGTATTGGACATATACACATGATCTTTACATCCAGGAGTTAATGCATACAAAGCAACAAGGCATTCTTAAATAAATCAGCAAAAGTTACGCATTGCAACTTGCGCCCTGTAACCAATTACACTTGATTAAAATTAGTTCCCACATTCACTACTGACATCCACAGTACTTGTCCACCAAGAAACATCTCAACCCAAATATTACACAGGTGAAAACAATCACTAACAGGCAATTTACTAACGGGATTTAATATTTGGTTGTTTTTTTTTCCTCAATTACAACATATGCATGAGCAAGCAAGGGGAATACAGTGAGAATCTACAGGGGCAGAAGCATGAAGAATGACTAACAAATGAAACGGTCATTTTTATTTCCTTAAAAAAAAACCCTCATTTTAAAATATAGTCTTCCTGTTGTAGATCCCCACTGTACAAACATCTATTAACATTGTTCCCTATGTAAACAAACATACACAGAATAAAAGGTTGACATGGTTTCAGTTGGTTTCTCCTGAAAACTAACAGATATTTGAAGGCAACATCTTAGGCTAAAGACAATGTAATAGAGACAGAAAACCATTAGATATTTTTTCCATACACAGAAATCACTGCTTCCACAGGTTTTCCTAAGATAAAATCATATTAATAGCTGTTGCAATAAAGCATTTTGGTAGAACCAAACAATCTAGTAAATCTTTAAAAAAAAAAGAAAAAAAAATAGAAGAAAATACAAGGGAAAAAAAAGATACAAAATACCAAAGGAGCAAAGTTAACTGTATGAAATAGGTTATATGGGAGCTCTTTGGACTTTCTCTTTCTTTTGCTAAAATAGTGGTGCTTATAAATATTACATCGTTATACCTGCCAACGCAAATGCGGGCAATGTATACAGTATAGTTATACATCAGTTTCTTACATTTACAACATTGGTTGAAGGAGGGCGTCTCCGTTAGCAAATAATACTGCGTGTAGGCTCTGGATCTTTTTCAGTTGCATACAGTTAGAATATATATAAGAAAAAAATCTCTTTCTTGCGATACTGGAGAGTGATTACAGTTATCTATGTGCAAAAACTGACGTAGTAGCTTTTAATCCATTTTTGTTAAAGGGCATCACCACGCAGGAAAGTCCATTCGATGTTAGGTTTAGTAAAGTTGGAATGCTGGCACTGCTGCAAAAGACAGCAGTTTATCAGACCTGCAATGGAAGGCAAAGGAGAATTAATGTGGGGAGTTCATATCTGAGCATTGCAATGCTAATGAAGGCACATGAGTGACCAAATATTATAAGGCGTATATGGATGTAATAGATAAGATTGGTAGAAGATTTTATTTCCAAGGAGGACTTCGTTGCACATCAATGTTTTTACTATGGTAAGCGAATGATGCCCCAAGGGTGACACTAGGCCCTTCAAAAAATTCTGATGCATTACTTTCCATGAATTGCGAAGAGGAGCTGTATAGGCTGCTGAGATGCCAGACGTTTTCTCAGCGTCTCGCCAAAACACTGCATCCTTAAAGGCTTGCAGGCCTAGAAGTGGGCAGGGATTTGTGTTCCATTTAAACAAACACTTGGGACTTAACTTTGGCAGCACATACAGGTCACCAGAGGCAAGAAAAACACAGGATGATTACTCTTAATAGGAGGAAACAGTTTCCCATTCTTAAAGTCGCCTGAGCAGAGATCTATCAAACTTGAAAGATTTGCTTTTAATCTGACAGAGCTTTAAAAAATTCAAATTTGACGAAAAAAATCAGCACGTTCAGCTATTGGTGCCCCTAAGGCCACATACAATCTGTCATAGAATTAACATAGATGTACCACTTTTTAAGCCAAGAAACAAAATGGAAATTCATGACAACCTTGTATCGCTGGGCTTTCTGGAGGGTGTAACACAGAATTTGACACACAATACTTAGGTTTCTCAGTAACCCTTCCAGAGTGGCAGTCCAGCACTGTGGTCACTTCCAGAACTGAAAATGACCGGACCAAAAAACATGCTCTCCAGGTATCAGGGGGCTCCCTGAACACATGGCATTGCAACCAGCAGAGGCAGAAAAGTGATCCTCAACTGTCAAAACACCTGCTGTAATATTTAGATTTACAATTCACAATTACGACTGTTACACTAAGTATTTTTATAGACTCATTAGAGACATATGGCTATCTGCCATTCTAAAGGGTCTGGTGTGATGACAATGTGCCACATGCTCACATAGCACCTGCCTGACAGTACAGCAGCACAGTTATTCTGCACTCACCTGGCTCAGAGCTACAGTACACCTGTGTATTAAAGCAGCTGGCAATTTGACTTTTTGCGTGCTTTCCCAGGTGCTGGGGTTTTCCTGTTGATTTGTCGAACCAGGTCATAGAAGATCTGTAAACAAGAGCATTTATATTAAAATACTGCCGAGGTAAGAGATGTATAAAGATCTAAGAAGCGAATTCTCACTTAGGGTAAGGGCTTGCAATGCATATTTGTAATTACCCCCTCATGCAGCAAGTAATCCATAGTAAATAAGGATCTGTCCATTACCAAATGGTCTTGTGTATTCTGAACAGCATCTGTGTTTAACCGACAATGTTGCCGACAGCCCGAAGTCCTCTTATCTCATTAAAGACTCTCAACAAAGCTACCATTACATTTTTATAGGCAAAAGAAAATTTCCTCATTTGCAGAAAATACACAAAGGTCCACATAGTTTGCATTTAATAGTTTTTCCCTACGCCAGAGTCTAGAGGCTCATCCCAGTTTCTTTAGTTAAGACTCAGTACTGTGTGCGACTCCTCACCAACTGGAATTCCAGTCTAGTGCAGGATTACTCTCCAGCAATACTAGTACCCATGTATACAGCTGGAAGGAAAAGTGCAATTCAGGACAAAGTTCTTTGCTCAAGTGGTGTCGTAGCATACATTTAAAGCAACAACCTCCCAGTTTAAAGTCCAGACACATAACAACTAATACACACACTGCCCCTGCAAATCTAACCGTTGAATGAAAAATATGAGTGCAACAAATGTAACGAGATGTCAGTAAAAAATAAATGTATTTCGTATACTAACATTTTATTGAACAAAGTTGATGTTGATTAACATTTGTCAGCAGCAGGGCTGATCCAACAGAGGTCTACTATGAAAGGTAAAGCCAACTAGTGTGTACGACCACCTCTGGAAGCAATACAGGCTGAACAGCCGTGATGCACGCTTTACATCAGGTTGCATATGTGGTCTTGTGGGATTTTAAAAACCTTGTGCCTGTTCACCGATCTCTACTCGACTATGCCATGTTGTTCCAGATCATCCCACACAAGCTCAACGGCACTGAAGGGTGGCAAGCTGACTGCCACAGTGTAACGGTTACATTAGCAAGAAACTGGATGCTACGCAAGACACATAATGCCTTACAGTCTCTTCCTGGAATGGTTACATGTCTGCAGGAAGGCCAGCTAATGAGGTCCAGGTCAATACAGAGCTGTGCAGTCAGAATACTGTCAATCACTTGCTGCGATGGCGTTTCAGATGCAGTACATCCCGTGGTGTGAAAATGATGCCAAAAACAGAGCAACAGAGCATGATGATGTATTGAATCTCGTGAGGTACCTGGACCCGTGGTTTCCCAGATGACCGATGGGCTGTGGGCACCCCAGACTGTGAGTAAGCAGGACGCTGGCTCAGTCCAGCCTTTAACACATCGGTGGCACTGAGACACCGTTTAACTGATAAACAGGCATTTGGGTACCTTTCTGTGTTTTTTTCTAAATTTTCACCAAGCTTAACATTTAACAGGTTAAACCGCCTCATCAACAGTACCCAAATCTACTTTCACTAATTTGGTAATTTTATACTTATGCAGCAATGTAACTCAAGTGTATCATGGTCTGTTATAGATGATCAAATAATTTAAATTATGCCAAAAAGAATTAAATTGTATCCCTGCTTTTTAAAAACACACATATAAAGTGATAGGTTTCTTTTTCATGTTAGAGGGCATTACTGGCCTGAAATTCCACAAAGGGCAAAAAAAAAAAGGAATGATCCCTTTATTCCAGCTTAAAGGAACTTCAACTTGAGCAAAGGATATACTATTCCAGGAACCACCTGGAGGTCTGAATTCACATAGAAGGTTTTATCACACAGAAATTACTTTAGGAGAGATAAAGTACTAATCTCACAAAAATATACCTCCATAGTTGCTCTGAAGATTTTAATCAACCACTGTGGAATCCAGAACAGTCTACTGTTATGGCTAATGCACGATTGTGACTGACATCACCCATGGAAGTTCTCCGATAAAAATGCTTCCACATGGAGATCCATATGCTTTACCAGAAACACTTTAGATTTCAGATTTCCTTTATTTCTTACCTGAGCATCAAATCAGGCACTTTTTAGATTTTCTGAAAATAAAGTCTATGGCTGCTTTTTGAGAACTGGCCATCTCTCATTGTCAAATGTGCAGCATTTCAAAGGCATATGCACTATAGGTTTTTCCTCCAGGAAAGTCCAGTAATCCTGCAGTTTCTGCTGTTCTGTGTCATTGCATCTTGGACAATGTTTGCTTCGAGCTAATCCACTACCCTGGAGTTAGATTTTTGAAACTGGCACACTGCACATGCTGGGAAAGGCAAACAGGTTGTCATCATCACTTACATGTATAGTGCCACACCATATCGCTACCTTGCAAGGTCCTCTTTGCCAGATCAATGCTGATCCAGTGAAGCCTGGAGGACTGACCTCAACACCTGCCCAGACCAGGTTTGTTTTCCTAGTCCTGGCAGATGTCAGAAGGAGATGAGACAACCTTAAGAGGCTTTTTGCTCTCTAATAACAGAGAGATCAGAACACAGCATGAACCTAGCTTAAGAACATTAACCTGGACTCAACAAAGTCTAAACCCCACATTCCCCGAGTTTCCAGATGGCCAACTACCTCCTGATACGCTGGTAGGGACAACACTCGTGAAGCCTGTGCTGATTGTTTCTGGAGAAAGCAGGTCTCACAAGCAACGATGAATTATTTTTCACGTGCATCAGTATGATGTTAAACAGGTCAACAGAAATGATCAAATGACAAACTAGGGGGCAGTCAAATACATTGTTTTTTCATGTCGGGCTTGCAAACAGCAAGTGAAATGTTCCATAAGCCTTCCTCCCTTGCCAAACATATTCACAAACGAAAAGAATTGACAGTTCAGTCCTGCGGCATGAAACACGCCTTTATAACAAACGTCTTCTATGCGCGAACGAAGATGACTCAAGCTCGCTCAAGGGACGTCGCTGAGAGACAATGGAAACCACACAGAACTGTAGGCCAGGCCCTGTGGTGCCACATGCAAACAATAGTGAGCCTTATTTTAACATGAACCTGATATGACCACAACTTGGTCCAATTTCAACCATCCACAAATCAGTCCAAAATCAAAAAGAACGTTCAGCCTCACGCAGAACAAAGTCGGAAGAGATAATGTGAAATGCAAAAACTTCTGTTACTGTACAATTTTACCAGTATCCTTGACAGAACTGTAAAACGCGCAAGCCTTTACTTTCTAGGCTCAAAAAGAAAATGATGGAGGAAACTATCTCAATCAGGCCTCACCTCATTAACATTAATCTTGGACTTTGCCGAAGATTCTAGGAAGGCGCAGTTGCTCCACTGTCGGGCCAGGTTTTGTCCCTGTTCCTTGCCCACCACTCGCTCGTCTTCCAAATCACACTTGTTGCCAACCAGGATCATTGGCACCTGAAACACCACCAAGAAATAACACTTGTGAGTACAACAGACATATAAAAGCATGTTATTCAACACCAAAGAAAAAATGAGACCGAAAGCACATGGAATAGAAAATAAGTCAAAGAGACATTATGGCAGCACTATAATACAGTATGGAAGTCCATACCAGACACTGTCCTAGTTCAACTTGCATTCTTTAATTTTCCTGTCATCTTGGTCTTAACCTTCCCCCGATATTCATTGATGTATATCAAGCTATAAGATATACACAAACTGTAAAAAGAAAATCGAGATTGAATAAGCTCTTCTTTTGCTTCACCTCTGCATGAGCAGTCAAGATCTGATCACCATCTGGCACCCATTATTAGATTGGTAGACTGCAAAATTGCAGTGGAGCACCTTAGTCAAGAGCAAAACTGCAATGACTGCACTGAAGCAGGAAACCCATGACCCCGTGGTGATCCAGATGCCTAACCAACATTCCCTGTTGCCTCCTGCTTTCAAATGAAAAAGGTGAGGATGCAGGACAATAGTACTAATTCTTAGGCCTTCACTGTCCATCGCAAGAAAGTTATTGTTAGCTGTGCAATTCAGTCAATCCAGGTGGTTCGCTACAAAAGATTTTGCCTTAGCACAATAATTCATTAGCCACCCTGCTTGAAAACAGCCTCCTGCTATTTACCTCACTTTGTCAAGTGAAAACACAAGACGGTACGGAAACTGTGATCCCTAAACCACTGTACATGCAAAGTGGACTGTGTTGATTACAAGTTATCAAAGTAATAAAACAGAATTCTCCACTTCAAGTATAATTAACTTTTTCATTGATAGTACCCAACTAGTACACGTGCTGCAAAAGATTCACTGAAATTATAAGCATATGGATAAAAACAGTGACTGTGATGTGAACAGATATTAACCAGCAATTTCAAACTTCTGTCTTATGGCAGTGCAGAAGTGGTGTTATAATAGCTGTGCTTCCGTTTCTAATATTTGTGCCACAAGATGTCTTTGTCACTGCTGTGTTTTAATATATATTTTGAGAACTGTGCAAGATCCTGTTGAATACAACCCCTCCCAGTTTGGGAAGCCATTTTGGAATTGCCGGAGAGCCAGGTCTTAAAACTGCTTGGTAGAGAACGAGATATGCAGACGTGCTGCTTCTACACGCCCAAGCAAGTCTTTTGCCATTTGACGCGCTGCAGGCCCCACAGCCCCCGACAGAAGGGTTAGTACTGACTGAAGAAGTGCGTCTCTGGGGGCGCCAGGCTCCTGGCAGTCACAGGAGTTACTGTTTACCTGAAGGCTGGCTAACCCCAGCCCTAACCTATCAGCCCCGCGCGGTCACATGAGGAATCCCAGTCGCAGGGGCTGAGTGACGTAACCTAGGCTCAGCCTAGTGACCTCTGGGTCACGGGGCTCAACAGGCGCTCTGGGGGAGCGCTCTGGGTTGATAGTGCCACCCAGGAGAGCCTCCCCTACGTTTATTTTGATGTTCTTTGGGTGTCAACCCAAGAAACAGAAAATTCCCTGAAAACAAATCAATAATAGTGCCTTTAAAGTGATAAAAGGTTTGTTGGCAAAACACACTCAATGGGTTCTATTTACTGGTACAGCTGATATGGGAAAGGAAACTCATGTGGTGAAAAATATTCACAGTCATGCTGCACAAGACAACACCCACCACAAAGGAAATCAAATGCGAGGTTAAACGTACGTAATATTCTGGCTCATCGTACAAAAGATATGATGCATATATGCTGCAATATCTAAGGGCGTGCACGTTACTGAACATGGTTAACCCACTTTATTGCTTTACCAGCAAAGTTCAATAACCATTAGGCAAACTGCAACCTAGTTTTCATCTTTACAGATGTCTTGATATCATTTGCTTTCAGTGAAAGGCATCTGTAACAGGGAAGACAAAAATAGACTGAACTGAACTGACAACTATTCCACCCTCTTCCTGTTATGAAACATTTTCAGCTCATCTGCGTTTTAACCGGACAATGGGCAATGTTACAGCTTCACAAGGTCTATTTCTGTTGGCAACCACACAATAGATTTTACACATTAGTTAAAAAATACAAAGGAATGTTTAATTTGATTTTTTATTTTATGAGGCAAATATGCACTGCAAAATAAAAACTAAAAATTAAAATGAACCTAAAAAGAGTTCACAGTTTTGATCAGAACTGCTGTTACTAGCTGTTGAACAGAGGGAATAATTAATTTGCCTTTCTAAAAGGACTAGAATGGACTTGGCCACTGTGCTGGGAGATCAAACAGGAAGCCTCTTACAGAACAGTAACCAGAATCACTTCTTCCTTTTCTCAGGTACTGAATAGCTTGAGGACAAGGCCTTTCCAGGCAATGACTCACATCGTCAGTGTCTTTGACTCGAAGGATCTGTTCTCTCAAGTCCTGTAGGTCATTAAACGTGGACTGTGCGGTTATAGAATATACTAATGCAAACCCTTGGCCATTCTTCATGTACAGGTCCCTCATCGCTGTGAATTGTTCCTGTGGAAGAAAGCAGAGAGTCAAGAGCAACCCAACGTCTGTGTGTAATAGAGAGCTTGCAGGGGTAGTGCAGCTCCCAAGGGAAGCATTCTGTTACTCAGCTTCATGCTGTTTGCCATACAGGCACAGACAGGCAAAATACACAGCTAATAAGATACTTCATTAGCAGAAGAGCACCTCAGCGTTCAGTGAATTTTGTTTTACAGATTTCAATGTTAACAGCCCACATAGGCCCACAACATTATTCTACTCATTACCAGTTACTGTAATTAGGGAGCGACAAACTAACACTTCTTAGAAAACATAGATCTGAAACTCCTTTCCAGTTTATTAACCTCCTACTGAGTGACTAAAGGTAAAACATGGAATAAAGGACTTTAGTTTATGAGGAGCCGAGATTTAACAACAAAGACAGGCAGAATAAAAGTAATAAATCCCGTTTAGGTATCCTCATTTTTCAGTCAAAACTCATCATTATCTCCACCACTATGTCCTATTTGACAAATGTGCAGACCTGCCCTTATAACAGAGAGATCCCTTTTGTGCCAGTAGCAGAAATGCTCTGCCTTAATGACACTACTCAAAGCCTCAGTGCAGACATGATATACAGGTAATGTGCACTAGCTTTAATATCGCACTCTCCCATCTGACATGCTGTCTGTCCCCTTGCCAGGAAATGTCCATCAACAAAAGGGAACAGGATATGATCAGGACTTCTTCCTTCACAGTTCTACAGATCTCTGGCCAGGTTTCCTCTTCCGCCCACTGTCAGAAATGGCTCCCAGCGTCCCCAAGACATCTGCCAATTTCCAAACTTCATGCGCCTCGACTTCCACTTCAAAAACTCCGGCCCTGTGACTTTCTGGGCACTGCAGTCACTACAGCCTGATCCCATTTCCATCAGACCAGCAGCTCTTTTCCCTCTCTCTTACCGTTCCTGCTGTATCCAGAATTTCAAGCATACACTGCTGTCCATCTACTTCAACTTGCTAAAAGAGATGTAAAAAACAAAAGTTAGCAACAAACTAAAACAGTGTTGACATCTGATTAAAAGGTGTTTTCTGTACTTCTCAAAACAAGCAATTAATCTATCTTTTAAGAACAAAGATCTGTGTAAAGCTAAATAAAGCTTCAATGAAGTGGCATATAATGAGGGTCAGTAGGAGTGATGGAGACAGGGCGGTTGTGAGTCAGTTGTCTGTTATTGCGACTAATGATGCCTCTCTGAGGGTAACAAAAGGCACAGCCTCTCACATACTGTTTGTCTGCTATGCAGCTCATTTTAAACTTGATTCTGGAGGCTTCATCTAATAAAGGCAAACAAAAGCCTGAGAGCAGGTTCGGGAAACTGTTTCAACATAAGAGACCTGCTCCCCTAGAAATTCCACAAGAACTGTTTGGTCTACCCTCAATTTTTTTATTATATACACATTAACATACGCAGCAAAATACCAAGCACCCTTTTGATTTCAGAACATGCTTATTAACTTCAATAGTAGGTAAAAATCAGTATCTTCTGTCACCAGACCACAAATACAGTGAAATCGTACAAATACAATTTCTTTGCAATTTCCTGTAACCATAGTTACGTTGTGCACAAAAGTGAAACAAATTGTATTAAATATTTGTACAAGATTCATCACTGCAGATTTAAAATATAAAGGTCGTTTTTGTTTAGATGATTAGCTGTACTGCAACTGTGAATGTGGCAAGTTGACTAACCTTTGACCTTCCACCTTTGAGAATACTTGCAAATACAAACGACTGATACACAACCGCACTTATATTGCACTTGCCTTTCTGTAGGAGTCTTCTATTGTGGGATCATATTTTTCAACAAAAATTCCTTGGACAAACTGTACAGTCTGAAAGGAAAACAAAAGAGAAGTCTGAGTAAGAATCTTTAAAATACATTCAAAACAGACAGAAAACTCCAGTCCATTACCGTTACCATACTCTTTTAAGGTATGCCACAGAACCCCCTGCTAGCAGCTAAAAACTTTCACAATGCAGAAATGCTATATAAAAATTAAACATTGAAACAAAATACAAAAAATACAAAACTGGGCTAATTAATTGTATAAATCATCTAATTTTGGAGTGGCATTTTAATTCACTTGGATAAGTAAAAGCAGCCCTTAAAAGAGGCAGATACAAATCTGATGATCTGCAGATACAAATCTCATACTGTATGCTGATCTCATACAGTATGTGAATGCAAAGCTCAAAAAGAACTCCCTTCCGAACTGGACTGTTGAAATAATCCATGTCAACAATTTAACGGAAAGCCAAAGACTATATGAAACAGCATATGGGACTGTTGTATATACTGTACAGTGGCTTAACACATCACATAGAAAATGTGATTTATCAATGTAAAGCTGTAATAATTTTTCATTCTGTAAATTTACTCAGAATAAGATTCTGAAAAGATCTCTGATGAATAGTTACAGTATGTACCACTGAAAACAAGTTAATCAGACGAAACACCAGAATAATGCAGACAAACTGTTTATTCAGGTAGTTTATTAAGATATTTTAGCTGAAGTTAAAAACCCTTCTGTTGGTAAAGTCAGCAAAAGGACAGCTTGAACCTCGTACAGCAAGCTGCTACAAGTCACACTGTTGCTATAGAAACTTAATTTAAGAAGCAGATGAGGAGGCTTCAGCTTTTACTTTCGCTGCCCTGAAAGGCCTTTAAATTAATTTTAAATTAACAATTCTGCTGAAAATGTTGTTCTAATGGAAAACTATATAAAAATTAGAATGGGAATTAGTATTAATTTTTACCTGAAAACATTTAAAACCCTGTCAAGAAACACTGCAAAACTGCTTGAAAAATACTTCAGAAAGAAATGCACTAGCTGGAATTATGGCAAAAGTTTGTGCAATTGAATGAGATTTATTAAGTAATGACAAAACCGCTGTTTCCCAGCACATAGGAAATGAAATAATTGAGGGTTTTTCATGCTTGCTAAGATTTCATGTTTATATGTTGTGGGTTCAGCAACTTAAAAACTTAAAAAAAAGCTTTTTAAATTAATTGCTATAAGATGACTCTGACATTCTCGCACTGACTGGAAAGCAAGAGCAGAACAGAAAACATGCCTTTATCTTTATTAAAAGGTTTTAATCCTTTAAAAATATATACAGTACACAGAAAAACCTTCGGCGGCCAAACTGGGAGAGAGACTCATAGACATAGGTTGTAGACTGGGATAAATCAAACACTAAAATCTGTTTCTACGAACCAGTGCCATAGTTTTAGTTTTAACAGATTATAAAATTAATTGCTTAGTGGTGATGAAGAGATTATCACTCAAACAGATGAAGACTTAAATGTCTTTAATAGTCATAATGTATTCTAAGTCTTAACATTTACACAGGAAAAAAAAAGTACACAGGAAAAATGCAACTTTTCTGTTTAAAAATTATTTGTGAGGTGAACTGCTACACTGGACACAAAAAGTGCTGTTTTAAATATGTAAAATTTATCGTAACTCTTAAAAATCCTATCATTTTCCACATCACCAATGAAAGTTGCTGAAAGTTAACTTTGCTATCAGAGACTATAAAGTCTTTCCCAAAAGAATTAGTGGTTGGTGGTTGAGCGCCTTTAGTATCGACTCATGGCGACCCTCAGGACACTTCCCCCGACACTTTCCTTCGAGTTTTCATGGCAGGATACGGATGTAGATTGCCAGGCCTTTCTTTCGCGAACCCACTACACTAAGATTATGAGTCTCATGCTCTACCAACAGAGCTAGTTGGGGGACAAAGGATTCGTACTTACACTCTTATAAGTTTGGATTGGAAAAAATGTGATTTTCCTAAAGCCATCCAATTTGTTATTGCCGGTTGTTCCAGATCACAGTTACGACTCCTCTATGCAAACTGTGAGAATGAGGACGAGCAGATGTACTCCTCTGACCTAACGACCCATCAGAGCTACTTCTCCTAAGACAGGCCTCACAAAGCCTTTACAGGAGAGGTGGCACTGAATGGATGAGTGGTCCCTCTCCTGGATGTCACCGCAAGTCACTGTTTCACAAGACGAGTGAAGACCTTGGCCGATATCAGCGCTGAATTAGTGACATGACCTGGGCTGGAGCTCACAATGACCAGGCCATGAAGCTCAACCAGTGTGAAACCCTTCCTTTGATCAGCCGTCCTGAATCTCTGCCCTGCGGTAGATTTAAACTGCAAGTTTCTTTTCTTTGCCATCATGCAACAAGACTGCTAGATTTACACTTCAACAGATATTAATAAATGCAGAGACCCGAGAAGTGGATGTATACTTCTTTACATTTTACCCAGAAAAAGTGGGAAAAGGCAACAGCACCTGAAAAAGTATTTCAATGGTCTCTTGGTCAGGTTCGGTTTAAAATTCAGGCAGGAGCAGATCTGTACTCCGGAACATCTGGAGCAGTCTACACTGCGTTACGTACTCCTGACACCTAAACATGGACTAGTCACAATGTAACAAATCAAAGGGGCAGAGGCTATCAGCTGGGAGCCAGGAATGAGTTTTTGGTCTGGTAAACGCAAGATGACAGTTTTCCTGTATGGGGCTGGATTGGGGAAACTATCTGGGTCAATTAGCTCATGTGATCATTCACAGGGATTCACTGTCATATGGATCTCATTGTCAAAAAAAGTCTGTGATCTGGAGTTTAAAAAAACAGGAACATAAAAGAAACCGTCAGACAAGAAACAGGGAGCCGACAACGTTCAGGAGGCTGTTCTCGCAATACAGATCCCTTTAGGAGACCGTCATTTCAGCTGTTGCAGATTAATATCCTTGTTCCATTAAGTGTCCTGCCTCAGTGATGTACCTTTTTTTAGAACAAATTTGACATGAACAGAATGCACAAAAAGATACAAAAACAGCCACTCACAAGAAAGGAAAAATGGAGGGAAAGAGGGCAGTGTGATACATCATTTGATCTGCTTAAAGAGGAAAAGTGGAACATTTTTTACATTCAGTTTTCTAAAAACATTGTTTACGATGGAAGTGGGTTATAATACAGATGTTTAATTACTTAACTTCAAGATGGGTAAGCAATTCATGTCATACGAAGATAAGAGCAATTTAACAACCTGAGAAAGGCCATTAGACCCAGTCCTCCTCCACCCCCTTAAAGAATCAGATTGTACTCGTCATCATATTTCTTCTTTAATCTGCATAGCGAGCAGAATAAAGATGGCATTTATTTCATATCCCACAGACTGCTTAAGGTGACAAACCCCGTTCTGCTACGTCTGTTCAGAGATTGTTCCGTTATACCTGGTCATTTGTACTTTGGGGGTTTCTTCATAGCAATTTTGATGCAGGTTCTTAAACCTGTCATTTCTTTCTTTGATTTTCCAGTTGTCCAGGTCCTTTGTGCAGTTACCATGGGTGTAAGCCTGATTACTGTGATAAGGTCTCAAACAAGAACAAATTTGACCTAATCTAATCAGCCGGTGCCTGTCGTCAGGGTGTAATTTACAGTACAACGTGTACACTTAGATCAGAGCTATTGCAGTTAGCTATGTGGTTTTAGAAGCCCTTAATGCTAGGAGTCGGGCCTAGAATGCTTTTCTTTCTACATTATGCAGTCAAAGAAGAAAAACAAAACAATTTACAAACAACAGAATGATGAAAGCTAATGATTCATAAAGAAGAATCAAAGCAAGTAAGCTTAGATGAAGGAGAGTGGATGTGTTCTTTTCACGCCCTGAGCATGTTTCACATTCTCGAGAGACGCTTCGATGACACTTTCTGAAAAATCACAGCATCGCCTCTTAACTCCAAGGAAGACCCCCCACACCACTCCCCACCTCGAAAAACCGACACCGTCACTGTAATTGATGAAGCCCACATATGAGCTTAAACTCCATCTGCTAACGAGCGGGGGGCTACGTGAGTTTCAATGCAACTAGACACTGATGCGAAGTTGAAAATGTTAAACTGAAGTCTTCTAAGCCACAGACAACCACCGAGAATCACTTTAGCATATGGAGCAGCTAGTGCAACGTGTCAAAGAGCTACCATGGAAGAGCAATAGGATGGGTTACTGCTTACATTTGGGCACTCAATCCTGCTTCCCCATTAAAACATGTTAATTCCTGTCTAAAAGACCAGAATAATGTGATGTCATTAGAGCAGGAGCAAAACCTGAGACTACAGCCCACACAATGAATGTGTGTGCTTCAGTCCTGGAGGCGGAACACAGTCGCCAACCCCCTGCTCCACCTACATTCTCCACACAAACACTGGATACAAGGCGCAAAGTGGGACTATCTTAAGTTGCTGCACGTAGTTTTATCTGAACTTAAAAGCACTTCACATCTTAACCAGTCATCTTGCAATTATTTACTGCCACCACTGTCTTTTTGTGCCCTCGCCTGTAACACAGTTAATGCCACCCTCCTGGGCATGGCATATGTTTTTTCTGCAGTGCCTGACATACAATACATTTATATTAGCAGCACTGACATAGCTTCAATAATGTTAAAACTAAATTCAAAAGCTTAAACAATAAGAATCCATTATTCATATGCCCATCTTAAGTATCTGAAAGGCTCCAATGCTTGGCATTAATCGCATTCAAATCTTCTGCCCTTGAAAAGGTGAGGAACAGTGTTAAGGGCTGTGGTTTGACTCAATACACAACAGGTACTGTGGGAACGTCTGGGCTGTGCAGCAAACATTTACCACGCTGGAGACAGACTATTTTGTGTAGCTGTTTGCAGACCCACAATCCTGACTGGGACATCCCCAGACATTCAGGGCCAGACCCCCTTCACGTAAAACTCTCTTTATTTATTATTAGCAAGTCGCAGTTACTTTTTATACTCTCTTTTTGCGCACGACACAAAC